CTCCTTTTCTTCTAACCAGTAATTCTTTTGAATGTGAACCAAACAAGTGCAAATTTACTTTTAGGGCTGAAGGACTTCGGTCGATGGCCTTTTGGGTGTGTGTATGTATATTTATATATATTTGCCTAATAAAATTACATTTACTACTACTACTACTGATTTTTTTTTATACGGGGTGCCCACGAGATCACTTTCCGGCTGCCATTTTTTTATTTATTTATCGATATCAACGAAACTTGGTAGAGTTGATATTCTAACCAAACGCCATTTTTATGCATTTATGACAAGTTTTCCCGACTTCCGGTTTCACTGGAAATGACAGCAACTTTTGATTTTTGAATGGCATACCCTGTATATTTTTTGTTTTTCGGATTCTACAGATCGTTTTACATCCTAATGCACCACTTTTGAATCGATTTTTGTCCAAATTTTATTTTTAAATTAAATTTTATTTTTTTAACTAGAGTGCCATGATCATCCTAAAATGACTCTACATACTTTACTTAATTTCAGAAAAATACAAACTCAATTTTATCTTTGTAAACTTTTTTGATAGAGGGCTGTAAACTCCATTATTTCAGTATTTTTGCCCTAGCTCAAAAAGTAGAATAGAAACATATCACTTTCATAACATTACTAAATACAGTATTTTAAAGCGAATCCAACGATATAATACACTACGACATTTTTCTCAATTTTCGTTCATATACTTATTTTTGTAGGTAATTTTTTTTTCTACTTAAAATTTAATTTGAAAACGAAATTTGGACAAAACTCGATTTAAAAGTGGTTCATTAGGACGTAAAACGATCTGTAAAATCCGATAAACAAAAAATATACAGGGTGCGCCATTTGAAAATCAAAATTTTCGGTAATTTCCGGTGAAACCGGAAGTCAGAAAAAGTTGTCATAAATGCATAAAAATGGCGTTTGGTTAGAATATCAACCCTACCAAATTTCGTTAATATCGATGAACAAATAAAAAAATGGCAGCCGGAAAGTAATCTCGTGGGCACCTGGTATAACTTTATTTGTGAACTTAAAACAGTACATTTAAATGACTGGTAACAAGTCCTAATATTTAAAAATAATAACAATGGTAAATAAATCTGAGATTACACCTATTATTTTACACAGATAATACTTATAGCAAAACTAAAACCCCTAAAGAATATATACAATATCATCCCCATGTTAACTATGAGTTTTGAACAAACAAATAATTTTTAATTCTGATAGAAAAAGGTACAGGAGGAGTTATTCTTTTAGTATCTTCTGGAATTTTATTGTAGGATACTGAGGCTCGGTTGATTACACTGTTCTTTCTCAGGTTTGTTCTTGATGTTGAAACATACAAATTACTGCGTTGTCTGGTACTGTGACAGTGAATATTACTACTTTTAATTGGTTTGGAAAAAAAAATCCTTTCAATACAATGGTAATTGCAACTTTTTATATGCACTAAAGGCGAGAAAAGAAAAAAAAAATTAATATATACCCCTAAAAACTTAAATTTCCCCGAAGGAAGTGTCCCCCCGCTGAATGGGGGTGAGTTACAAAAAAAGGTGATAAGGAAAAATTGTAGGAAATGTCATCTTATAAAACTTTTATTAAGAAAATTTTTTTGTAAGAAAATAAAAAAACTTTAAACTACCCCTATTGAAAAACGGCAGGGGGTGAGTAAAAACTTCATAAAGCAAAAATGTTGTATGAGTCGTAAAAAACCACAGGCGGCCCTTAATCAAAAAAGTCTTTAGATAAACTTATAGATTAAATAAAGTTGCACACCTTTTATTTGAAACATTTTTTTGTAAAATCAATAGGTACCAAGTAATCGCCAATGGCGCACTTTCAACCTCTATAGCGCAAAACGCCAGAGGGGTGAGTGTTTGATGTTTTCGGTTTTATGATCACCCACCCTCCCCCTATCATCCCTGAAAAGTTCTTTTGGGTAGGATTTTTTTTTTGAAAATCGACAATTTTCCTAGACTATTATATTAATTTTCAAATTGGTTTTTAGTAACCACTTGTAGTATGTTAGAAGACATTGATTAAGGTTCAAACAATAAAATTCAGTTATGGATTATAACTTATTTTCTCTGCTTCGCAGACAATGCTTATCCCTGTCCAAGGAATGCTACAGTTTTTACATAACAAACACTGAAGATTCAATCAAGGAGAATGCCGGGTACTTTTGGAACTTTGTTCGTTGGCAGTCAAATCAAGGCTCCATCCCTAGGGAAATGTTTTCTGGCTCAAATAAGGCTGATAATGGTTATAACATAGCCAATCTCTTTGCTAATTTCTTCTCATCAGTTTATAATCCTAAAACCATTTCTGATGCAAGTGTTTCTTCCGTTTCTTCAACACACACCTTTCAATCAATTTCTGACATTCAGATCACTGCATATGACATTGAAAAATCGCTCTCTGAACTCGACATAAATAAAAGAGAGGGACCTGATGGAATCCCAAACAGAGTGTTAAAACTTTGCTCCCATTCTCTGTATCTTCCCCTCTATTACATATTTTCCAAGTCTCTTATCTCTGGAGTGTTCCCAAAAGTCTGGAAATTGTCATATGTTTGTCCCATCCACAAATCAGGAAGCAGGAACAATGTGTCTAATTACAGACCAATTAGTATCCTCTCAGCAATACCCAAGCTATTTGAGCACTGTATAGAAAAAGTTTTGTCGGTTGCCTTCCATCAAGTCATAGGAAATCAGCAACATGGATTCACCTCCGGCCGCTCCGTTGATACCAACTTGTTTCTATTCACTAACTTTATCAATAGATCATTCGAGAATGGTTGTGAGATACATACTATATATACTGACTGTGAAGCAGTCTCTCTGGAGAAACAGTGTCAAACGCCTTTTCAAAGTCGAGGTACACAACGTCAATTATTCATTTATTTACGTATAAGAAAAATACATTTGAAGTTGAACAGAGTTTAAATCTAAATAAAAAAAAAAAATCTAACCTAAAACAATTCTCCTGGCCTTCGTCTTAAATTTATCCAGAGATAAACCAAAGAACTCAAGGCCCTCACAGAACTTATTTACATTGGCAGATATTCTATTCACAGGACTGAATAGTAGGTAACAGGTTCGACAGTAAGGAATGTGCAGTAAAGATTTACTTCGTGTCTGATAACTTTGAATGTGTAGATTAAAACATTCAAGGCATTCGTGGCTTTTTATGTAGTAGTTAAGAATTTTAAATGCAAAACAGACATCAAAATATTCCCTTCTGCGAACAAGAGTAGATAAGTCTAAATAAGTCATAGTCAGGTCCTCACTGAGAATTACACCACTCAAAGAAAGTTTGTACCTTGCAAACTTAATAAATTTGTGTTGAACACTCTCAAGCCTATTGATGTGGATCTGATAGTAAGGTGACCAAACTATGCATGAAAATTCAAGAACGGACCTGACCAGTGATGTGTAAAGAATTTTGATAGGGCGTATACTTGTAAAGTCCCTAGTAGCTCTCTTAATAAACCCCAACATTTTATTAGCCCTGCCAATTACCACTTCAAAATGCTCAGTGAACATTAGCCTAGTATCTAGATAGACACCAAGATCTTTAATGATAGAAACTTCAGACAAGCGAACATTGTTTAAGTAATACTGCAAGGGAACACTATGGGTGCGTCTACTGAATCTTATACAACAGCACTTATCGATGTTGAGGGACATGTAATTAAGCTGACACCAATCGTGAACGATGTTAAGATCATTTTGCAAAATAAGTATGTCTTGAGTTGACGTCACCTGACGATACAACTTCAAGTCATCAGCAAAAAGTAAAAAATTTGACGAGAGCAACGATCCTAAATCGTTGATAAATAAGCTGAATAGAAGGGGGCCCAAGTGAGAACCTTGGGGTACCCCAGAGGATGCATGGAAAAGAGAAGAAAGATAGCCATCGATCTTGACTTGTTGCATTCTGTTAGTAAGGTATGATTTCATCCATGAAAATAAATGTCCAGAAACGCCGAAACTTGAAAGCTTTGAAAGAAGGATGTTGTGATTTACCTTATCAAAGGCTTTACTGAAGTCAGTATATATTGCATGAGTTTCTGCATTATTAGCAAATGATGAATTTATGAATGTTGTAAAGAGAAACAGGTTCGTCTCAACGGATCTACCGGCTGTAAAACCGTGCTGTTGACTGATCACAATCTGATGAAATATTTTTGAAAGAATTCCTTCCACGCACTGCTCAAATAATTTTTGAATCGCAGACAGAATGCTGATGGGTCTGTAATTTAAATTGGATAATACTCTGCAGATGACTTGGCCCAGTGTTCCAGGCTGGACAAGAGATTGGATGTAACTGATCTCCCGGCAGAAAACCATGCTGATTGGATAGTCAGTCACCATGATGGGTCATAAGGAATTCTGTCATTTTAGTAGTTATAATCTTTTCCATACATTTGCAGGGTATTATTTTTAAACTGATCGGTCTATAGTTTTCACCTAAGTGTTTATCGCCTTTCTCATAGATCGGAAAGACAATTGCATTTTTCCACGCCTCTGGGATTATGCCATCTGTAAATGATTCTGTTGATTTTTGTGTTATATATAGGTATAAGGTATAAGGGTTTCTATGATTGTTTTTTGTTGGGAGTTTATTGTTTATTTCGGAGTTAGTTCACTACATAGAGTATAATATATATAGATTAGGAGACCCCCTTACTATTATTGTTGATTATCAATGTATATTAACGCTAAATGGAGTTATCCCATATATGATTAAATAAATTATTTTTTTTTTCCCCATTTCTCTTTATTTTATGTTCTTAAATTTTCTATGTGTCTTCTTCTCTGAACGGAAAAATACCCAAAAATAATTCTGGAGTCTGTTATAGAAAAATTAAGAAAATCATCTTATCTATATTTTTTTAGGTTGTTTCTTGTTTAAATTCTAGGAAAAAAAATTGAGGAAAAAATATTCCAAACTCTTTTATACAAAACCAAATTATTTTCTCTCAGGTTCTGGGCTCTTCCCCTTCAACAATCACCCAAGTACCAGTCCAAAAACCACCGACGATACTGCTAAAAGCCGGAACTCCAGGTGGAAACCCGGGACTCGTCACCGTACCTGTAAATGCCGTTCAGCAAGCCAACAATGTAAGTACAATTTAAAATTTTAACCCTCAAAGGTGTTTTTTGCATTTGATAATAATTTATTAATCTACTACCACAGCATCTTTTTAACTGCATTTTACCAGGCCCTGGGAGGGGGGGAGATTATTGGATAATGTAATTTTGCACCCCAACCCAGCTTTCCCTTTTTTCTCTCTCACTAACAACACTCAAATCGGCATTTAGGGTACTCAAGGCATTCAAACGACTAGTATAGGTGTCTCGTCCCATCAATCGATCCTATCCAATCTTCAAGTGGTCAATGTGCGCCCCCAAGGGGCCCAAAACAAGGGGCAGGCCAGGGTTGTGTTGAGCACTGCTCCGGGGCTTGTAGGGGCTCGACCGGGCACACCCGTAAGTTCGCTATCTAAAAAGTAGTTCATTGAAAATTCAACTTGTATATTTAGGATTTTTTGTTTGTTTGATTTTTTTAGATTTTGGGGTCGATGTTTTGCTTTGTTTATTTTCTTGTAATATCCCACTAACTATCTTTTGTGTACTAATTTTATTAATTTTTCTATTTGGGGGCTCTTAAAAGCTGCCTTTGTATAGAATATCAGAGGCAGAATTTAAGGGTCAGATTATAAGTGTATTGCATTTTGCTATTTTATGTTTTGTGTGGCTGTAGTGTAGCAAACTTTTCTTTTAGCGATAAGAGTTTACAAACTCTTAATAAATGTTTTGCTTGATTTGAATTTTTTCCATATTAGAGCTCAGCTTGGATGTTCGTCTGTCTAACTTTTGTTTCTGTTGTCTCTTGGGTGTTCTAGCAACTAACGTTACAGTCGTTTCACGGTTTGCAACCGGGTCAACAGGGGGCGCTGTTGCTGAAAACCGAAAATGGCCAGTACCAGTTGCTCAGAGTCGGACCACCACCCCAGGCTACTAATTTGACTGCCACTTCCCAAGCCGGAGGACAACCGATGACTTTTCGTATGCAAACAGTACCAACAGTACGTATATATATGAGTATATTTTTTTTTATAGTTGGTGGTTTTTTTTAATGTAGCAAGCAGTTTCAAGTTCATCAGCCAATCCAATCCAAGCAGGTGGTACCACAACAGTCAGTCAAGCTCAGCCTATAGTGCAAACAACTACACCTGTACAGGTAAGACAAGATTTTTGTAAGTATTGAGCTCAGGTTATAGTTGTAATTTTTAGCGACCAGCCAACGATAATACCAAAGAAAAATGCCGGAAGTTTTTGGCAAATTTGCTGGAGTTGTCCAGCCGGGAGCCAAAATCGGTGGAACGGAATGTACGGACTTTGATTCAGGAGTTGATCGATAACAAAGTGGAACCGGAGGATTTTTGTGATAAGTTGGAACGTTTGCTGAATGCGAGTCCTCAGCCATGTTTGATAGGATTTTTAAAGGTAAAATCAATTTACAAGTTTCAGAAATATGTATTTTTAACATTTCGAAAATGCTTCTATAATCAGTCAAAAATATGTCTTAGAACCAATTCAAATACATACAAACGATTTACATAGAATTCTAAAACTCTGTAACCTCTGCAACTCCAAATAATGCAGAAATGTCAATATGTTCTATGTCAATAATGGCCGAGTTCGTTTTTGTCATCTTTTTCGTCGATTTGCTCCGAAATTTTGCAGGCACGTGATTTGTAAACTGAAACTGTCTTATTCAGTCACGTGCCTGTCAAAATTTCGGAGCAAATCGACGAAAAAGATGACAAAAACGAACTCGGCCAAATTTAGAAAAGGTTTTATTGTTGACATGTTAATTGTCATAAGTTTTCAAAGTCAAACTTTCACAGAAAAGTCTGCCGCTTCTGCGCCATTCACTAGCCACAAACGAAATGGTAATAGACGGTATCCGACCGCCACCGTCCAACATCGTATTCTCAGTCTCCGGAGCCACGCCCACAGTTCAGACTGTGAGAACCGTTCTACCTCAACCGGCGCCTCAACAAGTCCGAATTGTAGGTCCGGGCGCCGCCGTGGTCCGAGCTCCAGGAGCGCCCGGTGCGGTTTTACAACAGCGACTGGTCGGTCCTATACGAGCTCCTTCAATACAGCAACAAACAAGGATGGTGACCACCATCCGACAGCCCACCACGATCTCGCAACAGCAACAGTCGATATCTTCCTCGCAGCCTCCGGCGTTGCATCCTGTTTACGCTGGCGCCGGTCAGCAGCAACAGCAAGTGCAGCATGTGGTGCAACAGCAACAGCCGAGGCCTACAGCTCCGCGGCCCGTGCAAGCACGGACTGTAGGCCAAAGGCCGCCTCCTCAAAGAGGCAATGCTTCTGGGGGTAAAAATTCGGCTGCGGCTGTAGGCAAAGGGGCTATTGCTGGTGTGGGGTCTATGAGGCCTTCGGCTAAAGAGAAAGGTAAGAATTATTATTGAGTGAGTTTTGGGCCCAATTTAAATTGTATATTTGTTGCAGAAAAAAAGAGTTTTTCAGCAGCGTATACAGGCGACGACGATATAAACGACGTAGCAGCGATGGGTGGTGTAAATTTGGCTGAAGAAACGCAAAAAATTTTAGGCTCTACGGAATACGTGGGCACCCAAATTAGGTCTTGTAAAGAAGATATTATGTGTTCATTGGGTCCTTTACAATTAAAAGTAAGCACTTCCACACTCTTGCCACCAATAATATTAACTCAAAGTATACATTATTCAGATTAGACAAATTATGACGAAACACGGACTGGACGATCCGGGTACTGGTGACGTGGCCGCGTGTATATCGCACGCGGCTCAAGAAAGACTAAAAGATCTCTTAGAAAAATTAGCGGTAATCAGCGAACATAGGTTGGAATTAGTCAAAGGCGATTCGAGGTACTCGATAACGAACGACATCAAAGGTCAGCTGAAATTTCTCGAGGAACTCGATAAGGCGGAAAGGAAAAAGCACGAAGAATTGGAAAGGGAAATGTTGCTGAGGGCGGCGAAAAGTCGTTCAAAAACTGAAGATCCTGAACAAGCAAAACTTAAAGGTAGGTTTTTGATTTTTTAATGATTTTTGTTCCTATTCTGATACTTTAAATTTTGGACATGGAAATTTGCTATAAGTTTCATCAGCATATACAAATTTGGATTTGCTGGCCTTTGTAATTACCTATGTACTGATTTCTCTCTTCATTACATTCAGAGCAGTATTGAAAAGATCTCTATGGTAAAAGTTCTGATTGTAATTAGTGAATAGACACGTCATGATGCAATCCAGACCATAATTAGTTCTATGCACAGGTTGGGAAAAAATCTGCTTCTGTCGGGTTTTTCTTCCAGAAACCTGAAATCCAGTTTCAGTCAGAAATTCGGGCGAATTGATAATGTTCTGCAGAATTTTGTAGAGGAAAATGAGCTGGGCATTTTTGTATCGATTATTAAGGTTGGGTATGCCGCAGAGCTGTTGACAAGTCTCATAATCAAGGTTCTGGTAAGAAAATTTCTATTCGTACAGCAGGTATTTGGCAAATTTATTTTGCACACGTTCTATGCCTCTAATGTGGCATACTTAACTTGTATTTCAAATTGGCCTGCAGTATTTAAGTAAGTGTGAATTGAATGAGACTGCAGGATTAGGTTAGGTAAACAATAACTATAGCTTGTTTCCAACCCAGCAGGAAACCGTAATATTACCGTCAGGATTTCTAAAACTTGTGCGTAGAAATCGAAATTCATATACAGAGTTAACAGAGTGATTCCGGAACCGTTTTGGGACGGGTTTTTCACAGGTTAGAACAAACCAAATACAAATAAAATTACCCAAATATATTTGCAATTTTTGAAGTGATACATGTGTTGAAATTGAAAATATTGTGTTCTAGTGATACCTAGAGCCGTTGATCGTTTATTTGAAAAATAAGATTGATAAAGTAATACGATCACTGTAATATTTAAGGATTTGTGTTTGAGGTTATATCTGAACGATGCCGCAAATTGCTTGCACAGCGTGCCATCTTGATTTGGGGGGCGATGAGAGACAAATAATAATCGCTGGAATAGACCTAAAAAACTTGAAATCAGGTTTGAAAGGCTAATCCAATGGGTCAATAATATACGAGTGTTTAATTTAAAAAAAAAAAATTCCTTTGCCACACTTTTGTAACACACCCTGTATACTTGTAACTAACTTCATTGAAAACTTTCTGATATTACCTACAACTTTCATATTTAACATTTCTTAGTATCTCTTCAAATAACATACCGGCATATGTTTACAACTGATTCCCTTCTGGCCTCTGAAGCATATTTTCAATTTAGCCTTATAACAGGAGTGCTTTCCTTATAAACTCAAGGAAGCTAGTTACACCAATTCTCAAAAATGACCCCCTGACTGGCAGCTCAACAGTCACAAACCTCTTTGCGTTTTTTTTTTTTTTGAGAATGGAGACAAACTTGAATAAACAACAACTTGATGTCATCTATATTGATTCTGCAAAAGCGATGACAAGGTTAATCATAATACTTATTGTTTCAATGTAAAATTTGGCTCAGATTTTTGAGGTTTATGAAGTCTTATTTAGCTCAGCTACCACATAGAGTTAAGGTAGGAGTATATTGCAACCTCAGGGGTTCCCCAGGGTAGCAATTTAGCCTCTTCTCTTTTTAATTTCCATCAATCACATACCGGAGAGCCTGATAAGCTCCACAGGGTTAAGGTTTGCTGAGAGACTTGAGCTACTTAAATCAAGAAAAAAATTCTAAGCTTTCAATAGTCTCCGAGAAAATTCCTTGTGAAAATCTATTATGCAGGAACTTGTGATGTCACAACCGCCGAAATCGCATGCATACATACCTTGAAACCAAAGTTAAATTTGCTCAATTTTTGAATAAGTATAGAGTGATCCATCTTGTCAAAGGTTTTGGCCCAGTCCGTCAAGATAACATCAAGCTGAGCTTTGCGATTAAGAGCTTCTGCTACCGAGTCTGTAAAGAACACACAAAGATTTGAGACAGTAGACATTCCCGGCAAAAAAACATGCTGTTTTGGAGAGAAGCGTTTTTAAAGAAAAGCACAATATTACCATGAAGTAATCTCTTGGAAACTGAGTTCAGAACACTCTATAGTCTCATAGGTCTATAGTTCTCAACAGAGCTAGAATTGTATATGGGAGTAATAACTGCATGCTTCAAGCTACTAGGAAATTTGCTATGTCCAATTGACAGGTCATAGATTAGAGCAAGAGGCACAGATAGAGCCCCTGCATATCCCTTAAAAATAGAGGCTGGTACATCGTTCCTACTCGTGGCCTTCTTTGGCTTTAATTTTTGAACCTGTTCTACTCTTATTCTCAAAAAAGAAAAAGTTCCCTGACAGTCCAATATATTCATATTACTTGGTTCTTGAAAAACGGAGCTAAAGTAGTAGTTTCCAAAGGCATCAGCTTGCTATCCGTTCACCCCATCATAGGACCTCTGATGGAATGCTACTACTCACACCACGAGATCTCACAAAGGACTAGAGGGTCAGTGTGTACAGTACATTGTTCTCAATATTTTCATTATAAGACTGGAGCGTTTTCCTACTAAGTATTTTCCCGTATTTTCACATTGCTTCTCAAATTCAAATTCTTTATTAACGGACCAGCCAGTATCATTAACAACAATATAAATTTCTGAACAATAATTAAATAATATCTTAAATTACCTGATAATTGAACAATAAATTTACTACCTAAAATTACATCTACTACTAAAAGCCCTGTTGTATTTTGTTTTTCAACCCAAATCTATCTCTATCGGCAGTTGATTGGCATCCCTGCAAATTCTTAATATAGGACTAAAATAGCCATAATCTGTCCTGTGATATAATATATTGAACATTTCATTCTGTCGTGTATTTCTTGCAGGTACCATCGTCACCAAAAGTAACTGGGACAGCATCATATTAGCTCCTGTACTATTATATGAATTTTATTGTCAAATATTTGTCAAACTATGAACTTAATGCATTGAAATGAATGACAGTAGAATTAGTCAAGGAGATTATTATGGATAGTTTTTGTCCCAGATACTTTTAGTGACGATGGTACATGAATATTTATATAATGTAACAAAGGAGGACAATCAATTAAATTATTTACAATTTTATACAAAAAGCATATGCCAAGATTTCTAATGTAGGAAGGTGTAATAACGCAGAAATTAATATTTTCAACAGGGATTCTTAACCTATAGCCTATATGTCTTAGAAAACGTCTCTGAACCCTTTCCAGCATATTCACATACAATTGGTAGTTTGGGGACCAGACAGGACAAGCATATTCAAGTATGGATCTAACTACTGAACAATAAACAGTTTTCAATGCATAAATATTGCTAAAGTCTTTCAAAGTGCGAACTACAAAGCCAAGGAGCCTTAACTTTTGCAAATATTTTCATTATGGAGATTGAAAGTGAAATCCTGATTGAAAGTTATTCCTAAGTCTTTCAACGATTTTACTCTCTCCAGTTCTTGTCCAAGCAATACATATGAGTATATTATTATAAGATCTGCTTGTAGCTGTCTAGAGTTCTCCAAGACGGTAAAAAGATGCTTTACCTGTGAATGGAAAATGTTGATTCACGAGCGACGAAAGAGCGAGTGGATTAATTCCACGAACAGGTAAAGATTTTTTACCATCGTGTGTAATATTCTATTTTATTCTTGAGCAACTTTTTGTTTATCACAATTACTAAAATCATAAACTAAAATGTGCTAAAATTTTACATAGATTATGACAAGTTGACAAAGTACCTAACAAACTGACACATTTCTGGTGTTGTCAATCATGCAACATAACAAATTTCTGTCAAAAACACTATAATTATTATAAAAGATTTGAACAAGTGGGTAAAATTGATGTATGAGTGGGTAAAATTGACGTATGAGTGCGTAAAATTGACAAATGAGTGGGTAAAAATTGTTCGATTTCACTACTTCAAATAAAGTGTTACTTTAACAACGAGTTTTGAGTCGATTAGATGATAGTTTACCATTCACGATAGAATAAAACATCATTTATGTAGCAATTGAACAGTAAAGGTGACAGATGTCCCCCCTGTGGAACTCCGGACAAAACATAAATTGGGGACAAGATGAAATTCTTTATTTTTATTACTTGGACCCTATCAGTCAAAACACTTTCCAACCCCTCAAGTTTTCCTATGAGAGTGGAAATATTGATCCTGTCATATGGTTTACTGAAGTCTGTGCTGGCAGAGTCAACCTGACTACCGCCTTCTACAGTTTCTACCAAGTCATGTTGATATTTTACCAGATTTGTTACTGTGGATCTTTCCTTCACAAATCTATGTTGGGCAACAGAAAGAACATTCCTGAAGTGCGGAGTCATTCTAGATGTTACCAAAGAGTCAAAAGATATGTTTTACCGATAGGCCTATAATTTGACACGTCCGCTCAATCCCCTGACTTAAATATAGGAGTTACATAGTACATTTTCGCACAGGTAGGACAAATTAAATCGACTACACATTTTTTTAGACAGGACAAACTTTGTATTTTTCAAAAAGTGAACTGTCATCAGATCCACAACCCAGAAAGTCTATGTAAATGTACGGATTTCGTACGAATTACAAATCTGCACGCTGCATGATTACAGATTTCTGTAAATTTTGAAGGATTTTGTTTTTAACCGCTACTCGCTAGACCTTATTCTTGCGGATTCACTCTAAGGATAGTAGAGCGTGAGAAAAAAAAAGTATCCAGAGTATCCAAGCATTTAGAAATAGAGTATCGGATACTTCAAATTTGGCAAATTTCACTGACTGAACCACAGCAACGCATGGCCGGGTCAGCTAGGAATTGTAACCCAAACAAACCGGTACTGGACCTGATCCAAAAAAAAAAAACCTGCACCCCATTAACTGTATTTTATATAAACACAGGGGGTCTTTGCACAAAAATTGAAGACTTCATTAATATGTTGAACTGTTTTTAACATGATATATTGGTAATAGTAGAAAGTAATCAATGTGATAATTATAATAGCTGTGGGAGTCCTCTTATATTCAAATAGTGACAGATTTAGGTGTCCCATTTTCGCATACAAGTCTCGAAGAGGGTTGAAAAGTACATCGATTTTGAGTGGGATGAAGGTATTTTTACGAGTGGCTCCTGGGGATAGCATATGGAAAATTCAATTTTACTTATGTTACCCTAAAGGGAATTTTCCATTGACACTCAAGCCAATATGTTTTCTTACTACCGATGTTGTAGATTTTCATCCTTCCGATGGGCTGGTGTGGAATAATCGCCCAAAATCTCGATTTTTTCCTACAAGATTACGCCCCTTATTTCAAACCTTTAGCCATCTGTAACACCCCCTTCTTAGTTTTACGAAGCCAGGTTTAATTAATTAATTCTTTGGTGAACACGGCTTGCGAGAAAATATGGGCACCAGGACGTCTTCCATTTCTGTTACGGAATATCGAATTTTCCATACGTTATCCCCAGGAGCCACTCGTAAAAAATACCTTCATCCTACTCAAAATCGATGTACTTTTTAACTCTCTTCGAGGCTCGTAAGCGAAAATGGGGCACCTAAATATGTCACTATCTGACGGTCTATATGCTCAAAAACACTTATCAGCATCCATAGTACCAGTGAGTCAAAATAAAATTGAATAGCTCAGGAAAGCTTTTTTTATGTTTAATAATATTAGGTTAGAATGTTTCATAATTGGCGGCGTATACACTATGATTTACATAGCCCGTGCATTAGAAATTGTCCAGTTTCCAGGTGGATTAGTAGAAATAGCATCTAATCCACCTGCAAACTAATGCACGGAATACGTAAATCACCCTATATATTCCTCCCAATCAACAAAATCCACTGCACGTCTATCCAACCTATATTACAGCACTATCCAAACAATACATTTCTGCTCTTTGGTGACTATAACTTACCCGAGGCAGTGTGGGTGAATGATGGTCATGGTTTAATATGGAGTGCCCTGCAAATTCAAATGTACTGACTGTTGCTGCATCTTTTGGGTTTTTGAAGCTGTTCCAGGTGAATACTATCCCAAATGACAGAAGTGTGTTTTTGGCCCTGGTTTTTACTACACCATTTCAACCTCAAGTAATGTTATTTTTTATAGGATAATTTGAATCGTTTGAGTCATTTATCTATTTAGAAAATTTGTCCATATTATGTTATAAGTCTACAAATTGTTCATTATTTTATCCACTCAATAGTGACATGTGTTTCGTTCATACAAGCATCATCAGACCTAAAAAATAATATAGAGAACCTAATTAGAGTACAAAATACACAGGTCTTGGTTGGAATCGAACCCATCAGGATACCGGTTCGACTCGAGGTTTACAGGGTGTGAAAAAAATTGTGTACCGGACTTCGAGGGGTGATTATGGAAACTATATACTCTTTCAGAACTGTTGCGACTTTTATTACTATCACCAGAATACCAAATTTCAAGGGAAATAGTTTGCCTTTGTTCTTGAAAATAAATAAAGTCCATTATTTTCATCTACCGCGTGAAGCGCTGTAACTTCTGCAGGGAGCATCTTAAGGCATATGTTCATGGAACCTAATTAAAGTTAAGTACACTGACTGGAGGTTTATAATCACTGCTAAATTTACTTTTCATCAATTCAAATTATTCTAAAAAATAACATCACTTTCTCCGTAATTGAATGTAATTTTCCGAATTTGAATTTACTTTTTCCGAAAATGATTACATTTTCCTAAATAAAAGTTACTTTTTCCGAAATTGAGGTTGAAATGGTGTAGTATTGGTAATTTAGAGGTTAATACGGCAAGTGATCCTATGATATTTGATCACAGAAAACCTTAGAGCAGGTAAAAGCGCAAGGACATAAGGAGTAGAAACGAGCCATTCTGCTTATTAAACCTAAAGTGAAGCCAAGTTTTTGGCAGGTGTTTGGCACCAAAATACGGGTGAAACATTGAATTGCCTATGCCGCCATTTTTTTGGTTCGTCAAAATACCTTCATTTTCCAACTTCATGTTACTACTCCTCTTTACCTTTATCTGCTCTAAGCAGAAAACTCACTTAAAAAAATTAGAAACCAATACCTTTCCAAAATGGTTATCGCCTGAGCTCAAACAACTGACATTTAGGAAGAGAAATGCCCACAAAAAATATATGAATGATATGACTGATGTTAACTACCAAGAATTCCCTCTTCTCAGGTTTCGGTGCAAGTTGCTCTCTAATCAAATAAAAACCCAGTACATGGGAAATGTAAATGACAGCTCTAAGGCAAACCCTAAATATTTTTGGAAATTTATTACAAACCAAAAAGGAACATACGATTTACTTTCAACAACGGTCCATGATGATCAGCTTTTTGGTGAAGGGCAAAACATAGCTAATGCATTTGGGGAGTACTTTTCCACAGTTTATTCAGCAATTTACTTGGCAAATAACGGGTCACAGTAGGACCTGATGGAGTTCCAGAGTTGTTATTGAAGAGGAGTGTTTGCACATTAACCATTCCTTTTACTATACTGTTCAATCTCTCTTAATAGTTCAGAATATCCAGATTTATAGAAAAAGTGTTTGTACCCAATATGTGATTCCAAAATTGCTAGATAAATTACTCAGACCAGGCTCAGCATGGATTTACCAAGGGCAAATTCACCACTACCAACTTGGTTTCATACCAGTCATCACTGCTGAAAGCCTTGGATGCTATATTTCTAAGACCTTTGACAGTGTTGATCATGAAATATTGTAGGTTATATAAATTTGGTTTTCAGCTAGATAAAGTAAAATGGTTCCTTTACTGGTCGTCTTCAAAAAGTAAAAATAAGCTCATTCATATCCAAGAATATTATGTCAACATCTTGGGTACTACAGGGTATACTACTCGCCATTACTTTTCAACATATTCATCACTAAAAACTTTTTGCATAGTGTATTTGCTGATGACTTCAAATTTTATATGTGTTTGATGAAAATTTATTACAGGAAGACTTAAATTGTCTTGTTGCTTCGTGTGATGAAGATTTTTAAAATTTGAAATTTTGAAAATTCGCTAGCAATAGGAGCTCCATTTCTTCCGTTTTCAAATTGGAAATTTCATTACAAAGTTTCTCATTTCTTGGAATTTTCACAAATGGTGGAACCTGGCAATTAATATAAATAAGCAAATTCTTCAATTTGGAATTTTATACTGATACTAACAATAAATAGGGCAGTGATTCTATGCTTTTATGATTTAAAAATTAACTTCTTTTACAGCAAAAGCAAAAGAGATGCAAAGAGTTGAAATGGAAGAACTCCGACAAAGAGAAGCGAACGCCACAGCCTTGCAAGCCATAGGCCCAAGAAAAAAGCCGAAATTAGAAGGAGAAACAACAACGAATTCACATGTAAGTCACCCTTAAATTAAATAACCCACAATAATGATTATTCTTCAATTACAGAGTCCATCAACACCAAACAACGCAATCCGCGGACAGATGCCGTTGCGGCAGCGCATCAAAAAAGTGACGATGCGCGACCTGCAATTCCTATTCGAAACCGAACGCGACACGTGCAGAAGTAAACTGTTGTACAAGGCCCACCTCAAGTGATACCAGCCGGTCGGCGTTCGCTACCATTTTAGTGTCCACGTTGTGATATTTTGTCTGTCCGCGAGACAACGGATCTAGAGTGTACTACACTGAATCGAGTACAAAAATTGTTGTTTGGAAAATTGTACGGTGCTTTGTCCCTTCGTCGTCGGTTGAGTTACCAAAATTGTCGGAATATGCCTTATATACGTATGTAGATTAAAAATGATGATGGTGTATCAGATTTATAAATTCAATATAGCAAGATCTTAGAAATTGATGATTCTTGGTCTGATACACTTCAGCTATGAGAGAGTTAAGTCAATAAAATAATCTTATGATGATTATGTAAAAAAGAAAAAAAAATTACTAATTAATCTGTATTGGTCCAATTCGTTTGGGTTTCGAGCACAAAATAGTTGAATTATTATTATAATTAATATAAAATTAGGTTGGATTTATTGAAACAAAACAAAAACATGGCCAGTAAGGTAAATGCATGTATATTGGTTCAGGGTTTTATTCAATAGATGCTTTTTTGAAAATCTACAAATGCAAAATAATTGACTCATCAAGTGTCTATTGAAAAAATCCAGCCCAGGGACTCCGTGTCATGTAGAATTCTACATATCGACAGGATTCCATAGGCTCGGCCCTATGTGCGGCTTTCGGATATGTTTCGATATGTCGAATTCTACATGGCATGGAGTCTTACCACAGTTTTTTTTTCGGAATCTAAAGTCTTGAACGATGGAAATGTTTTGTATCAAAACACCAAATTTAGTGAAGGTTTTCTTGTCCCCTGATTTTTGTTAGAGCGATTCATTTTTAATGAATTTATTGTTGTCTATTATTATTTTTTTAAATGTAGGTCTTCGTTCCAATTGGATTTATTTGAAAAATCTGATTGGTCGTTACAGAGTACCACTGGTTGACAAGTTGATCCCTCCATGCAAAATTCATTGGAATTGTTGGCAGTGGTACTTGAACTATACTTTGGGTTCTATGAAAAAGTGGCGCTTGAATTTTATAGAAGTTACAAGCAATTTTGTACTGTACAGGGTGGTCATTTTTAATAGGAAATATAAAGGACCCCGCACATTTCTTATGGAAAAATTATCTATGTAGAATTTTGCTGAACTTTCAATATTGTGTATAGGGAGTCGTTCTTAATAAAAGTTATAGCCAGAGAGCCAGCGCCGGAAAAATTCTCTGAATTTACTAAAGCCAGTTTTTGGTCAGTTGATTACAGTATTTACGTACATTAACATACCTCTGTCAGTCAAGCGAAACTTGGGACAAGGACCTAAGGTGTCTGGTTAAAGTTGTCGAGATAGCTAGGTAATGCAACGAATTTACTAAGGCTGAAAATCGCTATACATATTATATATAACACATAAATAACAGTGATGTTTTTCAGTCAGTTGAATAGCGGAACTGGGCCGGCACTCAGCCCCATTGAGGTAGTTCAGCCCCAATTTATGTAAAAAAAATAATAGGTCTATTTTTTTTATAGTGACAGCGTGTCAGTGACAATTCAAAATTGTAGGTTGAAGTTCAAATTAATAGGTTTGTTCAGTAATATTAATATTTTTTGCAGATTTTTACATTTATTGGGGCTGACTGACCAGCACGGTCCCGCTATTCAACTGACTGACTAACACTACTGTTATTTATATGTTATATATAATATGTATAACGATTTTCAGCTTTAGTAAATTCGTTGCATTATCCAAGTTATCTCGACATCTTTAACAAGACACCCTGGGTCCTTGTCCCAAGTTTCGCTTGACTGACCGCGGTATGTTTATGTCCGTAAATACTATAATCAACTGTCCAAAAACTAGCCTTAGTAAATTCAGAGAATTTTTTCGGCGCTGGCTCTTAGACTATTATCATTGTGCTTATGTTTGATACCGAACAGTTTTTAAGATATCAATTTAAATCTTTTTTAATGTAATACTTTTCAATATGACGTCACCAGTATGCTCACAGACACGAAAATTATTACTATCCTTTCCATTTTTGACTTTGACTATACTCACCTCCTTCTAACATTAAGAAATAAAAAAAGATAGCGATAGCGATTAGTGACAAATAAGTAGGTAAACAAGTGTAATATCCTGGGTAAAAAACTTCATGTCATGTCAGTCATATAGCGATTTCATTTGTACCTGTTGTTGTTTTTTTTTTACCTAATGTTAAAAGGAGAAGAGTATAGTCAAAGTCAAAGTGAAAGGATAATGATAATTTTCGGTGCTGTGAGCATACTGGTGACGTCATACTGAAGAGTATTATATTGAAAAAGTTTTTAATTGGTATTTTAAAAATTGTTCGGTATTAAACATAAGCGCAATGATAACTTTTATTAAGGACAACTCCCTCTACACAATATCAAAAATTCAGCAAAATTCCACATAGATCACTTTTCCATAAGAATTATCCATTTCTGAGCAAGATATAAATAAATAAACCACCAGTCCACTTTGAGATTCAAATTTCAATAGGACTTCCTATACAGGGTGTCCGGAATAAGTTGAGGTACATGGGGATTTTGGAAATCAAAGATACAGGGTCGACCGAACGTTGAAAAAGTTGTGCAATTAAGTACATACAAATAGCCTGTCATAATTTGAATGGTAACGGACATACAGAGCAAAAAAGAGAAAAATGCATATGGATTTTGTAATTCAAATTGTCCCCATTTACCTCAAGCTGTAATAGTTTTCCGAGAAAATAAAGTTATATCTGTTATTTTCTAAAGGAACAATGTGTTGGAAAAGGACTTTATATTTGTGAGGTAAATGAGAAAGGTCTTTTTCTAACAGATTGTTTCTCTCACGGTATAGAGGTTATTTTTTTTGTATTTCGCTCAGATCTTGATATTTGCTATTAAGTGTCCAAGTTGGACCACCCTGTACCATAATTTAAGGGAACTACACTGCACTGATAATTCACAATTTGAAAAATATTGAATGTAACACTGGCCGTTTATTCATCTTCAGGGCTGGGACTCTGTAACATATAGAGATCGTTTTCTTCATTTGCTGTCTTCTTCTCTCTTTTTGAAAAGAATAGAGAGGGAACGTCAATAAAGATAAAGAAAATATCTGTATTTGTTACAGAATCCCAGCCCTGATAAACTTACTTGTTACTATCTACAAAATAAATTTACTGTTCTATAATTCTATTGGTCGGTAAATAACTGCCAGACCAATGGGATTACAGATTGCGTTTTTATCTGTCAGATTGCATATGTGACAGTGAAGGTAAATAAACCTAAATGGTATTATACGTATATCTTTCTCTATTTCATAAAGCTAGAGTAAGAGAAATGTAACACTTTAAAAGGCCTACTTGGATGTCATGACCAAACTACCAGAAAACCTTCTAAAATGCATTCGATGATGAAATTTTCAACCTGAAACATCGAAACATGTCATCACAAATGTCAAATGTCATTTTGAAAAAAACAAAGAAGGCATTCGTATAGGAAAAACAACGGAATATTTTCTGTTTTTAACGATTTTGAGTTAGTTTTTGCCAGATATGTATATATAGTAGAACCCTGGTTATCTGAAGTAACGTTGGGGGGTGTCTACCTTGGATAACTAAAAATTCGAAAAATCCAAATCTACATAATATGTACAGTCGTGAGCACAAAAAGTGGGACACCCGTTTTTTCCTATTGTAAAACAGGCTCACCAGCTATATCTACAGCAATGACAAGGATTGTCATATTTGACAAAAAAGACTAATTCACCCAAAATAGCGAAAAATGACAAGACCTGTCAGTCGGGTGTCCCACTTTTTGTGCTCATAACTGTATATGTATAGTATATTCTAGAAACTCGGTTATTACGGAGTATGGACGTGCGTACCTTGGATAATCAGGATTTTTGGATCCTTAGACTGGCTTAATCCAGAGCTCGGATAATTGCGACTCAGATAATCGGAGTTCTACTGTATCTTGAAAACTAATAAATGTTTGGCAACACTGTAAGAATATCAAGAGTAGTCACTAAACATGGCAACATTTTCTTCCTATTTGGGACACCCTGTATATGCGAATTTTAAGCGTACCTCGGATAATCATTATTTTTGGGCCATTAGGTTGGCTCGGTTAATCCAGAGCTCGGATAATTGCAACTCTGATAATGTGGCAACATTTTGCTTCCTATTTGGGACACCCTGTATATGCGAATTTTGTTTTAGGCCCGGTTTATTTATCTTGTAGCTATGGTTCTATAATTATATTGGTTGGTGGATATCTGGCTAACCAACCGGATTACAGAATGCGTTTTTATCCATCAGACTGTATTACCTGAAACTATTAAAAGGTGAATAAATCGGCCTTAAATGATATGGTATTTATCCTTTTTCTTAAAGAAAAAACAGAAGAAACGTAACATTTTTAAAGGCCTACTTGGATGTCATAAGTCAAGGATGATACATACTACTACTACTAAAGGATAGCCTATCCTCATAAGACTTGTGTGGAACAAATCCCCCCCCCCCCCCCCCCCCCCCCACACACACACACACCATATTACCAGTTGTGACGTAGGCAGCATGTCCTTTCCTGGATGGATGTAGGTCGTTTATATATTAGAAATCAAGGAGAATACACACTCTAAGGAGTGCTTATCGGCCTCGTTGTTGGTAATCGCCGCCATATTGGTTTTCAACTATTGTTGACGTCATAACTAAGTCGTCAGCTGTTTAAACAGCCTACGTCAAGGCAAGAAACGCCATGCTGCTTACGTCACAACTGGTTGTTTGGAGTGAGGGGGGTAAGGGGAGATTTGTTACACACAGGCCTTATGAGGATAGGCCATCCTGTAGTAGTAGTGTGTATCATCCTTGATTAGAAATGCCGTAAGCAACATTTTTTACCATGGGCGCAACCTTGTATATATGACAGGTGTGGCGGTATCGGCTGTCAAATATTGGAATTTAATATTCAAAAGCAGGGAAATTATCGCAAATTTTGATGAAACAAGTATCGATTCCTACTAAGTTGACCAAGAAAAATCGGAAAATGTCACCCATTTTGAAATCTGTCAAAACTCTGTCAAACGGCAGCACTCATATTTTTCAGTTTTCAGTATTTCATGATGTGTCATTTGACAGTTTTAGCTTATGTAAATTCTGAGTTGAAAATTGGAAAAAAAAAATTACAGGACGTTTGACAGTCCTGTCATTTATTTAAGTAGGAAAACAGATTCATATCTCGTTCTTTCTTGTTTTAAGGTAGTTTATTACTAATAAAAGATCAAGCAAAGCTCATCGACATCAAATTTTGACAGCTGTCAAAATCTGAAACCTGTGTATAAATTTTTTTTATGCTTCATAATAAATAAGCATAACTTAAGTAATTTGAACAGAACTGGAGTTCAATTTTTTTTTTTTCAATTATAGCTAATGTCAGATTCTGACATCTGTCAAAATTTGATGTCTATGAGCTTTGTTTAATGTTTTATCACCAATAAACTACCTTCCAACGAAAAAGAGCCAAATTGGAATTCTTTTTTATACCAAAACAAATGACAGGTTTTGACAGTTCTGTAATTTTTTTTTCCAATTTTTCAACTCAGAATTTACATAGGTTGAAACTGTCAAATGACACATCATAAAATATTGAAAACTGAAAAATATGAGTGCTGCCGTTTGGCAGGGTTTTGACATATGTCAAAATGGTTGACATTTTTCGATTTTTCTTGGTCGACTCATTAGGAATCGATATTTGTTTCATCAAAATCTGCCATAGTTACCCTGCTTTTGAATATTTGACAGCTGATACCACCTCACCTGTCATATATACAAGTTTGCGCCCATGGTGAAAAATGTTGCTTACAGCATTTTTAACAACATATTTAAATTTCATCCAAATATCACAAGTAACCAATTTGCGTTTAAATATTGCGGGGTCCTTTAAATTTTAAACTATTACCTCTAGCGTAAACAGCTGATGACTTGTTAATGACGTCGGAAATGGTGACATACCAATATAGCGAGGCCGATAAGCAATCCTTAATAGTGTGTATTATCCTTGGTCATAAGTTGCTTAGGAATTGAAAACGAGAGAGATAGGTATATTGTAGGATGGCATGACAAAATTACCAGAAAACCTTCTTCTAAGATGCATTTGATGATAAACTTTTCCAAGGATGATACATACTACTACTACAGGATGGCCTGTGTGCAACAAATCCCCCTTCCACGTCAAATTACCAGTTGTGACGTGCCTTAATGTAGGCTGTTTAAATAGCTGACGACTTGGTTATGACGTCAAAAATGGTGATATACCAATATGGCGGCGATTACCAAAAGCGAAATTGGTGAACAATCCTGTAGGTATGTATCATCCTTGAGAGTTTCCAGTCTGAAACGTCAAAAACATGAGTAATAAAAAAGTCCAATCTGTCAAAGTCACTTTGAAAAAACGAAGACGACATTTTGTATAGAAAAAGTAACCAAATATTTCTTGATTTTGACATTTTTGAGTGGGTTTTTTCCAACATCTCAAAAACTAACAAATATTTGGCAACACTGTAAGTATGTCAAGAGTGATCACTTAACATGGCAACTTTTTCATTCTTATTTTGGACACCCTGTATATGTAAATTTAATTTTTTTAGGCTCGGTTTACTCATCTTCAGACAAATTTGCTGGTAGCTATGGTTCTATAGTTCTATTGGTCGGCGGATATCTGGACGACCAACGGAATTATAGATTTCGTTTTTATCCGTCATACCTGACAGTTTATCAGAAGGTCGGTCCTCAAAAAGTGGGGAAGAAATCAAAATCCGCACATACGAAGTATGTATATCATTATATCTTTCTCTATTTCATAAAGATAGTGCAAGAGAAACGCAACTTAAGGCCTACTTCAATGTCATAAGTGTCCTTGTAGTAGGAAATTAAAAAGAGAGAGAGATAGGTATATTGTAGGATGTCATGACAAAACTATCAGGAAATTTTTGAAAATGTATTCTGTTATAGAATTTTCAGCCTGTAACATCAAAAACGTGAGCAATTAGGCAATCTATTCCAATATGGCCGTTCAGGTCAAATTGTGGTTACGTTTATAAAAAAAGCATTTTTGTTCAGGGCCCTTATTGTTATAGATGCCAAACATGACAATATGACAATGCCAATGTCAAACCTAAATGTCCAAAATAATAATTTTCCATTGACTGACCTAAACTTCCATATTGAATTTCGTTCGACAGGTCATGAGATCACAAATGTCAAATGTCATTTTGGAAAAACAAAGACGGCATTTCGTATAGAAAAAAAAACTGAATTTTTTTTGTTCTTAACGTTTTTGAGTTGTTTTTCCCCCAATATCAACACTGTAAGTATATGAAGAGTAATCACAAAACATGCAACTTTTTTTTTCCTATTTTGGTCACCCTGTATAGGATGATTTGACGTTCTATCAATTCGTGGGAATAACATACCTGACAACCGTAAAGGTATGTTTATATTCAAAGTCAAAGTCAAATTTGCTGGTCGCTATGGTTTTATAATTCTATTGGTCTATTGGCTGACCAATGGGATTACAGATTGCGTTTTTATCGGTCAGATTGCATATCTCACAGTTTTTCTGAAGGTGAATAAGCTGACCTTAAATGGTATTATATATATCTTTCTCTTATAAAGATAGAGCAAGAGAAACATAACATTTTAAGGTCTACTTGGATGTCATAACTGTACTTGGCCTAGGAATTGAAAACGAGAGAGATAGGTATATTGTAGGATGTCATTATCAAATTACTAGAAAACCTTTTGAAATACATTTGATGAAATTTTCTGTTTGAAACTTTGAATATTTGGCAACACTGTAAGTATGCCAAGAGTGGTCACTAAATATGGTAACTTTTTTCTTTCTATTTTGAACACCCTGTATATGCGAATTTTAATTTGTTTTAGGCCCGGTTTATTAATCTTCAGATAAACTTACTGGTAGCTATGGTTCTATAGTTTCATTGGTCGGCTGATATTTGGTCGACCAATGGGATTACAGATTGCGTTTTATATCCGTCAGATCGCAGAGTTTATCAGAAAGTGAATAAATCAAGCCTAAATGATATTATGTATACATATTTTTCTCCATCTCATTAAGATAGACCAAGAAAAATATGACACTTTATAAAGCCTACTTGGATGTCATAATAAGTGCACTCGGCCTTGCAATTGAAAACGAGAGAGATAGGTATATTGTAGTATGTCATGACCAAACTACCAAAAAACCTTCTAAAATACCTTTGTTGATGATATCTTGAAAACTAACAAATGCTTGGCAACGCTGTAAATATGTCACGAGTGGTCACTAAACATGGCAACTTTTTTCTTTCTATTTTGAACAGTCTGTATATGCGGATTTTAATTTGTTTTAGGCCAGGTTTATCAATCTTCAGATAAACTGTTAGGTATAGAATCTGACGCAGTCTGTAGTTGTCGGCTGACCAATAGAATTATAGAATTTATTTTGCACATAGTTACCTTATCAGCAAGTTTATCCGAAGATGAATAAACCTGACTTTAGAGGACTTGCAGATATCAGATAAATACACCGAATACAGACAGACACATCAATATTGTTTTTGTTTCGAAAATTCACAGGAATAAAAAACAATTTTACTCTGAAATTCGAAGAAAAATGGTTATTTTCTAAATGATGGCAACGCCGCTCTATTCGAAAACATACAGTAAGTTCGGTTAATTCTCTGTAAGCTAAAAGATGACAGTGTTAACAGAAGCTCATGTGATTTTTTATAAGAAACTGGTCACGTGGAGTTACCATTTTTTTGCTCGAGGAGGATTAACCGAATTCTACTAATATTAGAACCTTGACAGCTGTCACTTGTTGTGACGCAGTTTTACCATGCGCTATTGTCAGGTTTAGATAGAAATCACGAAACTTGTAGGTATAAAGTGCCTTTAAACAAAAACTAACAATTAAGAAATTTATAAAACTAAAGATTAATTCTCATGAAATTTGAGTCTCGAAGCTAACTTTTTCAAGAACCCAAGTAGGCCATTGAAAACAGTCAAAAAACACCTTTGACTTTTGACATTAAATGAACTGTCAACCTGAGGAACCGTTTCCCATGGTACGATAAATAAATTAAATTGTAAATAGAAAAGCAAATATCAAATATTAATTAATTAGAATCGGCCCATCCCCCCTCCCATTACACAAGAGTTGTAAATATTTTGTTTGTTTATGGTTTTATAATTTTTCTAGGAAATATTATCGGGCAGGAGGAGGTTGACAATAAAACTGTCAAATTTTTTCTCAGAACCCGCCCCTTCTGCCTTTTGGTACCTTCGCAATGTAAATTTTTTTGTTTTTTTTTTTGTATGTAATTGAATATAGATTATAATGTTTTGTTAATTGTAATTATTATATATAGATAAGAATTAAATTTTAAACATGGATGTATATATTATTATTATTATTATTATTATATTGATTTTTCATTGTCCTGCCTTCTTGTAGGAAGTCTTTTTTTTTTCTGCTCTTTTTTTATAATTTATTTTGTAACCATGAACGTTCCATATCTATTTTTATTAAATTGTTTTTATAAAAATCAATAATTTTGGCTTTTTTTATGTCATTTCTAACCCAATAACCCTTTTCACGTGGCTCCGGTTTAACAAACCGCAACATACCGCTCAAATTCGAGTGATAGGTATCCATCACGTCACTTTGTAACCAGGCGTTATTCTTGACTTTCTCCCGAGAGAAAATTTGACTGTGTTGACAGTTACAATGTCAAATTTTCTACCTAGGTAAAGTCAAGAATAAAGCTTCTAGAAAACGGTATGTCATTTCTCTAACCGTTTTGTAACTCGGTTAGTTAAACCGAAGCCACGTGAAAAGAACTAATATAAATCGCAACAAGTTTTGATTGTGGTTGAAATGTAGTGAGTAGCCGCCTTAAGGTAAAAATGATTGGAACAAAAACAACAATAATCAGTTAAAAACAAATAAATTCACTTTTTTTCTTTAACGTAACTTATAATAATTCTACCGATCGCAACAGCGTCCAATAAAAACACACCTCCTTTTACGAACAAAATACTTTTTACAAAAACTTGGCCTACTACAACAATAATTAAAATAAAAAAAATTACAGCTGAACTTTGGTATCTGAAGTTTGTGTTGGCTGACCCGGTCCGGTCTTTTCCTTATTCCAATCTTTCAAACCTTGAAAATAATTATTTAGAAAAATACTGTAAACTAAACTATTAAATTACCTTCAGGCAAAGCAGTATCCTCCTCAAACGATCCAGTACCTTCGACAAACTCCTCATAAGTAGACTTTTCCGGGAAAGGTCTTTTGCCTAAAAGTTCAATCATATCGTCTCGGCTAATGATTTCTTGTTTCAGCAAACGTTCAGCCACTCTGCCTACTTTTTCTTTGTGTTCAGTTAGCAATTGCCTTGTCCTAACGTGAGCTGTTTCTATTAGTTTTCTAACTTCGACATCAATCATTTGCGCAGTTTCTTCGGAATAAGGTTTTTCAATCATCATGTCGCCGTCTTTTGGCATATCGAAGCTGACGTTACCTACTTTTTCGTTCATACCATAGTGGACAATCTATAAGACAAATTATTAATTTTTATATAAGATTGTTTAAGTGTTTTTTTACCTGTGCATAAGCACTTTGAGTGACTTTTTTCAAATCATCCTGAGCCCCGGTGGTTATTCTGTTGAAGAAAAGCTCCTCGGATACTCGGCCTCCTAAAGTCATGCACATTCTATCGAAAAGTTGTTCTTTTGAGTACAAATATTGATCTCTGGGTAAGTATTGGGCATAGCCGAGGCCTTTTCCACGTGGAATAATCGAGACCTGTGAAATTTTTTTAAAAAAAAACGCCAACAATAGACCAAGAATCGCTTACTTTCAATAAAGGATCGGCATGCTCCAAAAACCAACCGGCAACAGCGTGTCCGGCTTCATGGTAAGCCACAGTTTTCTTTTCTTCGGGCGACAAAACGTTTGTCTTTTTTTCCATGCCGGCCACAACACGTTCAATCGCTTGCTCGAAATGCTTCATAATAATTTGATCGTTCAAATCTCTAGCCGCTATAAGCGCTGCTTCGTTGCAGACATTTGCGATATCTGCCCCAGTAAATCCTAAAAAATAATATTTAATTTTACTGAAACTTTGATGAAATTATTAACCTGGTGTTAAAGCAGCCATTTTCCTAGCCAAATCGAGTTTGTCCAAATTGGTTTTCAGGTGGGCCAAGTGCACTTTAAAAATGCTGGCTCTGCCTTTGATGTCGGGAGCGGGTACGAAAATTTGCCTATCAAACCTGCCGGGTCTTAGTAGGGCTTTGTCTAAAATGTCGATTCTATTGGTTGCTGCTAATACTACTACGTTTGTGGTTGTATTGAAACCGTCCATTTCTACTAAGAGTTGGTTTAGGGTGTTTTCTTGTTCCGAGTGGCCACCGAATGAGCGACCCCCTCTTTTTCTACCTACAGCATCAATCTAGAACAATTCTTATTATTATCATTGGTTGTCAATGATTAATCATGGAGTTTATAGGGAGGAGGGTAATGGTTATTTAGGCACGCATAAATATCTTTCATCAGAAACTTACTTCGTCTATGAACAAAATGCAAGGCGCATGCTTCCTGGCCATGGAAAACAAATCCCTGACTCTGGAAGGTCCAACTCCGACAAACATTTCCAAAAACTCCGATCCAGATACAGTAATAAAAGGCACATTTGCCTCACCCGCTGTTGCTTTAGCCAAAAGCGTTTTGCCTGTTCCAGGAGGCCCCGTTAACATTGCACCTTTAGGAATTTTAGCTCCGAGTTCGATATATTGTTGAGGATTTTTGAGGAAATTAACAAACTCCATAATTTCGATTTTGGCTTCTTCACAACCGGCAACGTCTCTAAATTTCACTCCAATTTCGTTGGAATTTATTAGTTTAGCCGTACTTTCCATGACACCTCCGAATAAGCCTCCGCCTCTTTTGCCTCTACGTCCGCCCATCATTTCGGCCGATCGCCTCATCATCCAAAATAGGAACCCGATAACCAATAATGTAGGCAAAATACCTAAAAATTATTTTAAATAAATACCTATGAACAACAATAATATTTAATTATGGTACCTGTAAGACTAGCAGCCTCAATTTCAGTCCTATAAATGACCGGCACGAAATTTTGTGGTTCAATGCTCATTTCCACTTGCGCATTTTCCAGATTTCTTTCAAATGAGTCCACGCTTCCGATGTTAAACCAAATAACATTCTATAAAAAACAAATCAGAAAGTCAGATTGCATAGTTGACAAGTGATGTGAAATTCCTGAAACATTCAAAAGCCGTGAACATTCTCGGAAACTTTCCGGAAACCACTTTTATGGATGGTTGAATAAGGCTTTGAAGGAAAAGCTGATCCGATTAACCCAATCTCTCAGCTATTTTTTTTTTATCTTTCTTCAATGAAGATTATTTTAAAAAAAGACAAACTGTAGGTACATCAGCTGGTGATCAGATAAATCGGATCAGCGTTTTCGTAGAGACAGTTGGATTGGGCTACGTCATCCACATAAATTGAAATGACGTTACTGAGAACTTGTATTCGCAATAATTTCGCATAAAATTCTTCTGGAAAGTTCTCGGAAATATTCTCGAAAGTTCTCGGAAATATTCTCGAAAGTTCTCGGAAATATTCTCGAAAGTTCTCAGAAATATTCTCATTCAGCAGAACATTTCCATTTTTTATAGGCGAATATTCTTGGAAATTTCCCAATGTTCGCGAATATTCGCATGGGAATATTCTTGACTCACATCACTAGTTGACAGTTTATCAGAAGGTGAATGAACCGGTCCTTATTATAACAGTTACTTACTCCTTGGCCTTCTACTGTAGTTCCAGGAGTTAATCTGACTCTAACCCATTTTTTGTTGACGACTTCTAACTTTTCGACTACGCCTCTCGATAAGTAACTAAAAATTTACTCGTTAAAGGAATTGCTTGTAATGGTTATTAATATAAGTACTTGTAAACGAAATCCTTCCAAGCAATTTCCTTATAACCCATTTCCCACATAGTAATTGTGGCTAGGAAGCACAAGGCAGCAACTCCTCCCATCAAGTACCATTTACTTTGGCCATTGTCACCGAAAGGCTTACCACCACTACCCCTAAAAATATTTGCGATTTTATTTCAGGAACTGAGTTCGAATGAGCTGAAATTTTCAGGGTTTGCAGAATGGCTGAAACCTTTCTATCTAGTTATATGGACATTTTACCTTGTTCCAGTGCCTCCGAAAAGCCCAAAGGACCATTGATCGTAAGGCTTCTTTTCACCAGGGCTTCCTAAAGAAGGCCTAGTCACTGGAGGTGGCTCCCTGGGCTGCGGTTTAGTGTCTTTTTCTGTAAAAATGTATCAAAAACCTCAAAAACAAATAGTAGATTTGTACCTTTGGCTTCTTTGGCTCCAGGTTTCGCATCTTTGGGTGCCGCTTTGCCTTCTTTAAAGTATTTTTCGAAACCTTTAGGCGGTTTCTCGCAAAACAGTCTCCATTCTTTGAGTATTGCTTTTTTAATTAATGTCGAATTGGTCTGGAAACAAGAGTTAGAATCTCAACAACAGTTCTGTTCGAACCCGACATAAGAACCGTTCTAGAACGGTAAATGTGACATAAAACTGCCATTCTACTTTCTCTCAAATAAATGAAATTCAAGGTTTATAAAGCATTAACAACTCCATACATTTCTAGGCCTACAAAACTTAAATTTGTGGCAAAACAACCAAAAAAATTGAAAAGAGGAAAAGGATAGAGGTTAGATAATCATAGCAAAAATCAGGCTCTTACCCTAGGTATATTCGTGCTACACTGCTTGAAGGTTTTCCACACGAGATTTTCCCATCTTCTAGTATTAGTTAATAGTCGATAAGCCATGACAAAATATCAAGATTTTCAAACAAAAATCATATAACTTTCATTTCAAGGGTTAGGAGTCAAAAATTTTCCCTAACCTCACTTTTTTTAAGGGATGACAACTGACAACGTTGTATCGATAGATGTCATTGAAGTATCGATAAATTGGAGTAAAGAAATCGATTATAATTTTGTGCTGAACTAATTTGTTTGCTCTATTTGGTTCCATTTCAGAACAACAAGAGTTCCCTGGTCTGACTCCAAGTCTGTGTTGAACAGCTGAATCCAGTTCAAGAAAACTTCTTTTAGGAAACAAATTTTATCTCAACTTTAAAATTGCAACTAACAAAATTCAACACGCTGTTCCATTATCAAATTGTTCTTTGCCCAGAGTTCAAGAGTAGAAATCTGGCTCGCTCCGATTTATTCGTAGATTGCATAGCTCTGTGCTCTAATTACTCTAAATGAGTTGTTTCAAATTGTTCTAAAGAGCTTCTGAACCCTTTGACATGGCTTTTATGTTCTAGAGCTACGAGGATAATTTTTTAAATCAGTACCTACCATTTGTAGTATTTTGAAGCACTGTCAATTTTGAATATTGATGCTCTAAATTGGTTCTAGAAAATTCTAATACTTTTCAAATTGGCACTGAGGTGATCTAACATGGTCGCAATCAGTATACGGCTTTTGAACTGGAGCACCCTAAATGACGTCATTAAAGTTATCAGAGCTGCTTTCCAGTATGCACATTGGCGCGCTCTAGAGAACCCCGGGAGCACCACGCACTAGATTTATACCGTTCCAGTATCATAACGTGTGACTTTTGTTCGTACGTACAGCTCGGGAGCTCAACGTTCCGAGTAGCTCCAAGCGTCACACTCCCATAGGTGGGTTCGGCTTGCTCACTCCGTGCACTCCGAGTGACTCCATTCGCACTCCAGCCGTTCGAGTTATGGTTCGGGTATTGCTTTTTACTGTATTAGGGTGACTCCGAGGTTGACTCCATTAGCTCTGTTCACTCCACTCCAACTCCGCGCTGAATAGCCAAACCCAGCTCATATTGGAAAGCGGCTCTAGCAACCCACTAGAGCTGAATTCAACTATTCACAGTGAGTTCAGAATGGTAAAAAGTGTCGACACTTTTTACACTATTGACACTATGGCGTTCCTTAATTGAGCTGAGTTCGGAATGGGATTTTAGTGCAGTGTTAGTGCGGTGTTCGTGTAGTGCAGTGATATATAACTTGATGAAGCTGTAGTCGGCAGTGAAGCACCGAATACATCATCATAATGTACCGAGTAAACGGTGTCCCACCATCTTCTCAGGATCCGGACACCAAATTATGTCCAAACACAAATAAAGTGTACGCCAAACTTACTCCTACCAATTAAAGAACTCTACAGTGTCAATAATGTAAAAATTATCCACACTTTCCACCATTCCGAACTCACCTTTGGTAGGAGTGTTTGGTGTACATTTTTTTTGCGTTTGGAAATAATTTAGTGTCCGAATGGTGTGAAGATGGTGGGACACCGTTTACTCGATACAAAATAATGGTGTATTCGGTGTTACACCGCCGATTACACTTTCATCAAGTGATATAACACTGCACTACACAAACACCGCACTAGAATCCAATTCCGAACTCAACTTCAGCATGGAGTTCGAGTGGAGTAAGAACAGATTTTTAACACGTGATCTAGGAGTGATAAGAGTGAAAAATTAATACATGCCCTGTGTTCAGTAATTTGATCCGAGTTCTCCGAGCTTGAATTTATCGTTCGTTCATTTAAAAGGTGTACTCGGTGCAGGCTCATACGCGTTCGTTTCATAAAATTTCGGGCACTCGAACAGCGTTCAACTGTTCTCTGGTCACGTGATTACGGCTCTCCTCAGCACGCTCTGCTTTTTGAGCAAAATATCGAACGCAAGGTTATTCTGAAATATCGATAAGATGGAGTAAAAACAAAAACATTGAAATAATCAGCCATTAAAAATCGATATAATTATGTTCCTGAACTAATTTCTTTGCTCTATTTGATTCCATTTTGGAGCAAATAGAGTTCCATTACGATCGCTTTCAAATATGAATAGAGTAACTACGTTCATGGATCCATTCTAAGAGTTCCAGTTTGGAACAATTTCAGAGTAAGTACAATTTGAGTTGCTGGTTGACTCAGCTTGCTCCAAGCTCCGGGTCGCTATAAGCGATTTGTTCGAGCAATGGTTCGAGAGTAGACTTTCTGTTTACTATAACAAGCAACAAAAAACTACTCGTATTTCAACATCGTGTTGTGAAATCGAACTCAGCTTAAGAAACATGTAAACCCAAACATACCGGAAAATCGATATTCTACATTCTACTACGACGGATCAATAACAATTGTTCAGAGTGCTCTAATGGTTCGGAGTATGCCAACTATTCAAAGTAATGCTACTGTTTCGATTTCTCCTACTGATCAAAGTACTTCAACCATTTGGAGTATACCAACTGTTCAGAGTGAACCAACTGACTAGAGTACTCCAACTATTCAAAGTACTCTGATTAAACAACTGTTCAGAGTACTTCGAGTACTTCAACTGTTCGTAGTGCTCCGTGTACTTCATATAGTTCTGACATGCTTTCAATCAGATTAGGATAGTGTTCCTTTATTCTTTCTAAATTGTGAATTTTAAATAGGTTTTGACGTGTTCTAATTACTTCAAATGAATTGTTCAAGATCGTTCTAAAATGCTTCTAAGCTCTTTGCCTATTGCCTATTGTTAAGTAACAGAGAAGTGCAAATGAAATAGAAATTAAAGCAATTGGAACACGTAGAGCAATTCGAACAATAGAAGAAATTCAAATTTAATGCAGATGGAATGCTCAGAGTAATTTAAATCGAGTTAGTGCAAATAGAACAGAATTAAAACAGTCGAAGTAGTTCGGTCAGTTGAACAGATCAAAAAGAGTCAGTGCACTTGGAACAGTCAGACTAGAATAAAAATTTGAATTTTGTGCGTAGATTCCAAAATTCGTATACAAGTAGTTTCGGAACCGTTCATGGAATCGTTTTTTGGATGTGTGGGAATAGACCTTCAAGACGCCTTCTTTTCAAATCTGCGAGTGTCTCTGAACGACTCCGAGTGATTTTGAGCTTTCTCTTCGAGGGTTCATTTTAAGAGTCACAAGCTTCGAAACTCTTTGTTCGGAGCCATAATCGCGGTTGGTTAAACTTGGATTGGTTGTGAACTAACAGGGTTATTATTGGTCTGATTTACCTTGCGTTCGGCATTTTGTTCAAAGAGCAGAGCCCCCGGATCACGAACCCACAATTCGATAGTATCGTCCATGTAAAGCCTAGTACTCATAACTGCGAAATTCACATTTTTTTGACATTGCTTCAACAATTTGACGTTTGACTCACACATAAAACATCAAATTGTCGACGCAATGTCAAAAAAATGCGAATTTCGCAGTTATGAGTACTAGGCTTTATTCATATGGACGATACTATCGAGTCGAGGGTTCGTGATCCGGGTCCAGAGCGTGTTGCGCAGAGCTGTAATCACATGTCGAGCGAATGAAGCAGTTGAACGCTGAATCAGAATGCCAGAAATATTAATAAACGGACGCGATTTAGCCTGCACCGAGTACACTTTTTAAATAAACGAACGGTAAATTCAAGCTCGGAGAACTCAGATCAAAATACCGAATGCACGGTAAAATTTCAAACTAACCTGGTTATTATCGGTAAGTTTAGTAATATACTCTGAACAGTTGGATTACACGGAGTAGCACAGTTAGAGTCCTCGGAGTTCTTCAAATAGTTGGAGTACTCGGAGTAGTCTAAAGAGTTGTTGTACTCGGACCATTTTGAATAGTCAAAATCCTTCGAAGAGTTGGGGTACTGCGGACAGTTGAAGTACTCCGATCAGTGAAAGTATTCCGAACAGTTAGAATACTCCGGTCAGTTAGTCCACTCCGAAAAGTTAGAGTACTTAAATCCAAACATCCATAGAACCAGTGGAACTAGTTCGGAATCGATTGAATAGATCAAAAAGAGTCAATGCACTTGGAATAGTCGAAGCAGAATAACTAAAAACCCAAAATTAATTTATCAGCCTATTGTTATAGTGAATAAATTCATTTTTTTATAGCATATTAAAGTAGTTCAAACAGTAACAATCGGAGTAGTGCAAACAGAACAGTTAGTGCAGATGAAATAGGAACTAACACAATTGGAACATTTAGAGATGAGGGAATGCTAGAGTAATTTAAATCGAGTTAGTGCAAATGGAACAGAACTAGAACTGTCAAGGTAGTTCGGACAGTTTAACAGATCAAAAAGAGTCAGTGCACTTGGAACAGTCAGAGTAGAATTAAAATTTAAAATTTGTGCGTAGATTCCAAAATTTGCATACCGAGTAGTTTCGGAACCGTTCATGGGATAGTTTTTTGACGTGTAGGAACAGACCTTAAAGACGTTTTTCACGTTTGCGAGTGTCTCTGAACGACCCCGAGTGACTAGGAGCTCTCTCTTGTGTTCATTTTGAGACTCACAACTCGGAAGTTTCTGTTCGGAGTCATAAGCGCGTTTGGTTAAACTTGGATTAGTAGCGAACTTACCGGGTTATTATCGTGTACTACAGCTAGAGTAATGTAACAGTTAGAGTTCTCAGAGTACCTTGAACAGTTGACTCGGAGTAGTCTAAACAGTTGGTGTACTCGGAGTATTCCAAACAGTTGGAGTACTCCGATCAGTAGGAGAAATTCAATTTGGAATGATTTTAGAACAGGAAAAAAAAATTGAACTATCTTCTATTCAAGTATTCCTAAAACCAGTAGAATTAGTTCGGAATTGTCCAGCAGTTTAGTTCCATATAACCAATAGTTGTATTCTTTTCACACCTAGGAAAAGCTCCGGAACAGCTCCGGGGCTTCACACGCTTATTCCTTTCGAAAAGAGTTTATCGTACCACGCATCTGTTCCCTGCAAATCGGGGGCTACTAAACACCGGAGCGAGTAGCTCGAGTGTTTCAAACTCTTGAAAGGAATACAACTAATGAAATTCACTATAACTGGTTTGTGAACTCGGGATCTTTTTTCACCGCGCGCGATTCTGGAACAGGAAAGGAAAACTCAGAGCTTATATTCAAATTTGACACAGAGTATACTTTTGTTAATTCCCTAGAATCGGTAGAACTGGTTCGGACTGAAATTGAACCAGAACTGATTCATGTTGAAAAGTGAACAAAGAACTGTTATCAAACATTTGGAATTTAGTGAATCACGAACCGCGAATGATATAATTTGAATCTGCTCTATTGAATAGTTTCGAATTTTCATAAGCTAATATTGGGCAAATGTTTGCCAAATCAAATCTTTTGGTTCCTGTTCTGGAGTCACTCGCAGTAATATAATCCAAATCCTGAACTGGGTTCATAATAATCAGCCATCCACTCTACGATAATCCGTATTGAATTGGCTCCGGAGTAGATTGGAATGTTGTCTGCGAACAAGGTTAGCTATATATATACCAGATCAGGATTTCCTTTCACTGTGGGATTGTTTGGGACACACGAAACGCAAACTTATTGTTGCGTTGGATCATAGACAGTTCCAAATTTTTGATTTCTGTTCTGGAGTCGTTTGCAGGAAAACAAAATCACGTGAATTGAATTGGATTCATAATACCGAATTGGTTCCAGACTGGTTCGGAGTGATTGTGATCCGCGAACAAGGCTAGTAAGTGCAGATAAGAACAAGATACAGAAAACGAAAACGCTATTTTTTGACATTTCCAATGTCGACTCGTCTGTTTGACAGTTCCAATTCAAAAAAATCAACACAAAAGAAAAGCTTCCAATTTTGTGAATTTTTTCAATTTTCCGGTAAATAAATCGAGAAATAAAACTGAAAAATGTCTGAAAAACCGAAATTGGACCTCGGCCTTCTCGAAGAAGACGACGAATTCGAGGAATTTCCCGTTGAAGGTAGGCAGAGAAACTTTAGTTTTGAGGTTATGTTTCATTCATGAGTAGACAAAATTACCATCATAAATCCCCTATTTTCATGTATTTTGTCCTAAAATTAGATTGGACTGGTAAAGAAAAAGATGACCAGGACATCAGCGTATGGGAGGACAACTGGGAAGACGATAATGTCGATGACGATTTCAATAAGCAATTGAGGTGAGGCAAAAGCCTATTTTTACAGGCTTTGTTTTAACATTACGGCTTTATTTCAGGGCCCAGTTGGAGAAACAGAAGGCAAAACAAGGATAAATCAAAAGGCAACACTGTTATTCTCATTAATATTAATTAAAATAAGTTTCTTATAATAAAAACATTATATGTAATCCATGTCGTATCTTTCAGTCTCAGTCCGAGCTCCCACTGCACAAGACAACAAAGCTTGTATACTCCTTTCCTCTCCACTACCATAAATATACCCACAAGCCTAAAAAAAAATCAACCAATCAAATTCAATGAAAATTAAAAATGAACCAATCAGAACCTTATCTGTCGCACTTTTGACATTTAGTATACTGGAATCCGAATTGATGTCTAAAGGCAAAAAAGCCACCAAACTGTAGTCTTCAATAATACCGACAATGGCTTTGTTTAGTTTTTTGAATTTTTTAGTAAAAGGCCCATCGTCTAAAACATCAAGCAGATATTGTAAGTCTAAGACATTAGTGTAAAAATCCAGACTAAAGTCTAGTTTTGATGGATTTTTCTTTAGTAGATCGGCCTGAAAAATTAAGATGCTTGAATCATGCTCTAACTTATTTGGAGTCATCACCTTGCTCAAAACATTAACATGAGGCAATTGCACCTGTAACATGGTAGACAAGGACAACAACAATGTAGAAATAAACTTTGTTGCATCAGAGCAATGATGAGAATCCACCAAGTGTACAGCACATAAATGATAACTCATTTTTCCTAGTAGGCTGAAAATGTTCTTAATCGAGTTGTGATGCGTATACAGCTCCACCTGGCCAGGCATATCAAACACCAAATAACTACCTTTGACTTCTGATAATTGTTTGAGCAGCCAATCAAAATTTGCTTCTAGATATTCCATGCAGTACATTAGGGCACCATTGGGGCCTATAAAGCATGTGATTGTTAATCTAGAGTTTTTTAAAAAAAGTAATCCAACCTAATTTGTAAGCTTCCATAGCCTCCTCTACAGTAATTAAATTCATAATGTCAATTTTTGGCTTATAATCCATGTTGTCATTGGCAGGGTCCAAGTTAATGACCTCAACTTGCCTGTTAAGTTTGTCTCTGTAAAATGTGCTGATTTTCGAGCAGTAGGTTGTCTTGCCACTGCCTGGAGGGCCAATGACTACTTGGCCAAAGTAACTTTCAGATAGTTTTACTTTTTTTACCAGTGCCATAATACCTGAGATAAATATGTTGTTGATGTCAGATAAACTTACTAGTAACTGTCTACCAATCTCTAATCCTATTGGTCTATGGATAACTGACCAATAGGATTATAGAATAAGATTGACAACTTACCTCAATTTGACTGATATTTCTTAATAGCTCCAACCACCAACTTCAAATGCTCAATACCACAATCTTTCAAGCTCAAACTGACCAATAGAGGCTTCTTAATCCCCAACTGTTGCACCACAAACCGAATTCCAGCTTCAACCTCGATACAATCTGCACCGAGCAAAGACTTAACGTTGAAAACTGGCTCCGAATCAATTAGATCAGTTTGCACCGAGTATAAATTACCGATTTTCCCGAATTGCGTTATAATGTAGGTGCTGGTATTTTGGAAATGGGCGAAAACGAACTCGGTGTGGCGGTTTTGGATTAGGGCAGCGAAGTTTTCGATTTTTAACGGGGTTTGTTCGTTTTGGTGCAAATTGAGGGTGTTTAAGGAGTCGATTAGGTCCATTTGGGGGTAGTTAGTTGATCTGGAACATGCCAGGATAATTAAATTCAAAAATAAGAGCACTTTTCCTGTATTTATGTATTATTTTTTGAGGTTAGGTTAAGTGATCGAATGTCAAAATTGTTTATTCATCTGCCTGTAGCGTTTTCGATTCACCATTGGTGCACTTTTAAGGCTGTTCGTGTGTACTTGTTCTACCTGCTCGAAAATTAGAAAGATCTGCTAGGGGCTGCTATTTAGGGCTGGTTTCTCAATAGCAATTTTAACTCCAGGGTGAGCGTATCCAGTTGCTATGTTTACCCTGGAGTTATCCTTACCCTGGGGGTGACCTGCTATTGAAAAACCGGCCCTTATGAGCTTATTATAGCTGGGTTCGGCTATTCAGCGCGAAGTTGGAGTGGAGTGAACAGAGCTAATGGAGTCACCCCTAATACGGTAAAAAGCAATATCAGAACCTTAACCCGAACGGCTGGAGTGCGAATGGAGTCACTCAGAGTGCACGGAGAGAGCAAGCCGAACCCACCTTATATATGGCACAAGTGAACGCCAATCTACTGAGATCTTCTTGAAGCAAGAAAAGCAGTACAAATGATCACCCTATTTATGAACTGCACTAACTAGCCGTGTTCGCGGATCACATTCCGAACAATTTCAAAACTCGATCAGGATTATCGTAGAGAAGAGCGCACTCCTGATTAAAGGATTTTATCATATTGCGAACTACTCCGGATATGTACTAACAAGCCTTATTCGCGGACAACATTCCGAACCTCTCTGGAGCCAATTCATTCCTGATTATATCGTAGAGCGGATGACTGATTATTATGAACCCAGTTCAGGATTTTGATTATATTACTGCGAACGGCTCCAGAACAAGAACCAAAAGAAATGTCCATGGACCAACATTAGCTTGGTTCGCAATAAAAATTCGAAACTATTCGATGGAGCAGGTTTAAATTATATCATTCGCAGTTCGTGAATATCTAAATGTTTGATAACAGTTCTTTGTTCGCTTTTCAATAAAAATCAGCTCTGGATCAACTCCAGTCCGAACCAGTTCTACCAGTTCTAGGGTTTTACTCTGTGTCAAATTTATATATAAGTTCCGAGTAGAAAGATTCCAAACTAGTTCCACTGGTTCTACGGATGTTTGGATACAAGATAGTTTCAAGTTTTTTTTTCCAGTTCCAAAATCATTCGAATTCGGTTTTCTCCAACTAATCGGAGTACTCCAACCAACCGTTTGGAGTTCTTCAATTGTTTGGAGTGAACTAACTGACCAAAGTACTCCAACTGTTCGGAATAGTTCCACTGTTCAGAGTACTTCAATTGTCCGAAGTACCTGGTCGAAGGATTTCGACTGTTCAGAATACTCCAAGTCCAACAACTGTTCAGACTACTCCGAATATCTCAACTATTCGAAATACTCCGAGAACTCTAACTGTTCGGGTCCTCCAACTGCGGTTCTCCGTGTACTCCAACTGTTCAGAGTACATTACTAAACTTACCGATAATAACAAGGTTAGTTTGCAATTTTACTGTGCATTTGGTATTTTGATCTGAGTTCTCTGAGCTTGAATTTAACGTTCGTTTATTAAAAAGTGTACTCGGTGCAGGCTCATTTGCGTTCGTTTAATAAAATTTCTAGCACTCTAATTCAGCAATCTACTGCTCTATTCGCTCGCTGGTCACGTGATTACTGCTCCGCGCAACACGCTCTGCTCTTTGAGCAAAATACCGAACGCAAAGTAAAAATCAGACCAATAATAACCCTGTTAGTTAACAACTAATACAAGTTTAACCAAACGCGATTATGACTCCGAACAAAGAGTTCCAAAGTTTGTGACTCTTAAAATGAACGCTCAAAGGAAAAGCTCCGAGTCGTTCAGAGACACTCGCAGACGTGAAAAAAAGCGTCTTTTAGATCTGTCAAAAACACGTCAAAAAGCTATCTCATGAACAGTTCCGAAACTACTCAGTATACGAATTTTGGAATCTACGCACAAATTTTTATTCTAGTCTGACTGTTCCAAGTGCACTGACTCTTTTTGATCTGTTCAACTGTCCGAACTAGCTTGACTGTTCTAGTTCTGTTTCATTTGCACTAATACTCGATTTAAATTACTCTAGCATTCCATCTGCATCAATTCTATTTGAATTCCTTCTATTGTTCGAATTACTCCAAGTGTTCCAATTGCTTTAATTTCTGTTTCATTTGCATTTACTCTATTCTGTTTGCACTGCTCCGATTGTCACTGTTCGAACTACTCTAATATGCTACTAAACAATGAATTTATTTACTATAGTAATAGGCTCGTTTGATTTGCGATTTAATTTTGAGTTTTTAGTAATGTTACTTTGACTGCTCCATGTGCAGTGACTATTTTTGATTTGTTTAACTGTCCGAACTACCTTGACTGTTCTAACTCTGTTCCATTTGCACTAACTCGATTTAAAAAACTCCAGTATTCCATTTGCATTAATTTTATTTGAATTTCTTTTATTATTCAAGTGTTCCAATTGCTTCAATTTCTGTTCCATCTGCACTAACTCTGCTCTGTTTGCATTGCTCCGATTGTTACTGTTCGAAATACTCTTATATACTACCAAACAAGTTAAGAATGAAAGATGATCCTGGATTATGTGATTCCAAACTGGTTCTAAAAGTGATCCGCAGATCAAATTATGTCATTTGCACATCACTAAATTTTGGAATTTTGATTACAGTTCGCTGTTCGCGGTTCAACTAGAATCAGTTCCGGATCAATTCCAAACTAGTTCCACTGGATATTTGGATCGAAGTTAGTTTCAAGTTTTTTTTTCCTGTTCCAAAATCATTCGAATTTGGATTTCTCCTACTGATCGGATTACTGCAACTGTTTGGAGCGAACTAAATGACCGGAGTACTCCAACTGTTCGGAATACTTTCTCTGATCGGAGTACCTCAACTGTTCGAAGTACCCCAACTGTTCAGACTACTCGGAGTAGATCACCTGTTCGGAGTACTCCGAAGACTCCAACTGTTCGGATACTCTAACTGTGGTTCTCTGTGTATGCCAACTGTTCACAGTACATTACTAAACTTACCGATAATGAACAAGTCAATTTGCAGTTTTATTTAGATATTACTAAAGTTACCGGTAATACCCCGGTTAGGGTTAGTTCGCAACCAGTCCAAATTTAACCAAACGCGATTATGACTCCAAACTAAGAGTTCCGAGGCATGTGACTCTTGAAATGAACGATCTAAGGGAAAACTCCGAGTCACTCGGAGTTGTTCAGACACTCGCAAATGTAAAAAGAAGGCGTCTGTGTGTTCGGTATTTTGATCTGAATTCTCCGGGCATGAAATTACTGTTCATTTATTTAAAAAGTGTGCTCAGTGCAGGCTCATTCACGTTCGTTTATTAAAATTTTCAGCGCTCCGATACAGAGATCTGTGACGTCACTGCCCAGACGGGAAGCAGCAAAGCCAATAATATTATAAATAATAATTTTTTTTCAAAATTGAAATTAAGTATTAGAGCACTCTATATTTAGTATGGAGCATGCAAAAAATGATTCAGAACACTCCATAACCAATTTAGACATTTCTAGCAAATTTCTGAAACCGCTCTAGAACACATTAGGATTTTTAAAATAATTCAGAACACTTTGAAAAACCTTCCAGAACACTTTTGTTACATTCTTAGAACTGGTGATCTAGTGCAGAATCCACCCGGAACTGGTTCTATGAGCGTGGGTTCTAACCACCAGTTTTCAAAAGTGACGTTTCACCGGTCAAAAGTGACAAAAAAAATCTTATTTGAAAAAAAATTACTTCAAAGAAAATGGAATTTTTCGGTTTGTCCCAGTACGGAGTCACTGATCCCATCAGAGACATTCTGCGCGACGATTATAAAGAACCAACAATAACAATTGGTTTTGGAGCCCCCGATCAGGAAATAACAGGTAAGAAATCAAAACTGAACCAGAAAAACTGCACTGGGTGCAAAAAGTTAAACCTGCACCGAAATATTCAATAAATAGAGGTTTGTTCCAACAACACTACTCTTGCAATAGATAACCGCCATTGGTCTGAAAAAATCCGCGAATTGGACTGCTACTTAGGCAACGCAGACGGATACGCGTACGGCTCGCAAGACAGGCTGACGCGTATGCGCAGAAAGTACATGTGGAAACCAGTGGGCCCGGTGGATATGTACAAGTACCCCGGAGTGAACTCGATGAACTTCGGTTGGTGGCATTTCGATCCGGAACTGACGAAATTGACTCGGGAACAGGACTGGTACAAGCCTAGAGTACGGAACTCGGTTGTTACCTCTGAAATGAGCAGGTAGAACAAAGGTCAAATTGTACTGTATTGAACTCATTTTCGGAGTAGTTTAGTGCATATAAGTACAATTTAAGTACTAAAATTTACCTGCATATTTTTTTTTGTGTCCACCCTGTACAGTACAATACAGTGCAGAACAGTTGCAGTACAGCGTACTTTAATCATGTTTTTTTTTTTCTAGATATGTTAATCACTGTTTGACCGTTGACAAATTTTTCAAAACCTGAATCCAATCGAAAAATCTTTATTTTTTTATTTGTACAAATAAATTATTCAAAAAACAAACATTTGTGTCACTGGCGTACCTACCCTCCGAAATCGTTGCACCGCGAATCGATTTCTCCCGTGCACAGTGACGTCACTAGAGGCAGACATGACGTCACAGGTTGATTCTTCGTTTCAGTCAGTGGGCCACCACTGTTGGTATCCGCGCAGTTCGCGATTTGATTTTACTTCGAACGACTCCAGAACAGAAATCAAAAACTTCTAACTAGCTTGCTTACAAACTAACCCATTTCCTGACCTAACTTCAGGAAAAGGAACTGTTGCACGTACGATTTGACACAAATTAGAATCTTACCTCCTTTTTTACCCTTGGGTTGCGTTTAGAAATAGCACTCTGGCTGTGGGAGTGACCCTAGAGTAACTCTAAACCGTTCATAAATTAACAGGTACTTACTCGGAGTGTTACGTTGGAATCGTACAGAAATCCAGAATTGACGTGCCCAGAGTGCGCCCAAATTACCCCACCAGGGACTGGGTTGAAAAACGCCCCGCGGTTTTTACCGGGTTTGACATTGACAATTTACTGCAACGCCCCAATACGTTCAGAAATAGCGCACCCAGAGTGCACTCCAAGTGATGAAGTCAGAACACTTTGACAAACAACTACTCTACTTTTACACTCCATTTCTAAACGCACTTCAGTTGTTTAGTTTGAAGCGATAAAGTGTAAAACTAGGGGAGTGGAACACTTTAAAATTCGTCACTGAAGCGGCTCAGGATTATCGTAGAGCGCATTCCTAAGGATCCAGCTCACGATTTCATCTTCTTGCGAACTACTCCGGATATTCACTAACTAGCCTTGTTCCCGGACAACGTAACAAAACACTCTAGAACCAATAGAATGTCAAGAATCGTCCTGGAGTGTTTTGAATCAGATCTAGTGCTCTATTAAGTTTGTTCTGGAGTGTTCAATGTAGGAAATTTTTCGCGAGGATAATCAAGCATAATCGATTATGCTGGATTGTGATGTGACAATTATGTCATACTCCTCTAACTCCCCCACCAACAAATTCTAGGATACTCGAGGATCAAGAACACTTAACTTCTTCTGTGAGAACAGACGGAAAACTACGTTTTCTACATTCACATCAACGTAAAAATGCACTCACTAGCACAGCCTGAATCGCGAGCATTCCATTGAGGTCTGCGGATGACGTCATCGCTACAAACTTCTGATAGTGACGTCACTCGCAGACCCAAAATTTGATGGGGACACAATTGACACATCACATAACCCAGCTCAATCAGATTATAACCAAATTTCCGTGACGAACTTCGAACTACTTCCATGATTTCGTGAACACAAACGCTTTCTCGAAATACCTGTGACGTCATATTAATCGTAGTTCGCTGGGGACATGGACGCAGCTTTTAGCCAGTGTTAAAACTCATGACGTCACAAGACGAACTAATAGCGGTTTCGCTCTCTGTACCTTGTCTTTATCTGCACTAACTAGCCTTGTTCGCGGATCACATTCATTCCGAACCAATTCGGGATTATCGTAGTCCGAATGATTGATTATGAGCCCGATTCACGATTTTATTTTACTCCAGAACAGAAGCCAAAAACTTAAAACTGTCTTATGACTAGAAAATAAGTTTCGTGTTCCAAAATCGGCCACAGTGAAAGGAAATCCTGAACTGGTTCATATGAGGAATGTGCTCTACGTCTACTGTATTCGTTTTACCCGTTGAGTTACTCGGAGCTGCTCAATGTCAAAAGCGTGAACGTTCCTTTTGAAAGTGCGTTAAGCACTTGAGTCGCTCATAGTGCATCCCCCTTTCCCCTGATACACCAAATTTGCTGGAGGTGCAAGAAGCCCTTTTAGGTAATGACGGTAATTTCAAGCTTATGTATTTTCTGTTCTAACTACACTTTATTTTAGAGAAATTCAATAATGAAAATTACACAAAATCACCCATTTCATCTTGTTGACAAAAGACCTTGACCTATTTTAGGATCATTTAAAAAAAATAATGATAAAATCTGAATTGTGTGTTTTGGAGTGACTCCGAGGAGCTCCTTCGGTGTAACTCGATGTATAAAAGGAATACAGTATTGAATATTGTGTTCACGAATCACATGCAATATGCCTTGTTCGAGAGGAATATTCCGAACCACTCTGCAACGAATTCATTCGGGATTATTCTAGAACGGTTGACTGATTATTATGAACCCAGTTCAAGATTTCATAGTACTGCGAACAAGAATCAGAAACTTGGAACTGTTACCCAACAATAATTTGGTTCGCCTTGTTTGCAGATCATATTTCGAACCATTCTGGAACCAATTTAAGATTATCGTAGAGCAGAAGAATTTATGAACTCAGTTCAGGGATTTTATCTCACTACGAATGGCTCCAGAACAGGAGTAAAAAAATTGGAATTGTGATCCAACCATAGATTGGTTTGCGATAAGAATTTGGTGCTGGAGCAAATTGAAATTATATTACTCGCGGTTCGTGGATCACTGAATTCTAAATTTTTGGCTACTTTTTTGTTGGCCTTTTAGCTAGATTCAGTTCAGGATGGATTCCGAACCAGTTCTACCAATTTAAGGAATTAGATTATCGTAGAGCGCATTCCTGATTAAGGACCCCAGTTCAGGATTTTATATCTTTTTGCAAACTACTCTGGATATTCACTAACTAGTCTTGTTCGCGGAACATTACTAAACATTCTGGAACTAATGGAATGTCAATATTCGACCCGGTGTGTTTTGAATCGGTTCTAGTTGCTCCAGTTAGTTGGTTCTGAAGTGTTCAATAATTATGAAATAAAAATTCTAATCAGAATCAACTCAAAAATACCTAAACTTGTTCTGAGTGCTTTTGAATCTGTATAATGGATAAAGGGTGTTCTATTCTGTTCTAAAAGTTAATTGACAAATTCATATTGTTTTGATTTGTTCTTGAATTCTAAAATTTTTAAATTTTAATCCATTGATTGTTCTGGAACATTTCTGCGTGTTCTAAGCTAGACCTTTGTGTTCTGGAGTTGTCTAAAAGGATTCTAAATGATTTCAGAGTACTTCCGAGCGTTCTAGTAAAATGCCTCCCATATATGAGAATCCTAAACAGTTCAAGAACAAGAGCGCATTCGCCAGTATGTCCAGAATTGAACATTAATTATTAGCATAAATAAAAAAATTATAATAATTATTATGTAATAGTTGATTTCCATTATAACAAAATTGCTTTCTAATATAGCATAACCTAAAATACTATTAATTTTTAATTATTATTGAATATTATTGATAATATCGTTATCAATGGTGAACCTTGATGCAGTGGGAGGGTATCTTTATAGAAATTACAAGTTGTTTTTAATGGATTTCTAATCGTTATCATGAGCTAGTGCAGTTGCTTGTATCTCCCTAACGAAGTGAAAATGTTACTTTCGAGAAATTTGAAGCTTGTTCGCTGTATAAGGAAATATTCGAGCGAGAAATTGTGGCAGGAAGTTTCAATCCCGGTACCCTGGGGCGAAATTCGAGGCAAATGGTGGGGTCGTACCGATATCCGACCAGTATTGACTCTACACGGATGGCAGGTAATAATTTAGAACTATTTTGGAATCTTTTTGAGTTTTGAGTTCATATGGAGTTCACTAATAAATCCATTACAATGGTTTTGGGTATTCACTTCAAGGAAAACTATCGCTTTAATAGTGCTATATACTGTCTACTAGATTCTAGTTTTGAAGTGTTCCTAATTGTTTGTTCAATATCTGGAAACGGTTCTAAGGTGTTCTGGTGTTGGTGTTGAATGTGTTCTCGAAATGTTTGAAATAAATCTGAATAAGTGTTCATAATCGCCTTTGAAGTGTTCTGGATCCTGTCTTAAAAAGTTCTCAACTAAACAAAATGGGTCACGTAGTGTTCTGAATCGGATCTCAGATGTTCTACCCTGATTCTGAAGTGCTCAAAAGACACTAGATGACGTCACAGACAACCTCACATTCGATCGAAAAATTGGGTCGCTATTCTCACCATTTTCATTTTGAGCTTTGTTAGCTCATCTCTGAATTGGATATGTAATTTGTAAAGTGTTTCGGAGCGTGTTTCAAAATTGGTTCTGGGGTGTTCTGAGACGTTTGAATGTTCTATACCGACTGAACTGGTTCCGAAGTGTTCGCTGTTCTAGACCGTTTCAGGTTTCCGACCTAGAACCGGACTACTCTAGAACGCTCCACTGAATATTAAAACAATATGAAATATGTGTCTAATAATATGTTAAAAAAGAATGGACTGCGGTATTTATCCAGAATCGTCGTTATGCAAACATTCCAAATTGTCCTAAACTTGTGAAATGTTCTTCAGTGTGTTCCTAAAACTGGTTCTGGAGTGTTCTGAGTCGTTTGAATTGGGTCTTTTATGTTCTACACTGACCGAACTGGTTCTGAAGTATTCGATGTTCTGGACCGTTTCAGGTTTCCGAATCTTTTCTAAACTGTTCTAGAACGCTCCTATGAATATAACAAGGTGTTCTGAAACAGTTTGAAATATTTGTGAATAGGTTTTAGAACCTTGTAGGGAGTTTTTAAAATGTTTCTGAAGAAAGATCGGAACTAGGTCATAGAGGTTATGTGATGTGTGAATTTTGTCATACTCCCCTAACTCTCTCTCCATCAAATTCTGGGCCTGCGAGTGACGTCACTCAGCAGCTTATAGTGACTACGTCACCCGCAGACCTCGATGGAATGCTTGCGATTCAGGCTGTGCCAGAGTTAATTTTTTCGTCGATTTTGAATGTAGAAAAGGTGATTTTCGGTCTGTTCTCAGAGAAAAAATTAGGTGTTCTTGATCCTCGAGTATTCCAGAATTTGATAGAGGGGGAGTTAGGGGAGTATGACAGAATTGACACATCAGAGCTGTTTTCTCGCGGTGGAACTAGTCCAATCCGATTTAATTAGGTTCGAACCTGTACATTCTTGCGTTGAACCAGTGACGTCACATTGAACCTGGTTCGAAAAAGTTTGAACCGGACTCTTGGCTTGTTCTCCGTTGACATAAAACTGTGTTCAAACCTTTCATTTTCTCGCGTTCACCAGTGATGATGTCAGCAAATCATTCAAGATTGTATTTTTTTCACTCCTTTGAAATAAATAGAATGAGTTCTAATATTGAAGAGTATAAAGGTAAAAAAGTTCGGAACAGGTTTTTGGGTTTAAGAACAAATAAAACCGATTCGGAACTGGTTCTAATTGCACCGTGAACAATGATCTGGAACACAAATTAAAGATTGCTCGATTGTGAATCAGTTCAATATTTCAAGATCTATTCGCAACCGATTTTAATTAAATAACAAACAGTCAATGTGCTCCAGTACAGTTCAGTTTAGTTTATTTCGAATTTGGAACAGTAATTGTAGCAGTCGGAACTATAAAAATCAATTCTGAGGTGACCTGGAACCCTCCAAAAACCAGTTCAGAAATGTTCTGGAACCAATGAACTATAGTAAGTTTAATGTGTTCTAGACAATTAATTGTGCACCATGTGCGTATAATAATAAATCAATTCATGATTTTCTCTAGTTCGGAACAGCAAACTACTTGGAACTCTGAGAACCAGTCCAAAAATCATCTAGAATTGGTTCTAAATGAACTGCAAACAATTCAATGTGTTCGGAACAGCGCAACAATAATGAATTTGTTCAGAATCAGTTTTGAATTGAACTGCGTAATATGTATGTTCTAGAACTGATTCTAAACTAAGTCCGAACAAACCTATTCTAAATTAGAATCAGTTCAGAGTCGATCTAGAACCAGTTCTAAATGAATTGTGAATAAAAAAAGAGTAAATTCTATGTGTTTCAGGGCACTTATATTAAAATTTTTTGATCGTGAACTAATTCGGAACAGGTCTTTAGAAGACAAAAAACGTTTTGGAATTGATTTTAGTTGAACTTTAAAATAGTTTTGAACTGGTTCTAATTGAATTACGAACAAAAAATGGAATAAGTTCAATGTGTTCTAGAACACTAATTCTGGATTTTTTTTATTGTGATTCAAGGTTTCATTTGACAATAAACGAGTTCGGAACAGATTTTTGATCGATTTTTAGAACAGATTTGAGCTTTTTTCTCGCGGTGGAACTGGTTCGATCTGCTTCAATTCGGTCCGAACCTGTACATTCTTGCGTTGAACCAGTGAAGTCACATTAAACCTGGTTCAAAAAAGTTTGAACCGGACTCTTGGCTTGTTTTCTGTTCACATAAGACTGTGTTTAAGCCTTTTATTTCCTCGCGTGCACCAGTAATGACGTCATCCACAAATTAATTTAAATCGTAGTTTGAACCATTAACGCATTAAGTCTTTCTGGACCGTTTCAGATTTCCGAATCTTTTCTAAACTGTTCTAGAATGTTCCACTGAATATTCCAAGGTGTTCTAAAACAGTTTTCGAACTCCTAATTACTAAAATGTAAAATGTTCTGAAATGTTTCTATGCCTGAATCGATTCTGTGTATGATATATTTAAAAAAAAATGGAGTGAGGTATTTAATTTAAAATTGCCTTCATGCAAACATTTGAATTGTTCTGAACTAGTTATAAAGTGTTCTGGAGCGTGTTCTTAAAATTGGTTCTGGGGTGTTCTGCATGGTTTTAACATGTTCTAAACAAATCATCCTCAAACAAGAGCATTTTGTTTCAGGACAACTGCGGCAGTTTCGACCGACTCATCCCCCTGCTCCAAGCGGAAAAGTTGGGCTTTCTCGCTGTCGATTTGCCAGGCCACGGATACTCCTCGCGCATCCCTCCTGGAATGTCTTACGACTCCAACACTTACCTCCTAACAATCAAATACATCCAAACCCACTTCGGATGGCGAAAAATATCGTTTCTCGCTCACTCGATGAGCGGATTCTTCGCTTATATGTACACCATGTACTATCCAGACCGAGTGGATTTTCTGGCATTGTTCGACAGTATTTGGCATCAGGATGATGCTGTGCGCATTAAAGCTGAAAGGGTAGAGAGTTTTGTTAAAAACAATGCGTTTGCTTTTACTGAAAAAGAGCCTCCGAGTTACAGCTTGGAGCAGCTAAGGCAAATGCTTAGTGTTCCAAATAAAAATTCCATCAAGTTAGAATTAACAGATTTTATTTTGAAACGTAACATAGCTACTTCAGCATTGAATCCTGGAAAGTATTACTTCACAAGAGACCCAAGATTGAAGTCGTTTGATCTAATTTACTGTTTAAGGGAAGAATTTATAAAATTCACGCAAACCATTATTTGTCCTGTGTTTTTTGTAAGATTTAAACAATCCTATGGCGATAGCATGCAGTTCTATCACGGGGTTGCTGAGATTTTAAAGAAATTCAACTCTAGAGCTGAGTGTTTGTTGCTAGATGGTACACATCATGGGCATTTGAATACACCAGACGAGCTAGCAGGATTGCTTAGAAGATTTATTGATAAATATGGGAATATGGAGACAAGTGGAGTGAAAGATGGAGATTTTTTTAAGGGGGATGATCCTAGAATAAAAGAATTGAATGTTTGATATAATATATGGATTTTTTATTTTTTAAAGTTGGCTTTCCTTCCTCCAAAACTCGTCTTCCAATTTCAATTATGTTCAATTTATTTCTACTTAATTAGAACTTCTCTAATAATAAACAAGTTCCTTTTTTTCCAGAACAATTGTGGCGTGTTTGACCCCCTAATCCCCCTACTGAACAAAGAAGTCGGTTTTTTGGCCATCGACCTTCCAGGACACGGTTATTCGTCACGCTTGCCCCCTGGTCAGTACTACAACCTCACCGTCTATCTTCTAACCATCAGATACGTCACAAACTATTTCCAATGGCCTAAAACAAGCATTTTGTCACACTCAAAAGGCAGCACTATAGCCTATATTTACGCCAACATGTTTCCGCACTTGGTGGACTTTTTGGCAATTTTAGACGCTATCATGCTTCCCGATAGGGTTGAACCTATGATCAAGCCTTACGAGAAATTTGTTCAGTATAATGAGTATGCCTTTAGTGATAATGAACCTCCTAGGTATACTCTTGATGAAATAAGGCAAAAGGCCCACAAGCCTCACGGAAATTCAGTCGATTTAGACAAGGCTGACTATTTGATGCGAAGAGACATTGCCCCATCGAAGACCCATCCAGGAAAATACTACATTACAATCGACCCTAGAACAAAATGTTACGACATGCTGATGTTTTCACCAAAAGAACTCAACGAATACTCAAAATACGTCGATTTACCGATATTTATGGCTAAATTCGTTGAGCATGGCTACTTAATAGAGCGAGAGGAGTTTTGCAAAGTTGCTTACGGCCTTACCAAGAACGAAAACTTGGAAGTGCATTACGTCAAAGGGACGCATCATGCTATGATGAACAATCCAGAGGAGTTGGCTCCGCTTTTGAGGAACTTTATTCGGAAGCATAATATAGGTGATAGAAGTATTGGAAGGATGAGGCAGGAAATGGTTGTGAGAGAAGATCCAAGGATTCAGATGGCGATATAATTTACTTATACCATTATTTATCAATTATTATTAAATATAAAAATATGTGAATATAGCAACAACATCTTCTCTAATAGTAGGACAGAAACTGTCTTATCTGTTTTTGAGCCAAAGACTAAAAAGTCTTCATAATCCTGAAAATTACCTAAGGATAGGAGATGTCGTAAGTAAATTTACATCTCAAAGACAACTGACTTACGCAACTTTTATTTATCCGCTGATACAAGATTTCTGGCTCACACTGTATCTTTGTATCTCTTACTAAATTGTACCTAGTAGGATAAAATTGGTTGGAAGAATTCAAATTTGGTGCCCTTCTAGTCTAGTCAAACAGGATTCTCGTTTTCAAACTATTAATAATTTCTCCTGTTTGGCACCTCTCACCTCAATAATGGACTTGTGACCTGCGCCCCGATTCCGAACCCACGATTCGATAGTCGTCTATATAAATATAGATAGACGATACTATCGAATCGTGGGTTCGGCATATTTTATTTACCTAACATTAGAAATATTAGAATTTAGGAGATTCAGTGTGGTTTTACAAACAAAATTAAAAATATCATTTCAAATGAACTAGAACATTATTTAAATTTGTTATTAGATAGTTTGTATACCTACATTCTTGGTTTGTGTTTGTACCATAGATTTGAAAACGACAGATACAACAGTAAGTATGTGTTTTGCGTTAGCTAATACATATGTATAATAGCGCGATAGTGGCCTGTATTTACTTTGCGGCGCAACCTCTAAATAATGAAAAAAAAGGACTTACCCAGTGATTCCATCAGTGCACTCCTGCAGGGCCCTGCTTCACACACGCACTGCAGTGCAGAATATGCTGTTCCTCAATTACGGGTTATAGAAGTTTGTAGAAAGTTGATACGACAGGACTTCACAATGAAGTTTTTTGATCAGAAATATTGCGACCGTGTTAAGACGGTACTACGACGCGCCCGGCGTGTCGTCTTATCGGGTTTCTTAGCAAGTCTGTTTCAAATTACTCGCTTCTGGTACGTCCGCACTATCAAAATCTAGAGGTACGATTTTTTTGCGCGAAAACAAAAAATGCAAGCAAACAGGAATTTTGCACCTTTGCCAAATTGTATAAAATTTACTTAGAATAAAGACGAAACATTGTCGCCCACCAAAAAAATGCAAGTGTTTTTTTTCTTTTTTCAAGCCAATTTGGCAATATAGAGTCCCAAGAACAAAACAAAAAATAACATTCTTCTGTTAGAAATTAAAATAAAATTAACGAAAAGAAAACAAAAAATAAATATCTCGATAAATATATACCTCTACAAGATAGAGGTACAGTGTTGCCAGATGTCCAAAACCAAATATGGTACAATGCTGTAGAAATTATCGTTTTTTGCATACAAAACTGACTTATTTACTAGTGTGACGTCATCGGAGGCTAAATATGAAAGAAAAAAAAAACGTATTCTTGATTTTTGTTCAGATGTTACTTCACACTTACACTCTGGCTCTGAATGTTTTTTCATCGAAACTTTAGCATACCAACGGCCAGGCGCAGGCACCGTCGCCTGTGAGGTGCTTTCCAGTGACCCACTTGAGTTAATTCGGAGTCCGGAGGAGCTCAGGGTCCTCATTCTTGAAACAGGGGAGCAGCGTTCCTAGAGAGAAGAACGAGTGTTCTGTCTTTGTTACTTATATGATTTATATATCATTGTAACACTTGTTCTCCTGGGAGCGCTGCTCCCCTGTCTCAAGAATCAGGGCCCAGAACTCAGGAGGACTGCTCCGCAAGTTCTTCGCGCCGTTCTAGTGCTTAGAGTGTCACACTTAATTTAAACTACTCATTTCTGTTATCCCCTGCCCCTTATAATAATTCCAGGCACGGGAAAGAAGCGTTATTTTAATTTTTTTGGAGGTCAACAATTTCAGTAGGTATATTTTTCAAAAAAATTATCAGCATTCAGGAATTATCGTACGTACATAATTATCGTACGTCTGGCAACACTGTAAGAGGTATAAGTAAGTATTATTTAGGGTTGCTACCTCTCCACGTTTCATCCGGAGTCTACGGGTTTTCACATATTATGGTCTCCGGGCTCCAGATTACTAGGTGTTTCCTCAGACCGCTTTTAACAAAAAAAAAAACGCATTTGACAAAAAAAACGTAAAAATAATGTTTAGGTTCAGGAAGAAAAATAAGATTCAACGATAGCGCAATACTGTTCCTGCTCTCTCTCAAAGTTTAATAATACACACTACTACAGGATTGCTCATCGGCCTCGATTTTTGAAATCAAGGTCATATAGTGTTGCACCGTTGCCGACGTCATTAACGGTGTCGTTAAGTATTTGCGCCAGCGGTCGTAGTTTAAAATATACATTTATGATGAAAAATATTATTTAATTTTGAATAATAAAATAGGCAAAGAGGAAGATGCAAACGAGATCTAAAATGGGTTGTTTTAGAATGTTGCTTGTGCTAAAACCAATGTATGCATAAAGCTAAAGTTAGCGGCATCATAGTCTATGGTGTAAACACCCTACGTTCAGGCGAGGAACGACACGCTGTCTACGTCATCACTAGTACTTTAGCGTGATGGGGCTTGAGATTTGATCTACAGAGGCCATATGCGGATAGGCTATCCCATGATTGTGTCCTATCGTGCGTAGTGTGTAAAATCTTTGGATCTACCTCTCCAACTGTCTCAACTCCCAATCTGGAAGCATCATCCGGTGATTCCGGGGGGACTTGTGTATAGATAGAGTGTACCTCATGCATCTGTTATCAGATTTGTAGGTTTTTTTTTTTTTTCAATAAGGGTATTTTTTTCTCCGGTTCAACCTACTTTCAAAGGTGGCATCCCTAGTATTTATCTATATACAGTATCATCTAAGCTACCTATTGGTATGTCAACATAGACACTTTATTAACCGGCCGTTTAAGAAATCCATGGGTTGTCGAGTTACAACCCGAATAAAGCCTAGTACGCATAACTGCGAAATTCGCAATTTTTTGACATTGCTTCGACGATTTGACGTTTAATTCACGCATAAAACGTCAATTTGTCAAAGCAATGTCAAAAAACTGCGAATTTCGCAGTTATGAGTACTAGGCTTAATACCGCCCAGGAAAAGGATGAGTTTCAGTACAGTGACTTTATTACCACAGTGGCGACAATTGCGGTCTCATTTTTGATTGGTTCAAAAGTCCCATATGTTTATATTGAAAATGCCGCCATCTTGTTCCCAACCTCTTGTTATTTTTAAATATGAATATATAGGATTTAGGTGAACATCCATCATAAAACATGGAAAACAACGTATTTGATGAACCTAATAATGGTCATCAAATATGCCGATTTTAATTTTTTATGATAGATGTCTATTTAAATCTTATATATTAATATTTGAAAGTAACAAGAGGTTGGGAACAAGATGGCGGCGGGAACTCTATTGTCGCCACTGTATGTAAAGGTTTATTTAGCCACTGTAAGTTTCAGTTATGCGTCCATTTTAGGGGTGAAGTGAGTTCATCTCTTAGAACTACTAAGATTCCAACCTCAATAGACCTATCTATTTTACCAGACAAAGAGGTAATAATACGAAAACTTCATTAAATAAAAAAAGACACAGAACGCTCATTGCGCAAGACGAGGCAAAACGTACCAAATTATGTTAGACTTACGTATAGCAATCCGTCCTTCTTATTTGCACGGGATAAAAAGGAAAAGAGAAAGATCGCGTGTTGCGCAACGTATTTGTCAATGAAAATGTCAGACAACTTTCGAATGACACTTGTCAAGTTGAATATCAACCTCAGGTTTATTCTTGTCAGACCACGGGCAATGAACAAGGACAAGGCGATGCCCAGCATAGAAAACGATCACCTCACACCTGTACAATAAAAAGGCAATTGCCTCGTGTTGCGCGCGCATACCAGGTAAAAATAGATAGGTCTATTAGGCTTGGATTAGTATGAAACCATTTGTTGCGCGTTGCGCTGTTGCAGAGTATGTAAGTACTCACGGTGCCAACGTTTCCTGAATTGCTGGTGAAAATGTTGAAGTAGTTCCCCATCTACTGAAACGATTTAACCTTATGGCGGACAAATCGGGATCAGGGATAGTAGATAATGGAGCAAGAGTTAAAAAATGACTCGGGGTCAAACTCGAGAGGTCATTGGTATTGGGATCCGTACTCAACGCAGAAAGCGGACGGGAATTCAAGACCGCTTCGACTTGGGTGAGCACTGTGTACAGTTTCTCGTACGAGAGGATTTGGTCACCAATAAGACGGAACAAATGAAATTTGAAACTTTTGATACCAACTTCTCATAATCCTCCAAAGTGAGGTCCAGCAGGGGGGTTAAAATGCCAATAATTTTTTTCTTTATGGGCAGTTTCGGCAAACACTTCATGGAGGTATTTAGCAAAGTTAGTGCCACAGTAGCTATGAATCACCGAAACTCTACTACGTCGATAGAAACCTTCTTAAGGCAGCAAGAAAAGCAGAGGTGGTCAGATCTGATGAGGCAAGTTCGAGATGAAGTGCCAGACAAAAATAGGCCTTTTGAGAATTGGCACCTCGAGCTCGAGTGAGGGTAATGAGAAAGGGACCGCCAAAATCGACAGCGGAACATAAGGGTTTTAGCTGAGTGACCCTAAAGGAGGTTAAATCATCCATTTTGAGTTGCGTGATTGGGGGGTTTACTCGAAAACATTTTAAACAATCATCGGTTACTCGAGTGATTTTTCGTTTCGCAGATAGAATCCAAAAATGTTGTAAAATTAAGTAGTTCAACGTTTGTTTTCCACAATGGAGAAATTTTTCGTGAAAGTTCTGAATTATAAGATCAGTCAATTTGTGTTGAGCTGGTAATAAGGCAGGATGTTTTAGTTCAAATGCAAGTTTGAAATGAACTAAACGACCGCCCACCCTGAGAATACCGAGTTGATCTAGAAAAGTTTTTTAAGCTGATTTGAACAGCGACGACCCTTTGACAGATTGTTAATATCCTCGCTAAACCCCATCCTTGGAATATATTTCACTAGCATCAATAGGGACTTATGCAATTCAACATCTGTGAAAGTATTAGTCGAAATAGTGGCTTCATGACGCATTTTTTGGATAACCCGAAGGCAGTACGAAAATATCCTTAAAATGGTTGCGAGCGAAAAACAGTCACCTAAAAGCCTGGAAACACTGTCAATTCCCGTAGTGATAGCACATACTAATTTTCCTTCTTCGGCGAGAATTTCTGGTTGCGGCTTTGAATCGTGTTCAAACTTTGATGCAGGCCACACTTCCTGCGGCAACCAGTAACCATGCGGGACCGTGCCACCACAAAGAAGCGTCATACAATTCAGAGGGTAACATGCCCCGAGTAGCGCAGTCGGAGGGGTTAAATTCCGAGACAACGTGGTTCCAGTTTTCAGGAGGGAAGACACGATATCCTGGATTTGGCTGACTCGATTGGCTTCGAAAGTTTTCCATCGAAATGCCGGCGATCGAATCCAAGCGAGTGAAACCATAGAGTCCGACCAAGCGTAAATCCGCGTAGTGTTAACGTCTGAATAAGTGGTCAAGACAAATTTAAGTAATTTTGCGGCCAATAAAGGCGCACAAAGTTCGAGTGTAGGAACTGAAATACGTTTTAACGGAGCAACTTTGCTTTTTGCATAAACAAGAAAAGTAGACATTTTTTGGTTAGAGCGAACAAAACGTGAATAGATACACGCTGAATTTCTTAGGCTAGAGTATACTCATGTATAAAATCGCAATAGGCCTTGTTAGTTTGGGGATTACTTACTTTGTAGTCTCCGTTCGAGGCTATAGAATCAACGTAAAACAATGGAACGTGAATCAGAAAAAAGCGGTTCATTATTTTTGAATGGCAGGGAAACAATAAACTGTTCATGGGACGTGCGGCGGTGCCATTGAACTAAACAAACACTCTGGAACGGGCGCACTGCTTCATGCTAGTGTGTCCAATTTTGATATATTCAACCCAGCAATACAGAGGGATTGTTGTCTTGCTCGCACTCATTGCGATTAACGTAAAAGAAAGAAGAGCTTCTTCATCTTCCTAACCTCAATAATCAAAATACCTCAAACAGCTCAATAGAGGCCATAGTACAGAGAGAGATGCAAATCCCTCTTGTTTATTGTCCTTCATGGCACAAACCCTCGCGTAGAAACAATTATGCAGCAGCCTTTCCACTGTGTTTATTAAGTTCATTGGTATTCACAAACGAACTTTCGGCCAAAAAGTCATCAGAGGAGAGAGTGCTAGCTTCACTAGCTTGAGAAACTTCTTCAATTTCCCAGAATTGTTGCAAGTTGTTGTAAAATCATCACTTTCAACAAGCGCTGAGAATGTATAAAGTGAAGTTGGAGTTTGAAAGTTGATTTTTCCCATCAGCACCCAGCCAAAAATGGCGTTGAGGGCAACTGGAGATTTTCCACCTCCATCGATTTTTCCAGGCAACCGAATATGAGGAAAAACTGAAACACCCAGTAACATATCGATACTATTTGGAGCGTTAAACGATAGTTCAGCTAACATCGAATTGTTGGTGTGATCCCAAGAATCGATTTAAAGAACGCGGTTGGTATGTCAGAACAGACTTTGGGTTAACAAAATTAAAGAAAAATATGGCTAATGGCGAATTCCATTTGTCAATCAGTGCGCACTGAGTGTATCCGCATCTTTTTCTAAAACCATGTAACATGTAAGGATAAGGATACATTTTTTTTGCACCGGTTCGACAAATAGAAATCGCTATTAGACATAAGCTTGATTTATAAACTCTCAGTCACCGTTCGTTGTCACCGTTCCCGTTCGTTGTCACCGTTCGTGTCGTTTCTGAGCATTTATAAACTCTAAACCGTTGCCGTTCCCGCTGACAAAATGTATACATTTTTAGGTTAGATTTATATCATTTTTTGTAAATAAATAATAGGTACCTAAATATAAATAAAATAGGATTCACTAGTCACTATTCACTACACCACCTCAACTGTGTTGCTTTGGAAATTAGAAAACACAACACAAACAAAAACACATCCTAACCCAATATATTTATCTTGAATCACATGACCAAAATTGTCTAATTTGATTGGCTACTGCACGAACGACGAACGGTCGAGTTAAAAGTTAACCAAGGTGGAACGGTGCCGTTCGCGAGGAAAACGACGAACGGGAACGGCAACGGTGGATATAAATGCTTACATTAATTTCCTATATTTGAAGTTGGAACGGGAACGGGAACAACGAACGGTGACGGGAACGGTGGAGTTTATAAATCACACTTAACGTTCAAAAAATCATAGCAGTCTTTGATTTGTTTTTTTTTGAAGACCCGATATCAATATTTGTTGAAACATAACTTAAATGCCTTTTTGAATAGGATAGTTAAGTTTGTTTTTAATTTAAAATGGTGAAAATTCTAGAATATCCATAAATATATTGCTCGAAAAATGGCACATCGGCAACGTTGCATCTACGAGCAGCCAATCAGATGATCATTATGTGACTTATGACATCCCTAACAGATTTGGCAGTGTTGCTGTTGGTATGATGTGAAAGTGATAGAGCTCTAATTTTCTGATTTTGTGTTAATCAGTTGTACTTTTGGATTCAAAACTGTGAAAAGTGTGGTGGAGAACGTTAAAATGGTACGTCGATGTATTTTTTTTTTTAATGATTCCAAGCACATTTCAATATTTTGTCGGTAAGAAGTTTTACATCATTTTACTCTTAATATTGGCGTAGTTAGAGGATATTTATGGTAATTTATATTTTAAGTAAAACTTCTATTGAATTCTGGTAAAAATTCAGAGGAAACTGAACATGCCGCCACTGAATAGTGTTGCCGTTTTATAGGTCTATCTCTCTCTTACTTATGTTATAGTCATGAAGTAAAAGATGATTGATTGTAAACATTGGGCGATTTCTTAATGGCATGTTTGGTCTCTATAGTCTGGCAAGTGGTAAGTTGTTAGAGACAAAAGGGGGAAGAAAAGTGGGGCGTAATCTAAGAATATTTTCATTGACACCGCTTGATGACAGCCATGTCTTTGGGTTCAGTGGCACCGAAAACACCAAGGAAATTAACCAATAAAATTATTAGAATTTTTTTTTTAAGCTTCGCCAATAACCACGCCACTGTGCTCTCATGCAGGCTCTAACCTTTTGCTCTAACCAATAGAATCATGCCTCTGAATAATCACGCCTCTCCACATCCATCATTTCGCAATGTTGCCAGATTTTTTTCTATTTCAAAATACTACACATACCGATATAGCAAAAAAAATATGTCACCAACTTGTTTATTACTGTTTCTATCAAATTTGACAAAGCAGAAAATTCTATTGCAGTTCGCCGTTTCGCTAGCCAGACAATAGTTAGCAGGGATGTTCCGAGAGAATTTGTAAATGTGCACTTGACAGTATAAAAAGTGGGCATATCCCCCTTGTTTTGCTTTCCAATGTTGCCGGTTGCCAATATGTATATTTATTCTTACAACCTTGCCAGTTCCGATTGCCAATAATTTTCTATTTTCATTGTCGATTGTCGAGCAAGCTGGATTGGGCTGGGGCCGGCTGGGCAGTGGCATACCAAGGATGATACACACCTACAGGATTGCTTATCGGCCTCTCCTTCTTCTTTGAAATTGCTATGGCCCCTTGATTAACAACAGTCAGCCCAGCCTGTCTTTAGCTTATCAGCCTCGTTTTTGGTAGTCGTCGCACTCGTCGCCATATTGGAGTGTCACATGTGACCATTTCCGACGTCATAACTAAGTCGTCAGCTGATTAAACAGTCTACGTTAAGGCGAGAAATAACATGCTGCCTACGTCACAACTGGTGATTTGGCTTAGGAAGGAGAGGGGGAATTTGTTCCACACATGCCTTATGAGGATAGGCCATTCTGTAGTAGTGTAGTAGGGTAGTAGTGTGTAGTGGTCTTTGGTAGTGTGTATCATCCTTGGTGGCGTACAGTAGAGAGTGTATTGAGTGTAGAGTGAAGAGTATGAGAGTATGTATAAAGTACAGTGTACTTACACTCAATAAAAATTAGAGGTTGGGGTGCATATTGTGCATATAAATTAAAAATGTGCATCAATATGCAGAATTGTGCAGTTTGGAACATCCCTGGTAGTTAGTCTGAGGTTTGGACAGAGATATACGATCCCTATTCGACGAAGCGTGTTTTACAGTAGCGTAGATAGTTTTTTACCCTGGGGGGGTTCAGGTCCAGCGGTGCAGGTACATTCGCCAAAGACAAAAATTTGTGACAGAACAGGTAAACAAATTTTTTTTTTTTTAAATTAATAGATCAAGATGCCAAACCATTCAAACTGCATTAAAAAGAAAACAACCCATTGAAGGACACAAATAGAAATAGGTATATAATACACTTGGTCAATCATAAAACTGGTACGCATTTTCGTATTGTGAATTGTATTGTGTAAATCGATCTTTTTTATCACCTCAAAAATGACAAAAAGAGTCAAGTCAGTGTCATCTTTGAACCAATCATAACATAGAAACAAAGTTGCATTTACTTTTGTTCAGCTTTGACGTTGACAAAAACTTACTAACTTTTGTTGTTAAGCTTGACTCACACTAGGTAAATTTAAAAAATATATTATATTCCCTGTACCAGTTTTATGTTTGGCCAAGTGTACCTTTTTTCCATTAAATCTACCAATCGGAAACGCAAATAGTGTTGAGCAGTGAGCACGATACTTCAATATTAGGAGAACATTGATATCGAGGTTTAGATAGATTTCGATATTGAAACGAGGAGATGGTCCAGACCCCCTGGACCCCCCCCGTACCTACGCCACTGGTGTCTTATGCCGGTTTTCTCAAAAGAATTAATGGATCAAAATAATACTCTTGTGAAGGAATATTTTTGGCATGAAACAAGTTTGATTTTTATTATTAATAATTTATTAAATAACACTAAAAATAATAATCGAATTTATCTGTCTAAATTACTTATACACTAACAAAAAACGGACGATTTTATTTCACTTTACTAGATTCGGAGCTTGGATAGTCTCAAAAAGTGGTATTTCTATTTTCTAAAACATCTATAACAAATTTATCAGGGCTGGTTTCTCAATAACAAGTCACCCGCCCCATAACTCCAGGGTAATAGTATAACCTGCTGGAGCTAAAACCAACCCGGAGGTGACTCCCTATATTGAGAAACCGACCTAGAGAGGAAGATTAAAAAAAAAAAAAAAACATAATTTTAAATAAATAAATTAGTGCAAATTCCAATCCAAAATAGGAAGATTCAAGAAAAAAAACTTATCAAAATCATTATCCTAAAACTACCCGCAATTAGGCACTAGCTGACGTCACACACATAACCTCACTTCCGTTGGGGGGACAAACAAAGTGTTTGAAAGGTCTATTTAACACACAGGCGCTAGCTTGTTACCAATGACATAATGTAACTCTCGATAGGGGGACAAACATGTCATTGAGGTTATCCCTAATAACACCGATCTCCCAGAAACATCCTATTTATGTACCATTAAGGTCCTTATGTTTCCGACATAAATGGTACATCGCTGCGATGTTTGTAATGTAACATCTCTAGGATGATTGTCCTGAAATGTTTTAGAAACATCCTTTCGAAAATATCTATCGACAAAAAGATTTTTTGTTCTCAAAATTAGATACTTATTACAGCTAAAAAATGGCTAACATTATTTTACAAAACTAGGTAGGACCTCAGACCGGTAGGACCCAGTATTAAATTTGCCAATTTTGTGTGATTTCTGAAAATGTCTCTATCACACACACAAACTAATTTCAAATTCCATAATATACCTGTAATGTATATAGATAATAAGGAACTTAATATTAATTTTGTATTGTAACAACAGCAATATTTAATTTTTCATTCGACTTACAACTTGGAATAAAATAAAATATGTATTGATAAAAGTCTTCTCTCTTTTCAACTTTCAAACATCGTGAACATTCGTGAAGCCGAAGTGTATGGCGCAGGCGCGTGCTCAGGCATTTGTACTTGTACCGGTCAGGACAGGAGGGCACGCCACCACGTCGGGTCGGCGCCGCAGCCAGCGCAGACGGGCAGAATCAGTCGAACGGGTCGTCCTGTGCGCTACGCTTGTGTTGTTGGGCGGAATTTTATTTCGTAATGGCGTCGTGCTGTGTGGAGGATTTGTCAATTTGTGGTTTTTCGCTACACCTAGTTGTGCCATTTTGTGTTCGAAAGGATCTCTGCGACCTACCAGTGCTTATTAGTTGGTGAGAAAGATTATTTGTTGAAAGATAACGTCGCATAACTATCAATTGTTTAGTTTATTTAATTTCAATATGGCGTCGGTTAGGAAATTTCTAACTTTTCTGATAAATAGCCCCTAGAAACCCGAACTTCATTCTTCATTAGGTAAGAGAAAATAACCAATAATTATTTTTTGTTTTCATAGTTGATTACATTCTAGGTGTGCAAGTTGAATTGTACTTCAAGAACTTTGGATTTTGGTTCTGTGGTTGTTTTGGTTAGATAATGGTACCTTTATGAAATTGGAGAACCAAAAGAAAACGCCGAACTCCCCTACTACAACATGCTGCCACTGCCAAACTATGGTTTTCGATGACATGACGGGGCATAAATACTACATTATTTAGGCAAAATTGTCCGTCGATTATTATTAGTTGATAGATAATCAATATAAGTATACATGTACCTTATTTTTTCAATAAAAAATGTTATTGGAAACTGATGTGCCTACTTAATTTTATAATTTTCAATTTTTGTTTTTTTTTTGGAAAAAGTTCTGACTTCCAGAAAATAGAACGAAAATTGAAAATTATTGAATTAGGTAATTTTTAATCCATAATCCTAAAATTCATTCACCTATTAAAGTCATACTAGAAACATATAGAGGATGTTTCTTACACCTGCCCCGGATGTATTAGGTACATCCCGCGTCATCTTAGAAACATCCCTGAGAGATGTTTATAGGACATCGCAAATGATGACACGGCTGTTGCCTGCAACATCCCAGGGATGTCCCCAGGAAAATAGGGACCTCCCAGGGACGTCTTCATTATCCCTGATGGATGTTTCTGGAATGTTTCTGCGATGTTACTGTGTTATTAGGGATGTGTCTTACGTCAGCTAGCACATAATTAATTAACAATAAAGTCTAATTTTTTTATAATAATTAATAAACTAAATGATTTAACAGGGGTGGGGCAGTGTTTTATTATTTATTTAAACAATAAAGATTGGATTTAATATAGGATTTTTACGCTATATTTAGGATGACGTCACATTTAGTAAATTTCTGCTGCCAACCTAACAAAACTAAAAGAACTTTTTAATTCATTTAAAGTAGGGTAATTTCAGTTGTTTTTGGTTTGCAACGGCGCGCGACGTTGCATGACTTGTATAAACATTTCCATTTCATTATTTTTAGCTGTCGTTAGAATTATTGACACATATATGACATTCTGGTAAATTATAAGAAAAAAAATAGGCATTGACAACATTGTCGGTCTTTGTTCGATGACGTCATCCTAAATATAACATAAAAAAACCTATAATTAAGTATAGTGCATGCGCATTTATTTGAATTATTTTATTTATTTATGAAAATGTTTGTACCTATATGTAGTTATTGGATCAGAAAAATATTATCAATTGTTTTTCTGATCCAGCTCCATCCTATATATTACTAAAGTATATGCAACATTTGCAAGCAAAAATTACAAATTAATAATTTATCATCAATTCCATAATTAAAATTAAATATTTTTTTTCTGAGCTTCAAAAAGATATGTTGTCTCTTTTATGTTTTATTAATTTTTGTTCTAGGGCCGGTTTCTCAATAGCGAGTTGGTATTTTAACTCCAGAGTTAACGTGTTATATTGTAATGTTTACCCTGGAGTTAGCTTAACTCGGAGATGACCTACTATTGAGACACCGGACTTTAATAATGGGACGTTTTTATTATTTTATAACTGGAACATTTCGCCACCTTTGTTTTAAAAAATATATAGTGAAAATAACAAATATTTATTTGCACTATAGCAGGCACTTATCAAGCTTATTTTTACTTTATATCATTGGTTTGTTCCCACTGTGGTATAAAGTACTTGAGCTGGAAACGCCGCTCCAGAGTCGGGATAGCAACCCTCGGCACAGGGCCCAGCAGTTGATATATCATCAGGTAAGCAAACCACACATTTATCTATTTTATTTTGTAAGAACAAACCATCTAATAATTAACATTAATTAGGTGTCTAATTAACTTAGGGCCGGTTTATTCACCTTCTGATAAACTTCCAGGTATATGCAATATGACGGATAAAAACGCAATCTGTAATCCCGATAGAAATAATGCAGTTAGCCACCGTTACTATAGCAAATTTATCTAAAGATGAATAAACCGGGCCTTAAATACATATATTCAGAGTGAATTTGATAATGACTCTGTATAATTTATTACCTAGAAATTTATTAGTCATTCTAAGATTTAATTTAATGGCATTTTCATTAACTTTAAAAATAAGGAAATTATCTAGGAGATAACAAGAGGTCAAAAGTTAATTATCCATTCATAATTTCTTATTTACAATAACAAATAATGAGTTATTATGTTATTTTTTTGGCGTTCTAAGATAAATATTATGATATTTGCTCTTTATTATTAGGGCAAAAATAGGTTTAAAAAATATAATTTTAGCTTTTAAAGGGCCGGTTCATTCACCTTCTGATAAACTGTCAAAGATAAAAACGCAATCTGTAATCTAATTGCTCGGCCATTTATCCGCCGACCAATGAAATTATAGAACGGTGCAGATAGTTACCAGCAAGTTTATCTGAAAATGAATAAACCGGGCCTAAATAATTTATTTTAGAATATAATTTGCGTTGAATTATTCAACAGAAAGAAAAAAACGTTTTATTTCATCACTTTTTTGCTTTGATTTTTCACTTCAGAGTGCCGAAAAAGGTACCCCTTATTATATTTACAAATTTCAAAAAAGTGTTTTTTTTACAAAAGAGTTTTAAGCTCGGCTGTAGAGGTTACTTAACCAGACAATTAATTTAAACTGGGTTTTAGTACCTTATTCCAAAGATAAGCCTACTCCGAAGGAAGGATTATCTTTGGTAAGAGTCACTTGCACTTGGAAGTGCTCTAGAGTTGCTCCAGACAAATTCAATATGGAACAAATTGAAAATATTGACACAGTCATGAGCGAAACTGCTCCGAACTACTCCAAAAGTGATCCAGAACTCGCAACCTCTACAAGTTATCAAAAAAAAAATTGGTTGCTTAAAAAGAAGCAAGCTAAAAAATACATTTTGTAATTGTTAAACCGGCAAAAACCAGTCCTAGATAATAAATTTGGGACGATAAACGCTTTTGGGTACCGTCATTGCATAGCGATCCGGTGCAAGCGCAATAGTGCACTTCCACGTTGATGGTTCCGGTTCTTCTGACGCAGTCTTTGTCGTCCCTCTTGTCCTGGATGTAGCCGCACTCGCGGATCACTCGTTTATAGCCTTCGACTGAAAATAGAGCGTAAAATCTATTTTAGAACAGTTTAGAACAACATTTTAGAGCATTTTAGAACGCTCTGTTGAAATTTAGAAGTTTCATGAGCATTTTGGAACACGTTCTAGAGCTCTTAGAAAGAGTTTAAAATGTTTAGCAAACGCTTCTGAAATTTCTAGAACACTTTCAGATCCGACAAAAGTCTCCAACAGAACCGATTCTGAACACTTTCAATAATAATAAAGTGATTTTGTTAACCTTCTAAAACTGATTCGAATAACTTTTAAAACACTTTGGAAACAGTTCAGTGAGTGTAGAGCATGCAACCAATTCAAATAATTCAGAAGATTCCAAAAGCAAATTTGACGTTTCCAGGATATTTTAGAACAGGTTGCAGAACACTTTACAACCAATTTAAATCCATTCGAATATTCACAGATCTCTTCAGAAATGGTTCTGAACACCTATCGAACAATCAGAGTAGTGCAAACAGAACAGAGTTAGTGCAGATGGAACTAAAATTAAAGCAATTAGAACACTTAGAGTAACTCGAACAATAGAAGGAATTCAAAAAAAATAGAATGAATGCAGATGGAATATTTAGAGTAATTTAAATCGAATTAGTGCAAATGGAACAGAATTAAAACATTCGAGGTAGTTCGGACAGTTGAACAAATCAAAAAGAATCTGTGCACTTGGAACAATCAGAGTAGAATTACTGAAGACTCAAAATTAGTTTTCAAATCAGCCTACTGTTATAGTGAATACATTTATTGTTTAGTAGCATATTAAAGTAGTTCGAACAGTGAAAACATAACAGAGTTAGTGCAAATGAAACAGGAAATAAAGCAATTGAAACACTCAGAGTAACTTGAACAATAAAAGGAATTCAGATAAAATTAATGCAGATGGAATACTTAGAGTAATTTAGATCGAGTTAGTGCCAATGGAACAGTCAGAGTCAGAGTAAAATTATTAAAACCAAAAATTATTTTCTGATCAGCCTATTGTTATAATGAATAAATTCATTGTTTAATAGCATATTAGAGAAGTTCCAACAATAACAATCAGAACAGTACAAACAGAACAGAGTTAATGCAAATGGAATATTTAGAGTAATTGAAATCGAGTTGGTGCAAATGGAACAGAATTAAAACAATCAAGGTAGTTCGGACAGTTGAACAGATCAAAAAAAAAAAACAGTGCTTGGAACAGTCAGAGTAGAATTACTAAAAAAACTTGATTTTCAAATCAGCCTACTGTTATAGTAAATAAATTCATTGTTTAGTAGCATATTGAAGTAGTTCGAACAGTAACAATCCGAGCAATGCAAACAGAATAAAGTTAAGCCTAGTACTCATAACAGCGAAAGTCGCTCTTTTTTGACATTGCTTCGAAAATTTGACGTTTTATGCGTGAATCAAACGTCAAATTGTCGAAGCATGTCAAAAAAGAGCAAATTTCGCGGTTATGAGTACTAGGCTTTAGTGCTGATGAAGCTAAAATTAAAGCAATTGGAACACTCAGAGTAACTCGAACAATAGTAGGAATTCAAATAGAATTAAGGTAGATAGAATACTTAAAGTAATTTAAATCGAGTTAGTACAAATGGAATAAAATTTGAACAGGCAAGGTAGTTCGGATTTCGGACAGTTAAACAGATCAAAAAGAGTCAGTGCACAGAATACTTTCCATAAGGTTCAAGAAGCACTGTAGAGCGCTCCAGATCACTCTAGAAAATAATAACAGTTTTCAGAAACATTCTAGAAAAGTCCAGAACAGTATTGAATTTTCAGAAATATTTCAGGACGCTTCGGGGGTATACTGCAAATTCAATTTGGAACATTCACAGAAGTTTCTGAACGCTCTATAAAACTTTTCGAATGATCTAGAATTTTCAGAACTTTTTTACAAGGGTTTAGAATACCTTCAAAGGCATTTTGGAACTTCATAACTAGAACTAGAACTCACTTAAAATTCATACTGATTATTAGGAACATAATAGAGCAACTAAGGACAATTTCAACAAAATAGAACACTCTAAAAACTCATTTGAAATTCACACTGATTATTAGGAACATAATAGAGCACCTGAGAACAACTTCAACAGAATAGAATATTTGGATCTCATTCAGAACATTTCGAAACCAATTTAAGCTTTTTTTAGTACTGATCTGGATCAAGATTCCTCTAGATCAATTAGAGCACTCCGTTAACAATTTTTACATCGAATAAATCTGATTCAGAGCATTTTTAAGCCAATTTATTAATTTTGGAACAATGAAATCGGTACAAACAATTTGGAACACTTTAGAATTCTTACCTTTCTGTACTATTTTCCTACAAACGGTCGGCTTCAACTTTTGATTGGGGTGAAGTTCGGGGTTGATCAAGTGTTCGGGCGGTTTCTGTTCGGAACAGTTCACCACGCCGATGCTGTACGGGTTGAACGGATCGCCGCACCGCGGGTCGTACTCCGAGTTGCAATCGTAGCACTGAAGCGGCGTTTCGTTTTTCCAGTAGTCTTCAGACGTGTAAATTACGCGATCGGCTTCTTGTTGACTCAGAACTTCTGAGAAAAAAAAAAAGCACTTTTTAGGTCTTAAAAGCTCGAATCCGAGCACAAAAATTGAAATTGGAGTACTACATCAAAAGTGTTTTTTTTTTACACGTACGAGTGAAAAGTTGCACTTTTCCGCACCCTGTATTCGAAGCTACTCTGACTTTTACACGAAAATCAAATTTTTCCAACGAAAACTATCGACCCCACATTTACCCGCTGTCCTTGCGAAAAATCAATTTTCCACCCCTTTTCAACCCCCTACTAATCTACATACAATAGGGAAAGTGTTACATAATATAAGCCCTCCAATTTCCAAAAACAAATTAATTTAAAAATTTCTTACCCTCACTAGAGAAAAATACTGTGCAGAAAATTCCTAGAAAAACAGCCCTTTTGTATCCTGCCATGATATTTTAGTTTTTAGAAAATAGGGCTGCATACAAATCTAGAGTGGAAAAAAGCACTTTATTAGATTAAAAACGGTTTTGGAGCTTCTCCGGAAACTTACTATAGATATGATACAGTGCAAGCGGCCGGTTCTGACTGAACCCCATATCGCATTATCTAACCCCTGACCTGTGTTCGAATTGTACTAAATTTTATTCAGTTGTACTAGAGTAGGATATCGATTTTATTTGCACTGAGTGCGTACTTTTTAGTATTGTACGAAATTTAGTACAATTGGTGAACAGATGCCAACAGCTGTGGCCTACTGACTGAAACGAAGAATCGACCTGTGACGTCATGTCTGCCTCAAATGACGTCACTGTGCACGGGAAAAATCAATTCGCGGTGCAACGATTTCGGAGGGTAGGTACGCAGTGACACTAATGTTTGTTTTTTAAATAATTTATTTGTACAAATAGAAAAATGAAGGGTTTTTTGATTGGGTTGGCTTCATTGTTTAGGTTTTGAAAAATTTGTCGACGGTCAAACAGTGATTAACATATCTGGAAAAAAAAACATGATTAAAGTCCGCCACTGTTTTGTACTGTACAGGGTGGACAGAAAAAATTTATTTAGGTTTAATTTTAGTACTTAAATTGTACAGTAATGCTATGCACTAAAATACTCCGAAAATGGGTTCAGTATAGTGCAATTTGACCTAGTTCTACCTGCTCATTTCAGACGTAACAAGCGAGTTCCGTACTCCAAGCTTGTACAGTCAATTTCGTCAATTCCGAATCGAATTGCCACCAACCGAAGTTCGTCGAGTTCACTCCGGGGTACTTGTATATGTCCACCGGTCCTATCGGTTTCCCCATGTAATTTGTGCGCATGCGCGTCAGCTTGTTCTGCGAGCCGTACGCGTATTCGACAAGAGTTTTTGAGAATGTTGTTGGAATAAACCTGTATTTCCCCATCCAATTCTGGGTCTGCGAGTGACGTCACGATCAACATTATAGTGATGACGTCACCCGCAGACCTCGATGGAATGCTTGCAATTCAGTTTTAATTTTTTGGTCGATTTTAAATATAGAAAAGGTGATTTTAGGTTTGTTCTCACAGAAGAAATTAAGTGTTCTTGATCCTCGAGTATCCCAGAATTTGATGGTAGGAGAGTTAGGGGAGTCCGACACAATTGACACATCACATAATCCAAAGTCGCTTTCCAGTGATGCACTTTAAGCACTCCTGAGCTGCTTTAGAGCGCTTCGGGTTGTTTATAAACGTTTCAGTGCTTCAGAATTTCGCACAACTGAACTGTTCGTTTTTCCTTTTCCTTGCCCTCTCAAGCACCTGCGATTTTATGGGCGGATCAAAAACACGACGCTTAAACTAGGGTGCGTTCCAGTGACACAACAGTTGTTTGGAGCACTAGACCTGCTTTCGGGTGGCACCTTTTGAGCGCTCCTGAGTTACTCCGGCTGCAGTAGTTTGACCCGTTTTAAGCGTTCTAGTGCAAAACACAATGGAGTATGACAGGTGTGAAGTGTTCCTAGGAGCACCCGAAAGCGGCTCAGAGTGTGAAGCTACGTGTGTGGAGCACCTTGAAATTCGTCACTGGAAAGCGACTCAGCATACTCGAGTATGCTTGATTATCCTCTCGATTATTTACCTAATATTTGTGATCATTTCGGTACATGTTTAACTTTTTGCATCCAGTGAAGTTCTTCCTAAATCTGTTCCTGGCTCAGTTTGGAAATCTTTGATTTCTTACCTGTTATTTCCGGAATAGCTGCCTCCTGATCAGGGGCTCCAATACCAATTGGATCGAATTTTGAGCATTCCTGGCTCATCTGGATTGGATAAGTTAGTGTTAAATCGCAGAAATAATATTAATTCAATCAATTTAGGTGTTCTTAAAATTGGTTCTGGAGTGTTCGGAGTTGTCTGATTCTTACATGTTCTATATTGACTGAACTGGTTCTAGAGAATTCGGTGTTATGGATCGTTCCAGAATGTTTTAAAAATTTTAATTTCTTCTAAGTGAGATGAAGATCCAAAAAGCTACACTTAATTTCACAAGAGGTGTTTTCTCGCATCTGAAAGTTTTGAAACATTTTCCAAAACTGGTTTAAAACAGTTTCACAATGACGTCATAACTTCTCGGCGCGAAAAAATGTTCTAAAACGTGGATTGGATTATATTTCGAAACAATTTTGTTGTGACGTCATTGGTTCATCGCAAGAATATAAGTGTTTCACACCTGTTTTGAACCAGTTTCAAAAAAGTGAACAGCTCAGGTCACTCGAATCGCCTTCGAACGATCTTCGATGCATCCCAAACTAGTTATAAAGGCTGAGGTCTTACACTCGGTGAACTCCGAGCGCGCTCAGAACGATCCGATCCTGTTCGTTTAAGCTCTAAGACAGTTCTCTTTTGCGTTCGGGTTACAATTGAGCACGTACCCTGCTGAGTTCGCTATCTTTTTCCTGGATGGAGAACCAGAGAAATTAGTTGACAACTGTAACAAGTTTCAGGATTTTTTTTGGATCTGCGTTCAGCTTAGGATGACCTTATTGAGGGACGCACTCTGCTATGACTATGACGTCACGATATCCATGCTCATATCGTTTCGCTCAGTGAAGTGCAAAATCGAACTCAGCCAAAGTCAGGAGTATGTTCTAAAAATTGGTTGTTTGAATCGGTTTTCTCTCACATGTTCTACACTGACTGAACTAGTTTAAGCGTAGCAACATTAAGGCGTGGCACCCTATGACACCTCAATTTTTTTTTTAAATTTTCAGTCTTTTAATGAGTGTTCTGAATCGTTCCACAAGATTATAAAAATTGTAAATCTCTTCTAAACTGTTCTAGAACGCTACACTGATTTTTTAAAAGGTACAAGTGAGATGAAGACAGAGTCTCCATCTATTTTCTGACCGGCACACTAAAAATTGCAACCAAGAACTGTATAAAACTGTATCAAATTGGAGCAAATCGAATCGCAAAGGCATTCGCCACAATTGCGAGAATAGCTATTCTAGTTGCCAACCCTGAAGTAAAGTCGGTTGAAACAGAAAACATGGATTTTAATTAGAGCTGGGGTCGGCTCTTCAGGCGGAGTTGGAGTGGAGTAAGAACAGAGCTAATGGAGTCACTCTTAATACGGTAAAAAGCAATACCCGAACAGCTGGAGTGCGAATGGAGTCACCTGAGTACCCTGAGTTCGCTCTCTTTTTTTCTTGTTGAATGGATGGAGAACCAGAGAAACTAGTTGTCAACTGGATGGTTGGTCAGGATTTTTTTGGGATCTGCGTTCGGCTTATGTCTTTGTTCATAGCGCAATATGCGTATGACATCACGATATCCATGCTCATACCGTTCCGCTCCGTGGAGTGCAAAACCGAACTCAGCCAAAGTGTTCTGGAGCGTGTTCTTAAAATTGGAGTGCTCCATGTTCTGGATCATTTGAGAATATTTCTAGAAATTATAATTTCTTCTAAAGTGTTGTAAAACGCTACACTGAATTTTACAAGTTCTTTCGAATGATCTTCAATGCATCCTAACCTTGTTAAAGGATGAATTTGACTTTACACTCGGTGAACTCCGAGCGCGCTCAGAACGATAAGATTCTGTTCGTTTTAGCTCTCAGAATGTTCCTTTTTGCGCTCAGGTTACAATCGAGCACCTACCCTGAGTTCGTCCTTTTTTCCCTAGAAGCTAGTTGTCAACTGTAACGAATTTCAGGATTTTTTTTGGATCTGCTTTTAGCTTAGGATGGCCTTTGTTTTAGGGCGCAATCTGCATATGACGTCACGATATCCATGCTCATACCGTTCTGCTCCGTGGAATGCAAAGCCCAACTCAGCCAAAATGTTCTGAAGCGTGTTCCTAAAATTGGTTCTGGGGTGTTTTAAATCGGTTCTCTCTCACATGTTCTACACTAACTGAACTGACTCTGAAATGTTCAATCATGCAATCGAATGAAAACCCAATCGCACATCGTATCTTACATGTTCTATACTGACTGAACTGGTTCTAGAGTGTTCAATCTTCTGAATCGTTCGAGAATGTTTCTAGCAATTGTAATGTCTTCTAAAGTCATCCAAAACGCTACACTGAATTTCACAAGTTCTTTCGAATCACCTTCGAACGATCCTCCATGCATCCTAAACTAGTTATAAAGGCTAGAGTGCATTTAGAAATGGAGTGTGAAGGTAGAGTAGTTGTTTGTCAGAGTGTTCTGACGTCATCACTTGGAGTGCACCCTGGGTGCGCTATTTCTGAATGTTTTGGGGCGTTGCGGTAAATGTCAAGCATAATCATAATGAAAGTAACCTTAATATCACGTCAATCCTGGTAAAAATCGCGGGTTGTTTTTCAACCCAGTCGAATGGGGTAATTTGGGCGCATTCTGGACACGTCAACTCTCAGTTTATGAACGATTCCAGCATAATGCTTCATTCACAGTTGCGCGAAATTTGCTTTTTTTGCGCGAAATTCGCTCTTTTTTTGACTTGCTTCAAAAATTTGACGTTTTATGCGTGTAGCCAACGTCAAATTGTCAAAGCAATGTCAAAAAACAGCGAATTTCGCGCAAGTGAGAATGAGGCATAACGCACCACGCACCGAGTAAGCACCTGTTAATTTATGAACAGTTTAAAGTTACTCTAGGGTCACCCTAACACGCATCAGAGTGCTATTTCTAAACGCAACCCTGAGTTTGGCTTTACACTCGGTGGACTCCGAGCGTGGTCAGAACGATAAGCGATAAGATTCTGTTCGTTTTAGCTTTCAAAGTGTTCTCTTCTGCGTTCGGGTTACAATTGAGCACCTACCCTGAGTTCCCTTTCTGGATCTCCGTTCGGCTTATAACCTTGTTCAGGTCGCACTCTGCGTATGACATCACGATATTGCATACCGTACCGCTCCGTGGAGTGTAAAGCCGAACTCAACCAGTGTTCTTAAAATTGGTTCTGGGCTGTTCAGAATCGGTTCTTTCTCACATGTTCTACACTGACTGAACTAGCTCTGAAATGTTCAATCATGGACCTAACAACTACAAATAGGCGCCCAGGGCTGGGACTCTGTAACGAATAGAGATATTTTCTCTATCTCTATTGACATCTCCTCTCTATTGATTTCGACAAGAGAGAAGAAGACAGCAAGTGCCATAGCGATAGGGATAATGATCTCTATCCGTTACAGAGTTCCAGCCCCAGGGGCCTTATTCTGTAAGGAACGAACCGTTCGATTTGGTAGAATTGTGACGTCATTTTCGGTTTGGTAGCGCGAAAACCACACCAAAAATGACGTCACAATCGAAGAAATTCTACTGAATCCAACTGTTTGTTCTTACAGAATAAGGCCCCTATGGAGATAGCCGCATAAAGGTTACCTCAATCTTATTAAGAGATGGCGCTACCCAAACCAGGCAATTATGAAATTTAAAAATATGTTCGACTCCTAGCTAGTTGCCATGGGTTACCAAAAACCTAACTACTACGAAGTAGTAGGGGTTTTCGCTCATCGGTTCTCACATGTTCTACACTGATTGAACTGGTTCTAGAGTGTTCAATGTTCTGAATCGTTCGAGAATGTTTCTAGAAATTATAATTTCTTCTAAAGTCATGCAAAACCCTACATTGGATTTTATAAGTTCTTTCGAATCGCCTTCGAACGATCCTCCAAGCATTCTAACCTAGTTATGAATGCTGAGTTTCGCTTTACACTGGTGTATTCGAAGCACGCTCAGAACGATAAGATCCTGTTCGTTTTGGCTCTCAGAATGTTTTTTTTTTTGCGTTCGGGTAAAAATCGAGCACGTACCCTGAGTTTGCTCTCTTTGTTCGGAGTCGTTTTCGGGCAGCAGAGTGCGAAGTTCCTAGAACACTTTACACCTGTCATACTTCATGCGTTTCGGAATGCTTGGAACCCAACCCAACCCAACTGAATAAGGACTACCTACTAAGAAACTTTGAATCGGCTTGATATTTTTTCACTGTGCCATGCTCAACGTCATGCGGAGCTACGGCTGTTGAATATGTAATGTGCTCTACTATTCTCATTATTTGTAACTCATAAAAGTGACCTGCACTAAAGCCGAATTATTTGTCCGGACCGCGTGGAACCGAACGGGTAAAACTGTAGCTGGAGTACTTCGGAGTAACTTGGGAGCGCTTAAAGGGTGGCACCCGAAAGCAGCTGGATGGATAACCAGAAAAATTAGTTGTCAACTGTGACAAGTTACCAGATTTTTTTTGGATCTGCGTGCTTAGGGCAACGACCTTGTTCAGGGCCGCACTCTGCGTATGACGTCACGAAATCCATGCCTATACTGTTTCACTCCATGAGGTGAACTGAGCCAAAGTGTTCTTAAAATTGATTCTGGGGTGTTTTGAATCGATTTTCTCTCACATGTTTTACACTAACTGAACTAGTTCTAGTGTTTATTCAGTGTTCTGGATTGTTCCATAAGTTTCTAAAAATTGTAATTTCTTCCCAACTGTTCTAGAACGCTACACTGAGCTTTACAAGGTGTTCTAGAACAGTTTCAACATTTTTGTATTGGTTCTAAAACTTCTGCTCTTTTCTCTTTTGAAGGCATTCTGTTCTGTACAAATAATTTACAACTTAATATTCTAACTCTAAATTTTATTTACAAATTGTTCGTGATTATTCAAAGTCGCTATCAAACCGTGCTCATTAAGCACATTAGTTTCATTGAAATAAGTCAAAGAATTTCCATTTTTGTCAGTCATTTTACCACCCAGTGCCTTCAATATAGCATTTCCAGCACAAATGTCCCATTTTTTTATTGCTGTTATGTGTAGGTAAGCGTCTACAGAACCTTCAGCTACTTCCAAAGCTTTATAGCCTAAAAAAATATATTTGAAACAACTTAGCTCTGTTCCAACTAACATAGGAACCGTTCTAGAACGGTAATTTTCAGCTGTCAACTGTTCTAGAACGGTTCTGTCAGAGCTATTACATTACCAGCTCCTGCAGCAATAACCATTTCATATGGGGTATGCTTGAAGTTTTCTTCCAGTACTTTTTCAATGGCCCCTCTATGAGATCTTGATACAATAATTTTAGTTTTGTCAGATTTTGCATTATTTGCCTGCAACAATAAATTACAACAATACAAAAGTCAAATGTGTATCAAAGGTTACTTTTGGTTTCAAATTGTTAGAATGTCCGTAACCTACGACAGCCCAAAAAGTGGTTTCACTGAATGGTTTATAAATTACTCCAATTAACGGTTCCCCTTTAACTGCTACACAAACCATTGTAGTAACATATTCATATAATTTCTCTGTATATTCGTGTGTAGCATCCAAAGGATCAATCCATATAGTGACGTCACTACCCCTAACTGCTACATCTTCTGTTAAAGACGTTTCAGGGTCCATCAAAGTCCCACTTAAATCTTCCTCACAATCAACCTCCTTTTCTTCAGAAATAAATTTAACATTCGGCAATCTACGTTCGATTAATTGTTTCATGACGCAATGGCTTAGTAAGTCAGCAGTGGTGACGCTATCGTCCATGCCCTCTTTGGTTTTACCTTTTACGTGCACAGAAAGGTGGTTTTTCGTATTCACTACAAACTTACCGCCTAAATTGGCCGCTATTATAGCCGTTTTCAGTAATTGTGATACGTTTATGTCGTCTGAATGGGAATACTGCACCTGTATGTAGTAAATGAAGAGTAGAATTAGGAGAGCGGCAAGGGCATAGCCCCGTTTGTTCAGTTTTATTGCACCAGCGAATACCATTATGCGTTTTGTTTGTTTATATTATATGAAATTGAGGTTGGGATTTTTAGGGCAGGCGAAAAGAAAACGCCTACTTCCCTACGTGTTTGCTGTTAACGCTGCAAATCGAATTTCTGTCCGCTCTGTTGACTGTTCTGACGCATTCTGAAATTTCTAGGTTGTTCTGAAGCATTCTAAAAGAAAACTTGTAACATTTTTGGCTTTACTGCTATCAGAGTCGCTTTCCAGTGACGCACTTTAAGCGCTCTAGAGCGCCCCGGGCCGTTTATAGACGTTCCAGTGTATTACAGTTTCGGGCAACTGAAGTTCGTTTTTCCTCTCCGCTTCCCTTTCAAGCACCAGCAATTTTAGGGGTGCATAAAAAAAAAAAAAATTGTTTAGTAACAGAGTAGTTGGAGCAGTAACATTCAGAGCAGTGCAAACAGAACAGAGTCAGTGCAGATAAAACAGGAATTAGCAATTGGAACATTTAGAGTAACTTGAACAATAGAAGGAATTCAAATAGAATTAATGCAGATGGAATGCTTAGAGTAATTTAAATCGAGTTAGTGCAAATGGAACAAAATTAAAACAGTCAAAGTAGTTCGGACAGTTGAACAGATCAAAAAGAGTTAATGCACTTGGAACAGTCGGAGTAGAACTACTAAAAGCCAAAAATTATTTTTCAAATCAGCCTATTTAAATTACACTCGGTTATTTACGCGTCACAATTTGAAAAGCTCCAAGTACAGAAGTGTCCCCTACAACTCAATTTTGAATATTACATGCCATAAATTTTTTCAATTTGTCTAGAAGAACACCTTGTAAAAATTAGTGTAGCACTCTGGTAGCGTTCTAGATCAGTTTGAAAAAGTTTCAAAAATACTCTGAAATATCCAGAACATCGAACCATTCAGAACCAGTTCAGACAGTGTAGAACATGTGAGAACAAATTCGTAAAACTCTCAATAATGTCCCAGAACAAATTTCAATTCAGATCCAGATCTAGAACGTTGAACATCCTAGAACCAGTTCGTCATAGAAAATGTTAGAACGAGAACCGATTTTAACAACTAGGAACACCTCAGCATCAATTTACCAATTTACGAGCTCTACAGCTCCCAGCCAGTTCAGACACTGTGGGACGTGAAACCGATTCAGAACACCTCAAAACCAAATTTAGAATCACACTTTGGTATCAATGACATGCAATATTGACAGTTGCGTTGTGAGGAAGGTTCTATTTTTGGAGCTTCCCAACTCTAGTTTGACGTGAGATTTATGCATCCAAAACACAGAACAGCCTACTGTTATAGTTAATAAATTTATTATTTAGTAGCATTTTAGAGTGGTTCGAGCAGTCACAATCAGAGCAGTGCAAACAGAACAGGGTTAGTGCAGATGGAACAGAATTAGAACAGTCAAGGTAGTTCGAATAGTTGAACACATCACAAAGAGTTAATGTGCATGGAACAGTCAGAGTAAATTACTAAAAACCCGAAATTAATTTTTAAATCAGCCTATTGTTATAGTAAATAAATTCATTGTTTAGTAGCATATTAGAGTGCTTCGAACAGTAACAATCAGAGCAGTGCAAACAGAACAGGGTTAGTGCAGATTGAACAGAAATTAAGGCTATTAGAACACTTACATTAACTTGAACTTATAAAAGAAATTCGAATAGAATGAATGCACATGGAATGCTTAGAGTAATTTAAATCTAGTTAGTGCAGATGGAACAGAATTGAAACAGTCAGAGTTGAGTTCAGACAGTTGAACAGTCGGAGTAGAATTACTAAAAACCCAAAATTAATTTTCAAATCAGCTTACTGTTATAGTAAATAAATTCATTGTTTAGTAGCATATTAGAGTAGTTCGAACAGTAACAATCAGAGCAGCTGAATCGAGTTAGTGTAAATGGAACAGAATTAAAACAGTCAAAGTAGCTCGGACACTTAAACAGATCAAAAAGAGTTAGTGCACTTGAACAATCACAGTAGAATTACTAAAACCCAAAATTATTTCTAAAATCAGTAGCCCACTGATTGTGAATAAATTTAGTAGCATGTTAGAGTAGTTCGAACAGTAACAGAACACCAAAAATGATCCAATCAATTTAGAACACTCTGGAATCAAAAACTAATAACAAAATCACGTGAAACTTGTTAAAGAAATTCTAATTCGGTCTGAAATCACTTGATCGAAGCTTTTAGGTATATTTATACAACATTTCAGAACTTTTTCCACATTTAGTTTCAATCTCCCATGAACATTTATTAAAACGCGTTACAAGGTTTAAAAAGCAATTTAAAATAAAGATTTCAAACTGTTATTGAATACCTTGTAAAAATCAGAATCGTTGTAGAGCGCTCTGGATCAGTGTAGAAAAGATTACAATTTTTAGAAACATTCTGGAGCGGTCCAGAACATCCAACACTTCAGAACCAGTTCAGACAGTGTAAAGAAGATGTAAGAATTGATTCGGACAACTCTGAAGGTCCTAGAACAAATTTTAATCCAGATCTAGATCTAGAACATTGAACATCCAGTCATAGAAAATGTGAGAACGAGAATCGATTTCGACAACCCGGAACACCCCAGAACTAATTTAAGAGCTGAACAGCTCTGAGCCAGTTCAGTCAGTGTGGGACGTGAAACCGATTCAGAACACCACAAAACCAATTTTAGGATCACACTCTGGTATCAACTGCATTTTAATAAGATCTCGTTAAAATTTTCAAAAACATTTTGGAACGGTCTAGAACCACTTTGAAGCTTTTCAAGAACCAATTCAGAAATATTTCAAACTGTCTTAGAACACCTTGTGAAAATCAGTGTAGCACACTCTGGTATAGCGTTCTAGATATCAGTTTAAAAAAGATTCAGAAACACTCTGAAATGTCCAGAACATCGAACCCTTAGGACAGTGTTAACAGGTGAGAACTGATTCAGACAATTCAGAACGTCCCAGAACCAACTTTACGAACTCGCTCCGGAACACTTTATAGGTTGAGTGAATTGTTTGTTTCTGAGATGTAGCACTTATCCGATTCAGAGAAGCCAGGATTGCTCAAAATTAATGAAAGGCGAATATGAATAGATTTATTACAAACATTTCGGAAACACATTGGACACACCTCAGAACCCATTCAGAGACGATTCAAACAATTTAGAACACTCCGGAACCAATTCAGACATTTCGTATATTTTAGATCACGCTAAAATTTTCGAAAACATTTGAATACTCTAGAACCAACTTTGCTCCACAATTTTCAGGAACATTTTGAAAGTGTTTTAGATCATTTAATAAAATTTAGAAGAACTACAAACATTGTAAAACACTTTAACATCAATTAACCAATACTAGAACGCTCCACTTTGAAACCAATCTGGAAATTCCAGAAACATTAGAGCACTTTTGAGAAGTTTAGAGCCAATTTAAAACTTTCTTTTCGGCATTTTAGAACGCTCCAAAACACTCTGAAACAAACTCCGTAATTTCAAGAACGTTCCAGTAAGCTTCAGAACACTTTTGGAACGTCCCAGAAGAAGAAAGATTCCAGAATCGTTTTAGAATGCTCCAGGAACCTATAAAGAGTGGTCACAGTGACACTTTCATAATCAGAACCATTTAACGATCAATTTAGAAGTGAATAAACACTGACCAGGAACACCTCAGAACCAATTTAGAACAGAACACTGATCTGAATCTGATTCAAAGCATTTCAGATCCAAATTTTGTTGTTACATTTCTATCATATGAATTTATAAATCAAACCATTTATATAGGTACATAACATTATATTTAATTCTTATTTAACATGTTTATATAATAAGATAAAGCCTAAAAAAAAGGGATCAATTGGTAATTATTATTACAACATAAGGTCATAAATTAATTAATACCGATAACAATTTGCGGTAAAAATAGAACCGAATTCTACTTTTTGAAAACGTAACTTTCCGCTCCGCCTCTACCAAAACCTCCAGGACCAAAAAGGGCAGAGTAACAAGGGTTGTGGCAATAGGGTTTACCTTCCCTTTCGGCGTGACTACCCGGTGTAAGGGTTTTGTTGCATTTTTCGCATCTCAGACAGGCCGAGTGCCAATCTTTGCCGAGAGATGTTTTGCGTTCAGCTGAAAAAAAAAAAGACCTTGATTAAAAAACCATACCTTTTTAGGTAAATGGTTCGCACACCCATATATTCAAAAATTCGACCTTCGCGTTATTATGGGTATGGAATGAAGTAATCGAAATTGGATGTGTCATGAATTACTTTATAAATTGATGAGTACCTAGTGAGAACATTTTTATTTGAATAGATAATTTTTATCTATTGTAATAATATTATGATGTCATATTTTAACGTATAGATGTTTGCTCTGGGATTTGTCTTGTATTTTCTATGATAGGTACCTAAATGTTTTGAAATTTGTAAAATGTAAAAACTGCCAGAGACAAAAAACAAGACTTTATTTTGAAATATCTATATATGTAGAACCAAACATAGATACTATTAATGTAAATCTTTGAAAAATATAATATATACATAGATATATAGGTACTGGGGTGATTATTCCTAAATAAAACAAGAAATTCTTACCAAAATAAACAGGTTTCTCGCACTTGGGACAATTAACCATCTTTCTGGTACTTGTGTATGGTGCTCTACGTGCCGAACTAAAGTAAAAAAATGCCAGCGCCAGCAGGTTTTTAATGGATTCAAAAAACGTTTCTTGCTGCAATTCGGGTACTCTCGTGATTCAAACCGAAAGATAAATACGCGTTTGCAATAATACGGTACTATTTGTTTATTATTGGTACCTGGTTTTTTACAGGGTGTCCTATAAAATGTGTTTTCTCTATTATCTATTCACAATCTACGAAAGGTACAGGTAAAATGTATCACCTTTCATTGCTATTTGATAGGTAAAGGTGATAAATTTACCTGTAACTTTGGATTACAGATTGTGAATAGGATATACTTTGAATAATGGAGGTTTATATTTAGGACGCACTATATAGTTGATTGTTGTTATCTTTAAGTAAATATTAGTTTAAAGTTCTCAACAATAATTGAATAATAATTATAAATATAGATTTGATGTAAGCTGAAAAATAATAAAGGCATTTATTTAAATTTTATTACAGTTATTTTTTGAATTTCGATTTAAATTTTGAATGTTCTAGGGCCGGTTTCTCAATAGCGAGTCATCCCTGGGTTGGTTTTTACTCCAGGGTTAACGTGTAAAGTTGCAATGTTTACCCTGGAGTTAGCTTAACCCGGAGGTGACCTACTATTGAGAAACCGGCCCCTAAACTGGTTTATAAGTTCTAAAATGTTTCTATGAGCTTTAATGATTTTTAAATGTACTGATGCGTTCTAAAAGAAAATTAAATCCTTTTGACTTGTTTTTAAAGTCTTATATAAGAACTTCCTGTTAAATCTGAAAAAGAGTAGTAAAGTGTCCTGAAGTACGTCCAGTTACTAAATATTCTCTTCAGAAACTAAACCGCTTCTAAACTGTTCCCTATTGTTTCTATCTCAACTGAATCAGTTCTCAGGTATCCAATGTGTTTCTAAAAATGTTTGAAATAGTTCTGAAGTGTTCAGAATAACCTTCGAAGAATCCTTCATTGAAAATTGTTCTAGAGCGTTGTTCTAAAAAGTTCTTGGAATGTTAGGATTGGTCCCGGAGTGTTCTGATTCGCAGTTGCTCTAAACTAACTGAACTGCTTCTAAAGGGTTCAATTATGGAATCGAAGAAAACCCATTCGAGGACGAAAAAGTTACATTTTGATAAAAATTATTATGTATTACACTATACTTTTTTCTACGAGCTCTTCAAATCGACTTTGAATCAAGAGTTCGAAAAAATGACTCAAAAACCTAATTAGAATCAAAACACAGTTCTAAAAGGTTCTGCAATGATTCTAAAATATCAAAATTGGTTCTGCTAAAGAGAAGAAATTGTCTGAGAGCGATATAGTATTCAAAAATACTCAAATTGATTCTGGAATTATTTGAAACATCTAGATTAAGGAGTGGTTTATTCTGTTCTAAATTGGTTCTGAGGTGTTCTAATATGTTCTTATTCAGTGTATATTATAAATGGCGGGCTCATTTTGTGTTCTATAGTTTTATATGAAGTTTTTGAAAATCCTAAATTGCTTTGTGTTATTATCCAAGAGCAAAATCATATAGTAGTGTTTTGGTTGAGTTCGGGTCTTGAATGTTCTGAGACGTTTCAGGTGATTCTGAAATCTATAGATGTTTTAGAAGGCTTCAATCCAAACGCTCTATCAAAGCTTTTTGGAGTTTCCTGAAACGTTTTTAAAAAGGGTAGATTTGTTTTCTAGAGTATTTTGGAGCATTCCTAAATAAGTTTTTATTTGGTTCCAAACTGTTCTAACTCGAATGCAATAACTGTTTTTATTTTAAGTGTCCAAAAATCTTATCGTGTTCTAGATCGTTTTCTAAAAATATGTTCCAAATGTCCCCAAAAGTGGTTCCGGAGTGTTCCAAAATAATTTTGCTGTTCTACACCGATTCTAAGGCAGGTGCGACACACTGGAGAAATGAGTTTCATGAGCGTTTCTGAAACAGGAGCGCCGAAATTATTTCGCCAGTTTGTTTCGCTTCATTTCAATATATGTGTTCTGTGATAATGAAATAAATTTCTCGTTTCTTGCAACAAGATTCATGAAATCTATTTCCTCAGTGTATCACCCGCCTAAAGCTTTTTTTTTCTGTTTCTATAAAATATGTAAGTCGGTTCTAAGGTGGTCAATGTGATTCCAGAATTATTTAAAATAATTCATGTTCAGAGTAGCTTTAACATCTGTTTGGCGTGATCAACTGTTAGGAGTACGCCAATCGTACGGAGTACTCTAACTGTTAAGAGTACTTCGAGTGTTTGGAACCTTTCTTATGATCAGAATATCTAATGGCGTTTCCGATTGGTAGATTCAGTGCGCACTGAGTGTATTTGCATCCTTTTAATCGACCTGTAGAAGAAAAAGACAGAAATAGAAAAAATTGCACTAGTTTCGCACTAAATCTACCAATCGGAAACGCCATAAATTTACTTCTGTTATTACTCCAACTGTTTGAAATACTCCAACTGTTTAAAATACTCCAACTGTTTGGAATACTATAACTGTTTGGAGTAACCCAACTTACCAGAGTACACCAACTATTCGGATACTACTGATACGAGTACTTTTAACTGAAATGCTCTTGCTGATCAAAAAGGAATTTTCCGCGCTGTAACCACAACTAACCAGGTATGATCATACTATGACGTCATGGTATCTCATTTGACATATTAAACGGTGAGGTATGAGGTAACCATAAGTAGAAAAAAAAATGGTATGATGTAACTACTAGTAAAAAGGTTACATGGTTACAGCGCGGAAAATTCCCTAGAGTAATTCAACTGTTTGGAGTACTCTATCTGTTTGCAGTACTCCAACTATTCGGAGTGCACTACCAAACTTACCGATAACCCGGTTAGTTTGACAAGTAATTCAAGTTTAACCAAACACGAGTAAGCTTGAAACGGTGGATTTGGAAGTAAGCCCTTCAGAATACAAAAATTTGAAATATTTAGAATCGCTTTCGAATCTTCTTCAATGCATTCATATTATTCTCGAATGCTTTTTAAGTGTTCTGGAACTTGCTCATGGAATGCCTAAATTGGTTCCGGAGTGTTCTGAAATATCTGATCCCAAGAATGCTTCAACTAATAGGACTGCTTACTGAGCAGCAACTCTTGGCGTAAAATGCATTATCCGAGCTTGAAACACTATTGGTAAAGAAAACGAATTTCTATTCGTTGAAATCTGGTTAAAATCACCTTTTCTACATTTGAAATCGATGAAAAAATTAACTCATAAGCACAGCCTGAATCACAAGCATTCCATCGAGGCCTACGGGTGTCGTCACCTTTATTAGCTGCTGATAGTGGTAACGTCACTCGTAGACCCTGCCGAGTCGAGACTCGAGAATTGCCGAATGTATGCTTTTGAGGACGAGCAATTCTGTTAAATTATGATTCTGGGTAATCGGTTTTTACATGCATTATTGACTGAACTCACTTAATATCTAACCTTTTTGTCTTTACTGCTCTCAGAGCGTTACTCGACTAGGCGTTGACGTCACAAATCTCTGTGGGAGTGCTTCGAGAGCGATTATAATCCAAATTTAACCTATTGATTTCATATCAATAGCCAAATGTCCTTGATCAAGTTCTTTGATCCATCGAATTTGACGAAGCAATAAAGCACACTCCGTGCGAGATATGAGAGTATTATATCGTGCATTCGATATTTTGATCTAAGCTCCTCCGAGCTTGAATTTACCGTTCGTTTATTTAAAAAGTATTCTCGGTGCAGGTTCCTTCGCTTTCGTTTATTAAAAATTCTGGCACTCTGATACAGCGTTCCCCTGCTCTGTTCGCTCGCTGGTCACATGATTACGGCTCCGCTCAGCACGCTTTGCTCTTTGAGCAAAATACCAAAAGCAATTTAAGGTAAATCGGTTCTCACATGTTCTACGAGTTCTACACTGTCTAAACTGGTTCTGAATGGTTCGATGTTCTGGACATTTCAGAGTGTTTTTGAATCTTTTTTAAACTGATCTAGAACGCTACCAGAATGCTAAATTGAGTTTTACAAGGTGTTCTAAGACAGTTCAAAATATTTGTGAATTGGTTTTTGAAAGCTTTAGAGTGGTTCTAGGCCGTTCCAAAATGTTTTTGAAAATGTGAACGTGATCTACCAGAGTGTGATCCTAAAATTGGTTTTGAGGCGTTCCGAATCGGTTTCACGTTCCACACCGACTGAACTGGCTCGAAGCTGTCCAAATCGTAAATTCGTTCTGGGTTGTTCCGAGTTGTCGAAATCGGTTTTCGTTCTCATATTTTCTACAATTGACTGCAGTGGTTCTAAGATGTTTAATGTTCTAGATCTGGATCTGGATTAAAATTTAGAGGACATTCAGAGTTATCCGAATCGGTTCTCATATGTTCCACACTATCTAAACTGGTTCGATGTTCTGGACCAGAATGTTTCTGAAAAGCTTTTCTAAACTGATCTAGAGCGTTCTACAATGATACTGATCTTTACAAGGTGGTACATCTCAGAAAGAAACAATTCAATCAACCTATAAAGTGTTTTGGAGCGTGTTCGTGAAGTTGGTTCTGGGACGTTCTGAGTTGTCTGAATCGGTTCTCACCTGTTTACACTGTCTGAATGGTTCGATATTCTGGACATTTCTGATTCTTTTTCAAACTGATCTAGAACGCTATCAGAAGATTACACTGAGTTTTACAAGGTGTTCTAAGACAGTTTGAAATATTTCTGAATTGATTCTCGAAAGCTTCAAAGTAGTTCTCGACCGTTCCAAAATGTTTTTGAAAATGTTAAAGTGATCTTATTAAAATGCAATTGATGCCAGAGTGTATTCCTAAAATTGATTTTGAGGTGTTCTGAATCAGTTTCACGTCCTACACTGATTGAATTGGCTGGGAGTTGTTCAGCTCGTAAATCGGTTCTGGGGTGTTCCGAGTTGTCGAAATTGGTTCTCGTTCTCACATTTTCTATATTGACTGAACCGGTTCTAGGATGTTCAATGTTCTAGATCTGGATCTGGATTAAAATTTGTTCTGGAACATATTTAGAGTTGTCCGAATAAGTTTTAACATGTTCTACACTGTCTGAACTGGTTCTGGAGTGTTCAAATGTTCTGGCCGTTCCAGAATGTTTCTAGAGTCTGTTTTTTTTCACGTGATTTTGTTACAAGCTATTGATTCCAGTGTGTTCTAAATTGTTTGGATCGTTTTTGATTTTCTTTCCAAAAACTAAATTGGTTCTAGAATGTCCTTTTTGTTTCTATTTTCTGCACTGGTTTTGAGGTGTCTAACATGTACAAAAAATGTTAAAAAACTTTCTGCAGCGTGTTTTTCGAATTCGTTCTGGAGTGTCCTGAGTTGTCTGAATCTGTTCTCAGTGTTCTCACATGTTATACATTGGCTGAACTGGTTCTAGATCGTTCCAGAATGTTTTCAAAAACTGTAATCTTTACTTAATTAACTGATATAGAACGCTACACTGAATTTAACAAGGTGTTCTAAAACAGTCTAAAATAATATTTCTGAATTTGTAGGTGAACCCGCCAGAAAACCGTCCCAAGAACAGTTTCGGAACCACTCTGTTCACGATTTTCGGATTCTATGCACAAATTATACTTCTTGTGCAGAATCCTGACGGTGAAATGTACAGAATGTTAATGTTAATCAATTGATGTATTCAACCATGTATGCATAAAGGAAAGGCCAGCAGTAATATAGTCTGTGATGTAAACACGTTAAGGCAAAAAACGACACGCGGCCTACGTCATTACTGGTACTTTGGCGTGGTGGGGGCTTGAGATTTGATCTACACAGGTCTCATGAGAATGGGCTATATGTGTAGTGTGTAATATCCTTGCGTAGGATTCCTATCAAATTCTATGGATCGGAGCAAGAAAGAGCGCTCCTTTCGAGATTTGAGCGCGTTCTAATGCTCGAGTCAAACAGAGATCTGTGACGTCACCACGTAGACAGAAAGCACTCTGGAGTGGGAGCAGTAAAGTCGAAAATGGTATCTGGAGCGTGTTCTTGGATTGCTAAATTTGGTTCCGGAGTGTTTTAAAATATCTGAGTCGGTTTTTACATGTTCTACACTGGTTGAACTCACTCTTAAATGTCACCCACCTGATATAGCTAAATAATTTTCTTAGCACCAAAAATACCAAGGTTTGTGATAACTGATACTCCATCCATACTGATAAGCTAATATTCAGTAGTTAAAAAAACTCCGCTTTTCTGCACGCATTTCAGGTTATGAAAGTACCACTTTACCGCACTAGTGCGGAAAAGTGAAATACCTGAAAGTGGTAGGTACAAATATTAGTCAGAGTAATAATATCTGAACTGAAATAGTTAAATATACAGGGTGTTGAAAATACCATGGACCACCATTGCTATATGTCGGAACAGTAAGAGATACGAGGGTGATTTGTGAAAAAAAATTGTTCTAGGTGTTTTCTACAAATCACTTTGCATCTCAGATACTAATAAGGAAAGTATATATATTCTATGTTCTACAACTCGGCGGTTCATTAACAATTCTACGGAGTACGGAGTGCTCCAACTGTTTGGAGTAAGCCAACTGTATGGAGTACTCTAATTATTAGGAGAACTCCAACTGTTCGGAGCTTTTCTTGTAGGAGTATTTCAATTATTTCTGAGTATTTTACTACTGGGCAATTTTTCGCAACCAAACATAATCTGATTATGCTCAGATGTTATGAGTCAATTTTGTCATATTCCCCTAATTCCCTCGCCATCTAATTCTGGGTCTGCGAGTAATGTCACTATCAACAGCTCAAAGTGATGACGTCATCCGCAGACCTCGATGGAATGCTTGCGATTCAGGCTGTGCTAGTAAGTTAATTTTTTTGTCGATTTTAAATGTAGAAAAGGTAATTTTCAGTCTGTTCTCACAGAAGTTAAATGTTCTTGATCCTCGAGTATCTCAGAATCTGATGGTAGGAGAGTTTGATACATAGCATCTGAGCATAATCGAGTATGCTTGGTTATCCTACCGAAAAATTGCCTAATGATAAGGAGTACTTCAACAGTTCGAAGTACTCTTACTGATCTGAGCGCTTAATTTGTTTGGAGTACTCCAGATACCGATATACATGACGCATGCTTTAGACACCCTGTATAGGTACAAATATTAACTTTCATCTCATAGAAACTGTGGTGCTCCTAACTTGTGCGGGAAAGTGGCACTTTCCGCACTAGTTAGGAAATATACACATTCTACCATCATTTTTCTAATATAAAAACCCGCAATCTCATCAATTATCATTTATTTGCAGCCAATATTGAATAAGGATTACATTTTTCACCATAAAATAACCATAAAAAAAAATTCATTAATCTTCCAAAAAGAAATACTGCCCGGCGCGTTTCTGCTCGCAATCCTTGACAGACTCTTGCTTGTTGATCCTGGGCCTGAAATTGTTCGGGTCCCTTCTGAAAGTGATTCCCAACAGTTGCAAAAACCTGTTCATGCCTGCTAGAAGAGTTTGAGGTGTGTTGGCAGTCGTGTCAACAGACGGTTTACCCTCGAAAACTATCACTCTGTCGGCAAGATAAGTTGCCATAATGAAGTCGTGCTCAACTACAAATCCTGTCTTTTTTGCATGAAGAATAAACCTAGAAATGGAGAATGTATATAAATTATAGGGCAATTTTATATAAAGTACCTTTTGATTACTTTTGCTGCAACCAAACGCTGTTCTGAGTCCAAATACGCACTAGGCTCATCTACGAGATAAACATCAGCAGGTTTACCCAAGCACAAAGTCATTGCAACTCTTTGCAGTTCACCTCCAGACAAATTTTGCACCTCCTGATCAATAATATCATCAATTTTCAAAGGCTTCATTACATCAGCAATAAACTGAGGATGAATATAAGCATCCCTGATTTTTTCATGCAACAACTGCCTGACAAGCCCTTGAGATTTAGGGCTGATTTTCTGAGGCTTGTAACTGATGTGCAATTGTGGTAGAGTGCCTGAGCCTTCATCTGGTTCCAAATTACCAGCCAACATCCGAATAAAAGTAGTCTTGCCTGTACCATTCTCTCCAAGCAAAACCAAAATTTCAGAATCAGAAAATTGACCTTTTTTAACCCTCAACTTGAAATTTCCCATTGTTTTACTCATGGAAGGATACTCGTAATGATTCATACGCTTGACTTCTTCTTCAGTAGCAGATTCAGCTACTTTGAAAACCAAAGACTCGTCTCGGAAACGCAAATTTTCAGTTGGAACAAAGCCATCTAAGAAAATATTTATTCCCTCTCTTACAGAAAAAGGCATAGTAACTACACCATAGGCACCAGGAACCCCATAAAGACAGCAAATAAAGTCAGACAAATAATCCAAAACACTTAAATCGTGCTCGACAACAATAATGAATTTATCAGGGTGGATCAAAGACCTTATAGTTTTGGCAGCATTTAAACGTTGTTTTACGTCTAAATAAGAAGAAGGCTCATCAAACATGAAAATATCGCCGTCTTGAATGCAAACCATCGCACAAGCGAAACGCTGCAACTCCCCACCAGACAATGCTCCAATTTCTCTTTCCTTTATATGACTCAAATCAAGCATCCTGCAAATCTCATCTTGATTTTTTAGCTCGTCTTTCTTGTCTAGCAATTGACCCACTGTGCCTTTAACAGCCTTGGGAATTTGATCTACATATTGAGGCTTGATTAAAGCCTTCAGATCATCTTCTAGGATTTTGGTGAAGTAGTTTTGCAATTCGCTGCCTCTAAAGTGGCTCAGGATTTCGGTCCAATCTGGGGGGTCTAAGTATCGTCCTAAATTGGGCTTTTGTTTGCCGGCAAGGATTTTCAATGCAGTTGATTTGCCTATACCGTTGGTACCCACAAGACCTAGGACTTCACCTGGCCTTGGTATTGGTAACCTGTGGAGTTTGAAGGAGTTTTTGCCATATCGGTGAGTGGTTTCACGTTGCAAGTTACTTGGCAAATTGATAATGGTGATCGCTTCAAATGGACATTTCTATTGAAGAATTATTAATATTAGTTGTTAGTATTAGGATTGGGGTTGTTATTACCTTGACACAAATACCGCAACCAATGCAAAGTTCTTCGGAAATTGCGGCTATTTTACTAGTAGGAGCCACTTCGATGCACAGTTTCCCCATTCGGACTACGGGGCAGGATTTTTTGCACTCTTGCCTGCATCTTTTGGGTTTGCACTTGTCTGCGTTTACAATTGCTATACGGGTGAGTTTGTCTGTTTCTTCGATTTCGCCTTTTCGACGCGACATTTTCCCTGTAAAATTACAACGAAAAAACTAATTACAATATGTTCACTTTCTAATATTATAACCTCAAAGGACACGTATCGTAGATATAGACTGTGAGGTTTTTGGGGCAACCAAAACTTAACTAATTATTTGTAATTTGACTCAAATTTACCTGTTTTATTTATAACAAATTAAATAACAAAATAATCTCTAGGTAGGGTCTGTTTTAAGACCCACCATGAGGAAAAAAAGGGCCTGTCAGGGTCGGCCTTGAGCTTGTCAATGGTCGATGCCTTTTAAATTTAAATGACGCCGGCTGAATGCATCTACTTGTCAACGGTGTGAACTTTAGCTAGTGATGTGGCACCGGTGCTCCAGACATCGATATTAGATATCGCTGTACATTCTTGCGTTGAATCAGTGACGTCACATTGAACCTGGCTCAAAAAAGTTCGAACCGGACTCTTTCTTGTCTTGTTCTCCGTTGACATAAGACTGTGTTTAAACCTTCCATTTCCTTGCGTTCACCAGTGATGACGTCATATACAAATTGGTTTAAACCGTAGTTTGAATTATTCGCCCCGCGAAAAAACGCCGTTAATTGAAAAAAATTTATTTAAAAAATAACAAGTGACTTAACTAAAATAGAATTCTATTTATCGTTGTAGGTACCTGCATTACCGGCATTTTCGGATTTTGTAGGTTATGTTTGCGTACTTTGCAGAGGAGATTTCGTTCTAATCGACATTTTTTACTCAAATTCTGTTAATGGTTGCTTCTAGAACACTAATTCTGGATCCAGTGTAGGATTTTTTTATATGTTCGAAACTAATCGGGCAACGTTACTTTATTTATTGTTACTTTATTTGGTCCGAGATTCTTGTTTTAGTGCACTAAATTTAACTCTGTTTACTCGTACTACTATTATAGAGTAAATAGAGTAGGTTTATTCATTAAAAAGTTTTATTTATTTCCTTCCTTACACTCAAACATGAACATAATTACTCTATTTGCCATATTTCGAGTGCTCTGAGTAAGCAAATCGTTCAAGATTGTATTTTTTTTACTCCTTTAAAGTAAATAGAGTGAGTTCGAATATTGAAGAGTATAAAGGCAAACGAGTTCGGAACAGGTTTTTGGGTTAAGAACAAATAAAACCGATTTGGAACTGATTCTAGTTGCACCGCGAACAATGATCTGGAACATAAATTAAAGATTGCTCGATTGTGAACCAGTTCAAGACTTCAAGATCTATTCGGGATCGATTTTATTTGAATTACGAACAATCAATGTGCTCCAATACAATTAAGTTTAGCTTTGTCCGAATTCGGAACAGCAATTATATCTGGAACCGATTCTAGATGAATAATAGAACTCTGAGAAACAGTTCAAAAATTATCTGGAACAGGTTCTAAATGAACTGCGAACAATTCAATGTGTTCGGAACAACGCAACAATAATGAATTTGTTCAGAATCAGTTTTGAATTGAACTGCCTGATATGTATGTTCGATATGAACAAATTTGTAAGCGCAGTTCAATTCAGAACTGATTCTAAACTGAGTCCGAACAAACTAAATGAATTGTGAATAAAAAAAGAGTAAATTCGATGTGTTCCAAGGCAATTATAGATTTTTTGATTGTGAACTAATTCGGTCGACGAGGTCTTTAAAACACAAAGAAACGTTTTGGAACTGATTTTAGTTGAACTTCAAATAGTTTGGAACTGGTTCTATTGAATTACGAACAAAAACTGGAATAAGTTCAATGTGTTCTAGAACACTAATTCAGGATTTTTTTTAAATTGTGATCTAGTTCAGGGTTTCATTTGACAGTAAATGAATTCGGAACAGATTTTCGTTCAATTTTTAAAACAGATTTGATCTGTTTTCTCGCGGTGGAACTGGTTCGATCCGGTTCGAATAGGTTTGAACCTGTATACTTTTGCGTTGAACCAGTGACGTCACATTAAACCTGATTCAAAAAAGTTCGAACCGGACTCTTGGCTTATTCTCCGTAAGACTGTGTACACACCTTCCATTTCCTCGCGTTCATAAGTGATAACGTCATCTACTAATTGGTTTAAACCGTGGTTCGAACCATTCACTCGACGAGAAACGCCCCAAGCCATGAGTCTGGTTCGAATTTTTTTAAAAGGTTCAATGTGACGTCACTGGTTCAACGCAAGAATGTACAGGTTCGAACCTAATTGGACCGGATCGAACCAATTCCACCGGGAGAAAAAAATTTGTATACGTTTTCGTAATTCTTTGCTAAAGGATATTACATTTTAATTTCTTAGGGCTGGTTTCTCATTAGTAAATCAACCCCGAGTTAAGAATAACTCAAGGGTGAACATTGCAACTCCAGGGTAGATATGTCCACATTTACCCTGGAGTTAATACCATCTCGGAAATGACTCGCTATCGAGAAGCTTACCGCCGAGCTTATCCCTCACCCTAAACAATGAAATTATTTTCTAATGGTCGTTTGCAGTTTGCACCAACCATTTTAAAGCCTAATGCGAAATTCGCATTTTTTTGACATTGCTTCGACAATTTGACGTTTGATACACGCATAAAATGTCAAATTGTCAAAGCAATGTCAAAAAAATGCGAATTTCGCAAATATGAGTATTAGGCTTAAGGGAGGTTTGACGATAATCAACGCTTAAGGCCGGTTTCTTGATAGCGGGTTGGTTTCAACTTCAGGGTTAACGTGTCAAATTGCAAAGTTTACCCTGGAGTTAGCTTAACTTGGAGGTGACCTGCTATTGAGAAACCCGCCCTTAAAGTGATATTTTTACATGTGACTTTTTACCAATGTTCCTGAAGTTAATAGGTTGTCTGGTAATGGGTAACTTGATGACGCATCTGGGTGCTTTATGGAGATTTGCATTATGCTGAGGCACCCTAAATGACGTCATAAAGTTACCCATTACCAGAGAACTTATCGTCTTCAGGAACCTTGGTTAAAAGTCACATGTAAAAATATCACTTTGAAAAGTGTTGATTATCGTCAAAACTTCCTTGACAATGACCGGTGTAAACCAAGGATAATACACACTACTACTGCAGGATAACTTATCCGCTGGCGCAAACAGCTGACAACGTAGTTGATGACGTTGACACTAACTTTGTTGGAATCATTCTGCATATGCGCATATTAGAAAACGCGTTTTGGTCTTTTCAGAATCGTAATCGAACTGTGTTGACAGTGTTTTGGTTTATCTAGAACTCTTTAAGAACAATAGGGTACTTGCATGGAAAATTAAATTGATTATTGTTTATTGCAAACTGTAGGAAATCGAAAAAAAATCGTTACTTTTTTTTTATTTCGCCCAAATATGATTATTCCGGAAGTTATACAAATATTAAGTTTTTTATATATAGATATACTGAGCATGTGCGACGTCACAACTCACAACGTATTATACCTAAAGCTGTTTTCTCGCGGTGGAACTGGTTCGACCCGGTTCAATTAGGTTCGAACCTGTACATTCTTGCGTTGAACCAGTGACGTCACATTGAACCTGGTTCATAAAAGTTCGAACCGCCTCATGGCTTGTTCTCCGTTGACATAAAACTGTGGTTCAAACCTTTCATTTTCTCGCGGTCACAAGTGATGACGTCATCGTGAAATTGGTTTAAACCGTAGTTCGAACCATTCGCCCCGCGAGAAAACGCCTCAAGTTATGACGTCGGAAGGACATTTCAAAGCGTTGTATCTCCGTCAATTTTTGACTAACAAGAAAAAGAAAAAACACGTGTTGACTTATTTTTCATGGACTATCGAAATCAGCAATAAAAAAATTTGATGCAAGGGGCCTATTCTGGGATTGTTCTAGAACCTGTTCTCTCAGCTCTTGCTTTGAAGGAGGTAAGGAGGAACTGTTTTAGAATTTTGTGTTTTGGTTTTTTTAGTTCCGAATCGGTTCAGAACTAGTATTAGAACAGTCCTTTATTATTTTTTGTGCACAAGCAGTCCTGCGCAATCCCAGAACCGTTCCAAATTTCGTTCCTAAAAACGAGGCGGATAAGCACAAGGATAATACACACTACTACACGAGGGATTGCTTGTCGGTCTCGGGAATCGCGGCCATATTGTGTAGCACCATTGACGACGTCATCGACTGCTTTGTCAGCTGCTTGCGGCAACGGTCGTAGTTTGGTACAAGGTATGGTACATAACATTTATGATAAAAAATATTATTTAATTTTGATAAACAAAATAAACAAAGAGGAAGATGTAAATGAGATCTTAAAAAGCTTTGTTTTAGAATATTAATTAATGTACTAAAATCAAGTATGCATAAAGGAAAAGTCCGCGGATTCATAACCTGTGGGACACCTACGTCAAGGCGATAAACAACCAAACAGATTAAAGTGCCCTACCAGTAAGAACACTTCGAACTGTTAAAGGACTCCTATCAGTAGTATTCCAAACAGAAACAATTGAAATACTCGGAACACAAGAAGAACTCCGAACAGTTGGAGCTCTCTTAATAGTTAAAGTACTCTGTACAAAAACAGTTGGAGCACTCCATACAGTTGTTAGTGAACCGCCGTATACTAGAATATAGAATATACTTTCCTATAAGAGTGCGGGAAACACCACTTTCCAGTACGTATTTTCATTTCAGTTAGTTAGTTTGCAATTCCCTAACTATTGCAGAAAGTCCCATTTGTTAAACACAAGCCCTATGAGGATAGGTCATTTTGTAGTAGTAGAAGCTGTGTGGTAGTAAGGGTAGTAGTGTGTATCATCCTTGGGCTGTGATATCGATGCCAATAAAATATCGATATAAAAATATCGATGTTCACTGTCGAAGTTATGTTTCTGTGGTTACTTTTTGTTCAAGGATATTACATTTTAATTCACGGGTCGCATAACTCCATTGCAACTGGACACATTAGACACTTTAAGGGCGGGTATTATAAAACTGCTTTGACAGTTAACTTGGAAGTTAACTTTTTGAATTACATGTAATTCCAGAAGTTAACTTCAAGTTAACTCTCAAAGTAGTTTTATCATACCCGCCCTTGTTAGACAAAATACATTAACGCTACGATTCTTGCGTTAACGCTAACGTAAGATTTGACAGCTGCGGATGCGCAGTTTCTTTTCACCATAAATAGAGAGATATTGCCAATCACAATACCGCATGCATTACGATATTTACGCCGCGCTATTACATAACGTCAAGCTATAAATAAAAGCTGAAAATGAAACTTATTGCCACGTTATTTCTATAATTAGCGCTGCGCTCATGTAGAAGTCAAAATGTCAAATGTTTCGATACAACCTATAACCTGACTTTTTTGTTTATTTTGTTTGTTGATTTTTGATTCAGAAATCAGATTTCAAAAAAAAGTAGTTAATTGAAAAACTGTGATAGAGGTACCTACATACCTTATGATGGAGGAAGATCTTGAGGCGGTGATCTTAGCTGGGGCTAACGAGAATGCTATTGAGTATGTGATTTTGCACCATATACTAGGAGTGGAGCAAAACCAAGGAGAAGTCCTTCAAAACCCTAATATTAATATTGAATTTGATTTGGATAATATGCAGGAAGAAGATGTGAAAAATAATTTTCGATTTGAGAGGCAAGATATCTATAGATTGGCAGAAGCTCTAAGAATCTCTCAAGCAATTCATACTTCAACCCGTAATTCTGTTAGAGGTTAGTGTTATTCATTTCAAGATTCCAGGGCTGGAACTCAATATCTCTATCTCTAACCTCTTCGGTCCGTCTTTTGGCTTTATTGGACCCACCGAGGGAACACCAACACCAGTTCCAAGGGACATTTTGTTTAAAATAATAAATACAAACCAAACAAGCTGCCACAAAACACAAACTCAGAAGTGAGAACTTGAGTTGGCACCCAAAACCCTAACCCATAACACAAAGAAATAAATAATAAACAAAAATCCTAACCTCTCCAGAGAAAAATCGAAGTAGGAGTTGTCAGTTGTCATGTCAATATTGTGCGGTATTTTGAATAGCGCCCAACGGTACGTAAGCGCTAACCCTAATAGCGGAAGACACGTAAAAAAGCGAATCGCGCATCCAATAAACGTCAAAATACCGTAAGCGTTATTAGCGCATGACGTTTTTTGTCGAGCACTCTCCAATAGAGAGATATCGGTAAAACAGATAGCGCGTATGGACGGTAATAACGTCAGGAGTTATTTTTTTAAAGTAAAGCGGTATCATACTTTCAAATTAGAGTTATCGGAAAACAGTTCAACGTAAAATTTGCCTGTTCGCATCCGTTATTTTATAACCGTAGCCTAACTTGTACCTTGTTTTGATTTGATTTGTGTTGTCTGTTGTTTATGGTCAGGGACAGAGGATTTGCTTTTTTACTATTTTTTGAACAATCCATATTCACTTGAACACAGCAAAAATAATAAAATAAACAATAAATATAACATAACCTATTATTCCACGGCGTTATTTTTAGACGTTATTCGAGATAGCGCTTAACGTAAATGCTGGGTAAATTACGTTATGCGGTAACGTTATTTTAGTACGTAGTGTTAAAAATCGAATCGCGCATAGGTTTAATGTCAAAATAACGTTGGCGCTAATACTGCATGATGCTATTTGGGTTACCGATATCTCTCCAATAGCGTGTTACGTGTCACGTTATTTAACGGGTCTTTGCGTGTACCTTATCCGTAAACGTTCGTTAAACCGAGTGGGCCTGAAGCCAGATTGCAGGTGTCGACCTTTGCCAAATGTATTTTAACCTTAAAAAAAAGTTGTCATGTAATCCAAAATAATCAAAATACGAAAAATAATTTCTAATAAGGCAATCCAAACAAAATGGCGGTCAATGCATGGTCAATGCCAAAAAATTGGCGCCATAAATTTAATTCAAGTAATCGTGACATTTTTCATCAAAAAACTGTTTTTTGTGTTTTTTGTGGGGCTTTTTAGATGATTTTCTAGTGTTTGGGAGGATAATTTTCGTATTCCAAGATGGAAAGTTTTTAGTTTAAGAAATTATTAGTGGAAAAAAGGCATTGGCCTCCATTTTGAAAGGTCGTTGGATTGCCCAAAGGATTGCCCTATTTGTCCTTTTCACAACAAAATTTAGAGGTTAGGTCATGATTGTGAGATATAACGTTAACGTTTACGTGAAAATTTAACTTAAACTGATTTGTGAGTACTGACGATCACTCGACGCTATAGTAAAAAATAGGGTTTACGTTTAAAGATTACGTTAACGTGTTTGGTCAAACTTAAAGTATCTATTTACCCTAGAGCTAAAACCAACCCGCTAGCTGGGTTCGGCTATTCAGCGCGGAGTTGGAGTGGAGTGAACAGAGCTAATGGAGTCACCCCTGATACGAAAAAAGCAATATCCGAACCTTAACTCGAACGGCTGGAGTTAGGTTCGTGCGCATTGAGTGTATTACGGTGTATTTGTGTCTTTTTCTACCAGCTCGTATGAAAAAGAGATAAAAATACATTTTTTCTGCACTGGTTCTACCAAAATAAAAATTTACTATACAACTTCTTCTCGTTGTAAATTAGATATTGGATCAAGGTTGTTTGAGACGGGTAGGTTGCCTGATAACTTTATAACGTCATCTGGGGTGTCTCAACATAAGGTTCCCCAGACGTGTCATCAGGTTACCCATTACCAGGCAACCTTATTACCTTTAGGAACCTTGATCTATCTATTCCCGCACCCATACATGAACGATTTTTAATTTTTTTTAACAACAACCACAACGTGACAACACAACAAGCTTGACAGTGTACACAATTCACTTCTGTGCAAAACATTCTCTTTCAGAGGTGGAACCAATGAACGGTGGAACTTTTGGAGTTAACTTCATGACTCCACTCCGTATAGTCGAACGCTAATGGAGTCACCCCTAATACGCCAAAAAGCAATAGCCGAACGGCTGGAGTCACTCGGAGTGCACGGAGTTAGCAACCCACCTTTAGAATGTTTTTATGTACTAAAATCAAGTACTGATATAGCATGCATAAAGCAAGGGCCAGCGGAATCATAGCCTGTGGTGTAAACATCCAAGTAGGCGAAAAACAATACGCTGCGACGTCATCACTGGTACTTAATACTCGACAACAGTGTTGCCAAATCGGGTTCGGCTAAATAGAAATTGAGCGAGCGCCCTCTGTTGACAGATTTAATTTTTACAGCGTGCTGTCAAAATTGTAAGTGTTTTATTTTAAAGTGACGTGTATATTATTTATCCATAATGTAATTTGTTTTTGTTGAAAATAATTAAATAAAACGAAACCCAGCAAAAATGGCACTGCCCAGCAATGGGATTTTCGTCGTCAAAGGAGAGATGACCATCCTGATGACTGCCATCAAAAGAGGTGAGTGCAATGTTCAATTTAAAACCCCCAAACAAAAACAACATACTTATGAATTCATGTTCCCCCTTTAAATATACCAATATTTCCTTAGGAATTCGTTGGCCATCGCATTCAGACGAAGACACCGACAATTTATTGAAAAACATCCAAGATTTGAAAGATCTCCTGATGAAAATCGATGATCTAAGACTCGTAGAACCCGACGTCTTCCTGGCTCCGTTTCTCGAAGTTATCAGAAGCGAAGACACCAGCGGACCAGTCACAAGCTTAGCCCTGGCAGCAGTCAACAAATTCCTATCTTACGGCCTAATCGATCCTACACACCCTAGTGTTCCTAATACAGTTTACAACATTGCGGACGCAGTCACTCATGCCAGATTTGTCGGAACCGATCAATCTTCAGATGGAGTAGTTCTGATGAGAATACTTCAAGTTCTGAGAACATTGACCTTAGCTCCAGAAGGAGCCATGCTCACAAATGAGAGCCTATGCGAAATAATGCTGAGTTGTTTCAGGATATGTTTTGAAGCTCGCATTCATGAGCTCCTAAAAAAAACCGCCGAACAATATTTAAAGGATATGGTACAGCTGGTGTTTATGCGTTTGCCTCAATTTTCAGATGACCTCAGGTATTAGAATTATCTAGAGAAAGATTATAATAAAAATGTGACTAACTGACAATTCAACACTCCTCCTTAAACAGTTAATTTTTAAAGATTTTCTTATTCAAGGCCTTTGTAAATATAGGTGTCAGCAACTTGTTTTTTTATATGTAGATAAACTAAGAGTACCTACAGTCCTCCCAACATACTGATTTATGAACTTGCAACAAATCTCGATGTGTTTTTTCCTTATGTGACTATCCCTTTTTCTATATTTTCCATCATATGAATTGCTGCTTTATTATCAACAAGCAAATCAGTTTTTTCAATCATTTCTTGCATTCCAAGTTCTGTAATTATTTGACAAATCCAACAGACTTCTTGAGTTCCACTTGTAGCTGCACGATATCCAGCCTCTGTCAATGATATTGCATTATAATAATAATAATAATAATAAACATCTTTATTGCACATACAGCATACATGAACTGGTAGGTACATGATATAAATGTATGTGCATCACAAAGGATGCAGCTGGCGAAGTTTAGCCACACAGGGCCATTCAACAGGTAATTGAATAGAGCTTTTTTTGAGGGGTTTTAGATTAGCTATATTTTTTATGTCATGTGGCAGGCTGTTATACAGTTCAATGCAGGAATAGAACGCACCATTTTCCAACAATTTTGACCTGTGTATCAGATAACTATAGTTTCTAGTTCTTGTTTGGGATATAGTTTGTGGTTCAACCATTGTAAAAAGAGATCGGTTTAAAAAAAAAAATACATTCTTGTATGTGAACTGCAGTGACGGTCAATAATCTATTTGATTTAAATCTGCTCCTACATGATTCTCATGCTGTAAGATTTACCATTAGCATTAAAACTCTCTTCTAACAAATTAGGATGCCTCCAATGTCCCTGCAGTTACCAAACAATATGATACTATATCTTATATGTGATTCAAAGTTAGCAAAATAAATATCCCTTTTGGTTTGTAGATTTACATATTTACTTAAAACTCTAAGAGAATAACATGTTTTATTAAGTTTATCTTATACATGTTCCACATGTTCATCATAACATAATTGATTGTCTATCACATTTCCAAGAAATTTAGTGTACCTTGACAATTGCACTTCTGTATTTTTAATAGTAACACCTAGGGGTTCTGGGATTCGGATCTGTTTATCCTAAATAATACTACATCTGTTTTTTCGTTGTTCATAATCAATTTATTTTTAGTGAACCAGTAGATTGTAGATTTGTAGATTTCGGGGGAGTCGTTTCGGCTTTTCAGCCGCTCAGCACTGCTACCTTTGCAGATATTTTGTTCGTGACTCTACATCTTAATTTGTCTCCAGGAAGCGTAGACTTCTGCCGAAGGAAGCTATTTTCCTGGGTGTCAGTTGGCCCACTTCTTCTGGTGACAGTGTTGCCCCCTCGAGGAATTTGAGCCTCTTGCAGAATTGGGCTGGACATTCGCAGAGCAGGTGCTCTGCGGTTTCTATTGCGTCAGTTGGTCTTTCTCCCATTTGTTTAGTTCTGCCATGATGTGGCTTTTCATTAAGCCACAGTAGGGCTCTGGTCCATGGTATGGTGTTGAGGCCCCTTCCTTTGCGAGGCCATCTGCCTCTTCGTTTCCTTCTATGCCTCGATGACCAGGCAGCCACATCAGCGTTACCTGGTTATGTGTCGCTAGTGTTTTTAGGGTCTGTTTACACTCCCAGACTAGTTTTGACGTGCATTTGAAAGCGCTCAAGGCTTTTAAGGCAGCTTGGCTGTCCGATAGTATGAATATGTGTTTTCTTTTGAGGCTTTGGTTAAGACACTCTTGTGCACATATATCTATGGCAAGCAGTTCGGCTTGAAATATTGTAAGATGTTTACCCAATGCCTTGGAGAGCTTGAAGTTAGGGCAGGAAAAGCCCAGTCCAGCTCCTACCATTAGCTTGGATCCATCTGTGTACCACAGAGATGCATTGTCTGCTTGTGGTAGTTCTTTATTCTCCCATGATTGGTGGTCGTTTATTACCACTGCGAAGGGGATCTCTAAGTCCAATCTGACCATCATGTGGTCACTTGGTTTGCTGGCATTCTCCAGTGTTATTAGTTCAAGGATTTTCAGATGTCCCCTCAGATCGCCAGGCTTGAACTTGTCTATTTGGAATAGCCTGTGAGCGCTGGTTATTGCCTCCTTTTTCACACATAGGTGAAGTGGGGGCATGTTGAGTAGCGTCTCTAGGGCTGCGGTGGGGCAAGTTGATATTGCTCCCTTTATTCCTAGACATATCAGCCTTTGCACCTTTCTTAGCTTAATCTGAGCGGTGACTTGTTGGGTTTTGGGCCACCACACCAATGAGGCGTATGTGACCATGGGCTTTATTATGGTTTGGTAGATCCAGAATACCATCTTTGGCTTTAGCCCCCATGTTTTGCCAACAAGTCTTCGGGATGACCAAATGGCTGATGTAGCTCGAGAGCATGTTTTCTCTAACTGTTTGTTCCAAGTGAGGGTTTGGTCCAGAGTGACCCCTAAGTACTTCACTTCGTTGGAAAATGTTAGTTGTGTACCGTTAAGGGTCGGGGCTTTCAAATTTAGCTTCCTTCTTCTTGTGAACGGGACAAGGATTGTTTTGTTTGCGTTTAGGGATAGTCCTTCGCCTTCGCTCAAATTTTTAACGATGTTTAGGGCACTTTGCATTCGGCTTGTCACTATACCTTCATGCTTGCCCTTGATTACAATGGCTAGGTCATCTGCGTAACCTATGACCTGGTATCCAGCACTACTCAGTCTGGTGAGAATTTTGTCTACCACCAGTGTCCATAGTAGCGGAGAAAGAACACCCCCTTGAGGGGGTAGCGGTAGCTGATGCTCTGTTAGTTAGTGAACCAGTTATAGGTATAATCTTTGGCTGACTCAATTAGGTAAGGTGAACACTGGGTTGTTATTAACAAATTGGTGTCGTCTGCATAGTTTATGATTGATGATGAAAATGTCGATTTTTTTATTTTTCAGTTTTGCTCAATTTTGACTTTATTGATCGATAAAGCGGGTCAAAATTACTGGAAAACAACCCTGACATCAATTCTAAATGGCCATTTCAAGCAGAAACAAAAAGAAAATCCTATTTTTGGCTCTGGAAAATTTTCAAAATTTTAACATGGTCATGAACAATTGCCCATATCTTTGGTGAATTTTGATCAAATTGAATTAAATGATACACCATTGGAAAGAAAATTAAATTCTCTATAAATTTGTGCAAAATTGAGTTTGATAGCTCAAATAGTTTATGAGCGATTGAGCCTCAAAGTTGACTTTTAGTCCAAATTTTATCAAAAACTTGAAACTCAATTTGCACAAAAACTATAAATCTGGAAATATTGTAAATTATAGGCCCTTTAGAACTTGATAAAAGCTACAAATTTTGTAATTTTCAATGCAATTTGCTCAACCGTTACCAAGCAATTGAGGTTTGAATATTTTGAAATCAGAATTCAAAGAGGGTACCCTTATGAAAATCTAGATTTTTTTATTTTTCAGTTTTGCTCAATTTTGACTTTATCAATCGATAAAGCGAGTCAAAATTACTGAAAAATAACCCTGACATCAATTCTAAATGGCCATTTTAAGCAGAAACAAAATTAAAAAGAAAATCCTATTTTTGGTTCTAGAAAATTTTCAACATCTTGACATGGTCATGAACAATTGCCCATATATTTGGTAAATTTTAAGTAAATTGAATTAAATGATATACCATTGGAAAGAGAATTAAATTCTCTATAAATCTGTGCAAAATAGAGTTTGATAGCTCGAATAGTTTTTGAGCAATTGAGCCTCAAAGTTGACTTTTAGTCCAAATTTTGTCAAAAACTTCAAATTCAATTTGCACAAAAACTATAAATCTGGAAATATTGTAAATTACAGGCCATTTAGAACTTGATAAAAGCTACAAATTTTGGAAATTTTAATGCAATTTGCTCAACCGTTATCGAGCAATTGAGGTTTGAATATTTTGAAATCAGAATTCAAAGCTAGTTGCATTTCAGTCTTCCAGTGTTCACTCACACATAATACACTACAAGAGGTTTGCTGTAACAGTTCCTCTATTTTCAGCACACTGTTCCCTATTGATTGCAGATTTTGATGTATAAGAACAAATTTGATGTTGTTTCCACCTTTTTATTTGTTTTAGAGTTTCTCCGTTTCCCTGGGACAATTTAATTACTTTAAAAAAATTCTTTGTTGACTGGTGGTGGCAAAGTTAACTTTGAATTTTTTACAGGTAGGCAGGACATTTCAAATCTCTAGCAGTGTGCGGCCTATCTTCAAGGTTTAACGGTGTGTTTTCTGGGCACTGATTTGCTTCATGTTTGGCTCCACAATGTTTTCAAAGATTCTTATTTTTGTCGAAGTTGTCCATTTTTCGTCCACTGTTTGATTGTTATGTTCTGTAATTGTACTGTATGTCTTGATTTGGTTTGTTGCAGAATCCATGATTTCGGCTATATTATTCTTTTCCAAAATTTTCTTTGTCAAATTATTTTTTCTGATAAACTGAGATTTTTGATTATTTGACCTCAATATTATGGTTTCCGTTTCTAATTTCCCAACTTTGTACACTAATTTAGTTACATTTTCGTGTAGTTTGAATACTACTTTCCTTAGTTCGATTAAGTTCATTAAATTACATTCATTGTTTTCAATTAAATTATTAATAGTTCCCAAAGCATTTAAGATTGCATCACTCATGTAGTAAGTATTGTCAGACCGACTTTCTTAGTTTGTCCAAATATCTCCTACCTGAGGTTCTCCCTCTTTGGGTTTATCAAAATGTTTTGGAATTTTGTTTCTCTCTTCTGTTGAAGTGGGGCGTGAACCGGATCTTGCTCTTTTTTTGAGGATTTAAATCCGGTTAAATTTATGAATGGGCCACCTTTTATATTTCCTTCAATGGTTTTTGAGAATCACTTATTGGAATTTTAGGAAAAACCCGCGGAGCTATCAAAACACATCCACACAGTTCGATA